AGTATACTAGATATTATAATATATTATCTATAATTCTAATCTATAGTTATATTCTCTATTAATATTTATATATATTAGATTCTTATATCTATTATTAGGATATTAAATAGTATCTATAATATCTCTTCTATATAATATTATTTTTTATATTTTCTTAAGATTCTATATTTATATTTTTTATTAATAATAGATATAGAGTTTATTATATTTAGCTTTAATTTTATCTCTAGTAAATATATATTAGTTCTATTCCTTAGAGATATATTTAATAAGTTTATTAATATAATAGAATATATATTTATATTTAGTAAGAGATCTAATATTTATAATATTCTTTCTTTCTTTAAATTTCTACTTAAGTTCCTAGAGAGTATATATAATATATTATTAGTTTTTCTCTATTACTATTTATTTCTTCTTTTTATTATTAGTTTTTAATATTTTATAGAATTTTAATATAAACTTTCTAGAAAATATAGATACTATAATAACTATATAGTTTTCTTTTTAAATAGTCTTTCTAACTATTCTAAGTATTTTAATTTTAGTTTTTCTAGTTATTTCTAACTATTTTTTATCTTTTCTAGTAGATTTTTAATTCTTCTACTTCTTAAGCTTTAGATATTATAATAAAATATATCTAATCTTATTATAATTATAATATTTATATTTTTCTATAGCTTCTAGTTCTATAGAACCTATATATATTTCTAATTCTATAAATAGTAATAGAATTTATTATACTTTCTAATTAAGTTTATTTTTAATATAGTTCTAATTAGTATATTTATTTCCCTTTTATTATTATCTCTTATATAGATAGTTATTAATCTAAATAGTATTTACTATATATCTAAATAGATTTTTAGATTTATCTATTTTAAAAAGTTAATTCTTAACTTCTTTTTTAAGTTTATTATAAAATATAATTTTAAAAGAGTTATTATTTTAATCTAGTTAAATTAAGATTTCTCTAAATTTAATAATATATTCTAATACTAATTCTATTTATTATAAATTCTTAAGATCTTTAATAGCTTATTATTCTTTATCTATTTAACTAAATATTAAAATAAATAAAATCTAGAAATTCTTATAGTTAATAAGAGTATTAACTATCTCTTAGTTCTATAAGCTTAATATAACTTTATTATTATACTAATTTCTAAAATAAGTCTAGAACTATTATCCTATAGTACTATTAAGATATATTCTTATAAATCTAACTTTATCTTTATCTATTACTAATTTAGTTAGAAAGAATTTAAAATATACTTAAAATTAGATTTTAAATTCTTTTAATTTATTAATATTATCTAAAAAGAGTTCTAGAGGGATTAATTATATTATCTTCTTTTTATTCTTTATCTCTTTCTTTTTAAATTATTTAATTTAAACTATAAGCTACTATATAATCTCCTAAGCTATTAGAGCTTATAGGGTATTATTTAATAGTTTAATAAGAGCTATTTTATCTTTTTAATATTATATAGTAATTAAAATAAGATAATTAGTTAAATAAAAGTTATTAATATATAATAATTAGATAATTTATACTAAATAAAATCTAGAGTAGATTAGAATTAAACTAATTAGAATATTATTCTAAATAGTATAATTAAATTATCTTAGAGCTATATAATATAAGTTACTATTAATATATAAATATTATAGAGCTAGTAATAATAAATATATAGATAATTATATTAATAAATATCTAAAGGAGTATTCTATTTAATAAAAATAAATATATATATATAATAGTTATAGAGTATAAAGAGTATATTACTCCTAGTAATCTATTCTTATTCTATAATAGAAGTATAATACTTCTATTACTTCTATTCTTCTAATAGTAGGGTATATATAACTATATAATCTATTATAGAGGTCTTTATTTATAATAGCTATATAAATAGCTTCTATTATTAGAGTTTTTAAGATATTAATATCTATATTTAGACTAAAAGTATAATATCTAACTTTATTTTATAGAGTTAAAGGTTTAAATATAAACTACTAATTATATTCTTAAAAGAATTATATAATCTAGTTATATATTATCTAATCTTAGGATATACTCTTATTTATAATAAAACTAATAAAAAAAATTATTTTCTTATTTAATTATTTAAAACTATATTTAGTTATTTAATTAATATATAATAACTTTATAATTAGCTTTTATTAAGTTATTAAAAACTTTTAATAGTAATTAATATATAATAATTTTAATCTTATTTAATATCTTTAAATTAATTTAATTTCTCTATTTAATAAACTTTTTAATATTTTCTTAATTCTACTCTTTTTTATTTATTTAATATTACTAACTAAAATTAATTTAATTTTATATATTATATATTTAAACTATATATTATAAATTAAATTATAATAAATATTAAATACTAGAGAAATATTTATTTAGTTCTTTATAAATATAGTAAAAAATTAAAATTATCTATATATTCTACTAATAACTAGCTATTAGATAAACTAATAGATTAAATAGATATAACTATTAAATCTATATAAGAAAAAGTAGCTATATTATTATAAAAAGTTTTTTAATTAATTAGAGATTTAAAATTTTAATATATCTAAGATATAGATCTTTTAGCTACTAATTAATAATTATTATTATCTTTTAAAAAACTTTTATTTTTATTTAGTTTACTCTAGTAAAAATAAATATATTAGTTAAATATATTTATTATTATAATTATTATTTATAGTAATTATTAATAATAAAATAATTATAATTAAGATAAAATATAATATTTAACTTTATTTTATAGAATTAAAAATTTAGATATAAACTATTAATTATATTTTAAAAAGATATATATAATCTTATTATATATTATTTAATCTTAAGATATATTTTTATTTATAGTAAAACTAATAAAAAAATTTAATAATTACTTTTTATATTTTTTTTATTATTTCTATTATAATTATTTTTAAAATTATTTTATTATCTTTATATATTAACTATATTCTAAATAGAAATATAATAATTTATTATATTTTCTAAACTATTTTATTAGATATTAATTTAGTAATTTATTAATATATTTTTTCTTTATATTTAGTTTAAGTTTAATATATCTCTAATTTAAAGAAATATTAAAAAAAAATTCTAAGAATAGTAAAAATATATATTTTATACTATTAAATTATTTTTAATATTTATTTTAATATTTTTTTTTATTAATTTTTATTATACTATAAATAAAGACTATATAAAGCTCTCTATAAAAGAGCTATAAACAGCTAGTAGATAGAAAGAACTTAAGCTTTAAGAATTATATTATCTTATATATAAGTAAAAGTATTATAAACCTAGGTTTTAACTATAAGCTATCTAACTATAGCTACCCTATAGCTAATAACTAAGAATCTATCTATAATATCTAAGCTAGTTATAGCTAGTTCTAAGTATAATAATTTTATTATAAATAAAAATATATTCTAAAATAAGATAATATATAACTAGATTATATAATTTTTTTAAAAAATATAATTAGAAGTTTATATCTAAACTTTTAATTTTATAAAATAAAGTTAGATATTATACTCCTAGTCTAGATATAGATATTAATATTTTAAAAACTCTAATAATAAAAATTATTTATATAGCTAGATATATAAATAATCTAGTTATAATTATAACTCCTAAGAAAAAAAGCTTATTATCTAATAATAATAACTATTTTTTCTTCTAATTTAAAGCTTATTTTAATTAATTAATTAATTATATTATTAATTACTAAATATTTATAATATATTATCTTCTATAATTATTCTTATTTATAGAGCTTTAATTACTATAAATAATATAGATCTTAATAAAATAATAGAGATTATAAAAGATAATAGTATATAGCTTTTAACTAAGTATATCTAATATATATCTCTCTGAATAATTAAGAGCTTATTTATAATAATAAAGCTATTAATAATATTCTAAATCTAATAGTTATATTTACTAGATCTATTCTTATATTATATAGTTTATAACTACTATATACTATTAATATTTAAAGTAGATAAAATATAACTAAATTAAAAGCTATATCTTAATAATAGCTAATTACTTATTTATATATATTATAATCTAAGGTTTTCTTTATAGTTCTAATATATTTTATACTATCTTAAACTAATTAGAATAGAGATAGCTCTTAAGAGTTAATTATAATTAAGCTTTTTTTTATTTTAAAATAATATAGTTTAGATTAGAATATATTAGAATTTATTTTAATTTAATTTAGAATTATATATATTTAGAAATAAAAAAGTTAATTATTTTAATAGAGATTATAAATTAATTTATCTTTATAAATATAATATATATTTATTACTATAGGAAATTTTTATTAGAAATAATATAGATTTAATATTAATCTAATATCTATTTATATATATTTAGTTATACTATATAATAGTTATTTTAATATATTATATATATAATTATCTCTTAGTTATAGTTTTTTTAAGAATAAATAAATAAATATATATATTAGCTTATATAATTTATATATAATATACTAGTGCCAAGGTAGCAAATTTTAATTTAGCAGGATATACTTCTTTGAATAGGATTAGCGAGAAATGGCGAGGCCTCTGGATGTGCTCAAGCGGACGATGACGAGCCTCTTGGTCGGAAATTGTCTGTCAACGAACCCCCTCTTCCATGCACAGTCGCCACCCGGAACACCCGCGGAGCTAACGGCAAAGAGAAAGACCCATGGCAACGCGTGCCTAGACCCTGTCGTCGATATTTCAGTCCAGTCCGGGGATGTATTGTTTCTCAGATGCTCGTCTCCATAAGTTCTCCAGAATTCCCAGGATTCCAGTCACCACCAGCCCAGATACACACCAACACCAACATTACACACAAACACAATCGGCGCCGTGATCATCATGAATGAGGACACCATCCCCCAAGCCAGGCCTCCAAAGGTCCACCTCACGACTTGGATTGTCGTTACTGCATGTGCCCTGTTGCTCGCCGTACACAAGGAAGCCCTATTGACAGTGACCAGTGCATTAGCTTCGTCTATTTCTCCCAGCTTACCATCATCATCGGCTCCGGCTTCCTCGCGCCGCCCATCGGGGCCTTCTTCGGCGACTCCTCCAAGAACGCGTGGTTCAACCAGTCTATCAACCTCCTCTCCGTCGCCATGTGCCTGCCTGTTTCCCAGATGGCAGACTATTGGGGCCGTAAATGGCTTCTTGCTGTGTTGCTCGCTGTCGGCTTCGCCGGCACTATAGTTATTTCTCGTGCCCAGAATATTGCTACTGTCATTGGTGGGTTTGTATTGGTTGGTATTAACTATGGCTGCCAGCCTATCTTATTCGCTGTACCATCTGAGGTTCTACCCAGAAATATGCGGCCTTTGGCCCAGGCCACTATTAGCATATCCTCTAGCATTGGAGGGTACCTCGGTCTTATTATCGGCGGTGCTCTTCTTCGATATAACAACCTCGAGAACTACCGCATTTACTTCTATATCGTGGCTGCTTTCTTTGGCATGTCGTTTCTTGGCGTCGTGTTTTTTTACTCGCCACCCCCAAGAGAAGACCAGGTCGCTTTCGGGCTCAAGGAAAAGCTCGGAAAACTCGACTGGGTCGGTTATATCCTCATCGCGTCCGGGTTGACCTTGTTCTGTATAGCCCTCGCCTGGTCTGATAACCCTTATTCTTGGACAGATGCACATACTCTCGCGCCCTTCATTTTAGGAATTGTTCTCATCATTGCCTCCATCTTCTATGAATGGCGTATCAAGATTGACGGTACGGCTGCCTAAAGTGTCTTGGATTGAAGCTTCCTGCTAATATCCCTTTCAAGGCATCGCCAACCATGCTATTTTTGCCCACCGCAACACCGCTATCGCGCTTCTAGCCATGTTTCTCGATGGAGTCTCTTTTTTTACTGCTAATAACTATTTCGGCCAACAGTTTAGTATGTTTACTGGAAGCGATTTGCTGATCTCGGGCTTGGCTTTTGGTATGCTGTTTATCTTGGGTGGCATATCCTCAGTTGCCTTTGGCTGGGTATCAACCAAACTCCGCATCGTCCGCATACCCGGCGCAGTCTCTTTGGCTTCCATCTGCCTTTACAATGCCCTCATGGCAACTACAAAACCATCGACACCAGAGGCTAACTACTGGGGCTATATGGTCTTTGCCGGAGTCGGTCTCGCAGGTATTACCCCAACCATGATGGTTGCTGCACAGTTAACCACGCCTCCGGAGCTCATCGCCCTAGTTTCCGGCCTTATAACTATTGCACGGTCCGTCGGCGGTGTCGTCGGCCTTGCCATCAACAGCGCCATATTCAATAATACCCTCTCCTCGGAGCTTCCCGACAAGATCGGCGCGGCAGCCACCTCTCTCGGCTTTCCCGGGTCGTCTCTCGAAAGGTTGATCGCAGCTATTATAAGCCAAGATAGTATCGCTCTCGGCGATATCCCTGGTGCCACTGCTGATATCATCAACGCGGCTCAAGCCGGCCGGTTGGAAGCGTATGCACTCGCCTTTAGGAACTGCTGGATTGCTTCTGCCTGCTTCTGTATACCTGGTGTGATCGGTAAGCTTCACTCCCATCAAATATGCACGACTTCTATGTATCATTGACAACCGTTCGTTGTAGTTACGCTCTTCCTGAAAGATCCTAGGACGGAGTTCAAGTCGCACATTGACGCTCCGGTCGAGGTCCAGTTAGCGGAGGAACAGAAGAGAGGGAAGGTGATTCATTTGGAAGATGTAAATGATGGCAGAGACGACGCTTGAGCAGGACATCACATTCAGTGATGGCATCTCTGCCTGCGCATATGGTGGTTTGACTATTGAGCTAGACCTAAGTTGCAGGGTGGTTGAACGTCAAACGAGGTATTAATTTAGCTACTATGTAGCCGTAGGACTTAAGAAGATGGACAAGTCCACTTTGTCCTTGCTTGCAATAGGCTCAAATATCGTGAAAAGTCTCCCAGTGAAGCTATGACTGTCTAACCCGCCGCTGGCCACCCGCCGTCTTCTATTCAAGTTAGGTGCACGATACCAACTCAAGTGTTGGCGAATCAAGATATCATATGTGGCACTCAGTAAACCTTGGACAATGCGGGAAAAATGGATGGCCGGAATGGCCATCCACCTGACCTGTCTATCGGCGGTAATGCTGACGAACCGTCAACGATGGACTGGTCAGCTCCCATGACAGCACCTCCATTGCCACGGGCGACCATGGCTCCCCGGTGCAAAACTTAGGCTAGACGAACATGATGCAGGTCTAATATCAGCATGATTACTATGGAGTCTGAAATAAGTTGACTTTGATTGCGGCACTACGATGGTGCACATGTGTTTTGAAACATGTGACCAACGAAATTGGTTGGAGTTTGCCACGATATCTGTTCAATTTTCTATAGACGCAGCCTACTCCGGCAAACATGTAGCCCAGTTTATTCACGATATGACCTGGCTTGTGAAGCTGATTCTATTCTCAGTCCGAAACATCAACTTTGCTGCTGTGTGACCCATGCCACAATCCGAGAATAAATGCTCTACAGGTATAATTCCAGAAGAACGCACTACGTCGTCTCCGGCCATATCGGGGGAACTCTTTATGTAGGCAACATTAGCAATGCTTCTAGGCTCTCGTGAGTAGTGCCAATGCCTACCTGACTTCAACAACAGCAGACTTTCCACTCTGCACAGTCTTGATGGCCTCCTTTAGGACCGGCTCCACTTGGTCCTTTGTCTCAATGAGAGCTCCGTAGGCGTTGCCTGCAGCAGCGGCGATGGTAGCATAGTCAGGGGACGGCTCGAAGGAGAGATTGAGGTCTGCAAGGGTTGCGCTGGTTAGCATGCTTGCCTGATGCATGACTGGCACCCTGGCGGAGAAAATATGTACCCTTTCTGTTATGTCTCGATGAAAGCCCGTCCTTATGCACGAGAAGTGCTGACACCTTTGGTGCATTCCAACCACCGTTGTTTAGCACGATCAGCAAGAAAGGTATGCCATATCGCTTCGAGATCCAGAAGGCACTTTCCATTTGCGAGAATAGAAACGTGCCGTCACCAACACTAGATGCGAAGTTACAGCAACCCTTTTTGCTTGTTCAGAGGAGGTAGGACTTACATTGCACATATCATGTCATTTGGCTTTGCGAGCTTCGCGCCCATTGCTGCACCTCCAAGCCATCCGAGACCACCGGCGCCCGTTCCTAAGAGGCTCCCTGGCTATTTCGATTATTAGCAAGTAAGCAGCATGCATGAGGAAAATCGTATCCCGACAAACCTTGGTGAGATTCAAATGATGAATGACTGAAATGGCATTTGTGACAGCTTCAATGACCACGGTGGTATTCTGGGGCAGAGATTCTCGTAGACGAGATATCAAGTGTGGGACTCGAACGATGCCATCTCCAGCAGGGACCTCCAGCGATAACAGACTGGCTCGCCATTCTTGATATCTGGTGCGTCTCGCCTCGAAACGGCCAACAAGCTTCGAGGCATCTATATTCTGGCGGTCGAGAAACCTGTTGAGTTGTTTAAGGGCGAGCTCGCAGGACACGGTGTACCTTCGGTGCGCATTGATGTAGAAAACTGTATATGAGTGAATTAACAAGTGAAGTGCTGTATTCTTGGTAGGAACAACGCACGTGACATGTGCCGTTTGAGCGGATCGATATCTAGATGGAATATTGTAGCATCTTTTGCAGCTCAGCATACTAATCTTGCATGCCAATAGAGTTTCCCCCTTGGCCTGAGCACAAGGACCTTCCTAGTCCGTAGAGGGTGAGGGGTTAACTGACCTTTAGAAGGAGTCCCTTGTGTTGGAACCCACGGTACATCACAGTCCAGCACCAGGATCACATCGGCGCTCGGTACGAGAGGATGAGTTGACACTGTGACTCCTCTGTATGCCTCGTGATTGCTGCTGATGCACATATCGGAGCCAATGGTCTCAACTACTTCAATCGGCAACTTGTCGCAAAGAGCTTCGAGCAGTGGTGGCGCCCGAACGTTCCGACCGAGGTAGCCTGTTATCACCAGAGGACGTGACGCTCCCAGCAACGACTTTCCGATGATTTCGATTTCTGATCTTGTCAGATTGACGTTGATGCTGAGGGGTGGCTATGTTGTGCTACTTGCCAGATTCCTGAAGCGGACAGGGCACCGTGGCACCCCATCTTTCCTGATCTATTTTCAAAACGTTGACAGTCTGGTGAGAGTTAGCAGCATGAAGAGCCCCTGGGACTTTGACGACTGGCCTGTTCAAGAGCCTCTCGCGAGGCTGTCAAGTATGTAGGCCCCTTGGGGTCCGACGTGGCAATCTGAATCGCTCGATTGACAAGCTGCTTGATGTTGTGGCCGACCCGGACTTCTGCTGTATATCTGCAATACTGTCGGACAATTGCAGCTTGATCCGGTACGTCCTGGATCCAGTGAATGAATCTCAAATGCTGTGTCAGCTTAACCATCATCGAAAGTCGGGCTTGTCTTACTCAGTCCGGGACCCGAGCATTTCGCCCTCCTGTGTAATTGGACTCAATCCAGCGAACATCAGGACTGGGACACGGCCAACAGACGCATTGTGAATCGACTGCCCCATGGCAAGAGTGCCACAATCGACGTGTACAATGACACATTGCTTGGAAAAGGGTTAGTCCTGACCGCAGGTCAAGCGGATGTGATCTTACAGCGGTACCGGTGACTTGGGCATAACCCAACGCGGCTGACAATGCAACTAGCTCTGACGGACAGGTAATGATTGTTGGTATTCTCCTCGTCTTATCTATTGCCGGTCAGTTGCAAAAAATGATGGCGGCGCGCTTCGAGTTCCCAGACCTGATTTGGAAGCTGCCATTGCTTCCAACAGCGCTGGATGATCGCTCCCACTGCGAGGCTATGTCAGCTCATGAAGAGTGGGTGCGCACGGCATGACCATACAGGTTGACAAAGCAGTATCGTGTGCCCGCATCATCTATTTTCAATCAGCTTGCCCATCATTATCGTAAAGGTCGCAGCGCCTACACAAAGCCTCGAGGAAATTCGCCGCCCCTGTCACAGTGGACTGGGTAGAAATGGAATCGCTAGACATGTTTGGCTGACTAATGTTGCCCTTCTCTTTGTTGATCCATGAACCCTTGCTTCAAAAAGGAAACCCAGTTTGGTATGAACAAAAGAGACAAGTAGACACTGGCGACACCGACACTTGGCTAATTGCTTGATTTGAAACTATCTTGAACATCTCAAGGGTAAGGCACTTGACTTTGGAGAATGGGTGGCTGGGTGGCTATCAACAACCAACAACGGGTGGTACCCGCAGTGGGTGGCTACCACCAAGGTGGCTATAAAACCGGGTGGCTATGAGCCGTAAATTGGCCCACTGTAAGGATGGGTGGGCATCAGCAATGAGTGAGTGGCTATGGGCGCCACGTAATTCCCCAGCCCAGGCACCCACCCCCAAAAGGTGCTGTCCAAGATAGACATCAGTAGTGATGTATCAAGGTTTCATTTTTTCTCAGTTCCTACCTTATAATTCCGTATTGCGAGAAAGTGATATCATTGAGACATCCCGTCGCGAGGTAGAGAACCGCTTTCCCCCTCAAGCTACTCTTGTACCCAAATTCCCTTTCCATCATACCTCTTCAAGACAGTTTCAGATTTCATCGTCCGGTTCACATCCCCAAGAAAGAAATGGCTTCTTACCCGCCTGCACAGTGCTGCACAATTGGCTTCAGACATGAGTAAGCCCTTTCGCCCTAAGTCAACTTGCCTGGAGCTTTCTAACATGACGGGCATCTAGAGGAACGCCACAAGGAAAGGATATTCGGATTGCTGGCGACAAGTATGCAGCCTATCTAGCGACACCAACGCCAGACAAGGCCAAGGAGTCGACAGCTGTTCTCTTTCTGCCTGACATCATGGGCGTTTGGCAAAACAGTCGACTTCTGGCCGACGAGTTCGCTGCGAACGGCTACTTGACGCTGCTGCTTGACACGTTCAATGGCGATCCCATCCCTGTTAGATCAGTGGACGCCGGCGACGTGAACATTGCAGCATGGCTTGCTGGTGGCTCCACTGGAGACAATCCTCACAACGAGCCAGCGGTCGACCCCATTGTCAAGGACGCCATCAAGGTGTTAAAGGAGGAGTATGGGGTGAAGAAGCTTGGCGCTGTCGGGTATTGCTTTGGCGCCAAGGTAGGCTGATAACGAAAGCTCGTTGGCGAGGAAGCTCCAAGGAAAGTCAGGGACCTTCGCTAACCTAGCATGTAGTACCTCGTTCGACACTTCAATGAGGGTATTGATGCTGCTTACATCGCACACCCTAGTTTCGTCAACGCCGATGAGCTCGCCGCCATCAAGGGCCCCATCTCCATTGCAGCAGCCGAGACGGATCATATTTTCCCACCCGAGAAGCGACACGAGACCGAGGATATCCTGCTACGTAACAAAAAGACTTATCAGCTGACGCTCTACTCCAGGGTGGTGCATGGCTTTGCTGTAAGAAGCGACTTGACCAAGCGTGAGCAGAAGTGGGCAAAGGAACAGGCTTTTTACCAGGCCATCATTTGGTTTAACGAGTATTTGGAGTAGCATAGCACTTCAGGATTGAAATTATTATGATAAGAATCAACCAATATTCAATCAATATAAAATGCTTAATGTGCGTATTCAAATAGGCACTCCTCAAGCCCTAGAGTCTTTGTTTCGATCAATACAACCATTGGAGGAGCAGTATATATTAAACCAACGTCTATATATATATCTCTGCTCGGTGTTATCTAACATTATGTTATATTTCAATTACTTCTGATAACCCCGTCCCTTTCCTAGAGATTGTGAAGTTTCGTTTGTCTGCTGTTAAAATAGGAGGTTGTTTGAGGTTAAAGACGAGAGGGTAGTAGTGCCTTCTTTAGCTGGTGTGCGGGGGCTTTTCAACGAACGGTTTACTGTCGATTGATCGTCGACGAGAGGCGGGAAGCTCGCCGTGAAGGTGGCCAACGTGCAGAACTATAAGATTGACGGGGCGGATATTAACGATGTCACGACGACGGCTTGACGGACCTACAACGTTACTCTATAAGGAAGTAATTAAACTCGCATATATATATAGCATGAATATGACATACCGGAGAGAGTTTTGATGGAAAGTTAAAACAAAAGAAGAAGTCAGACCCAACAACTCAACACAATGAATATGAAAGGTTAAAAAGAAGCTTTGCTAGCCCAAGGCTGCAGTCATACGGCAGAAAATTCTGTAAACCTTCATGCCGATGACTCGCTTGCCGTCAGGACGAGCTGCGCGTCGAATGACTATTAAAGCTGCCCTCTTCACCTGGCTTCTTGTCTTGTATCACGCCAATCCATACACTTCAACCGAGCGCGAGTCAACCAACCCAGTGAGTATCAGTAGCCCCTTGGCCAGAGCGCCTCGTGGCCAAGGCGGAATCATTTCAGCAGAATGCCGTCAACGAGAAGAACAAGTAGGGCGGTCTGCGGTGGCACTGACAAGAAGGGAGGAAAAGACGTGGAAGAAATCAGGGTTCGGCAGAGGATAACCTTAATAAAACAAAGCTTTTAAACCTTTAACACAATGAAAGGCATGAATATGACATATTCATACAATCAGAGCTATTCTTCTTTGCTTTTGCGATGCGAATATGTTGGCTCACGGGCTGAGCGTCTTCAATCGCTTGTTACTTTCTCTCGTCACCTACTAAATTCAACTTGCTAAGACATCCTTATCAAAGACAAACCCAGTTCTATGGTCATTGATCTGTTATAAATCCCTTATGAAGCGTTCCCCAGACCCTTGAATAACTGCTGAGGCAGCGTATCGACCTTACAATAGCCAGTTAGCACAGGAGTCTTGGCCTCTAACGTCAGACCATCCAGCTTGGCCGTGCCCTCCTACTAGGACTAGACCGTCAGCCCAGCCCGGAGCTTTATCACCTTGAGCGCTATTCAATTAAGGAGTTTAATCTTACCCGAGAATAGCATGTCTATATACTTTCAATTTGCTAAGCAACGTCCATCCTTTTAGCTACTAATGATGCCATTGAGTCTATATTTTCCCCTCCAAGAATCTCGAACATAGAGACATCAACATGGAGAACTTTGCGCAGCCATGAGCGTAGTTCCATCCCGATCAGTGAATCAACTCCATACCCATGAAGGGGTCGAGCCGTGTCCATATCGGTTGGGCTGAGCGAGAGAAATCTTGCGATTTGATGAAGCAGCACCTCCTTGACGGCTACCATCTTGTTTTCCAAAGTTGAATTTGCGTCTGAAATAGTGCGTAGGCGGTCCAGCGTGACGCCGTGATCGGCGTTGTTTTCGTGTGAGTGCAACGCCGTCTCGGAGGATATAGATAGATCGGGGATTTGATATAGTGCCCGGAACATGGGTTGGCCCATCCACGCCGCCTCTTGACCCCCGGTTGCGGTCAGGTGTGACGGCAATTTGAGGCCAGTAATGACCTGGGCTGGGCGGGAGTTTGTTGAGGAAGAGGAAGACGTAGGCCGACACTGCTCATCTAGAATGGCAAGTAGCTCACCCTCGACCATTGCCATTGTATGTTTGATATTGACTATCTGGTCAAGCACGTCTCGTTGGTCGGCCAAGAAGCCAACAGATTCCATGGCGGCGAGATCAACTGAAACTCCAGCTAGCCCCTGCGATTGGCGCAGGAGCGCAAGCGCATCTTGGAAGGTATTCCCAGCCGTGTAGTTTGGCTGACTTTGAGAGCCTACAACTCCAGTGATGGAAGAGAAGAGAATAAAAAAGTCCAAGTCCTGGGGTAACTGCTGGTGCAAGTTCCAGGACCCTGCGACTTTCGGAAGCACTGCTTCCCTCCACTGTTGCGCAGACATTCTGTCGAAGCCAATGTCCTATCATATACAATGAGCAAAAGCCGAGAAGTAGAGTAGCTAATGTGAATTCGAGACTTACTCTGATCACCATTGACGATTGAATGCAGCCTTTGATAGGAGGCATATTATCTTTACACCAAGTCAAAACTTCCCCAAGGGCGAATGGGTCAGAAACGTCACAAGGAGGTGTATATACATTAACCCCCTGCGCGAGAATGCGTTGAACAAACCCGGTAGATGACTTGCTCTTGGCACCTCGTCTAGATAGCAGAATAAAATGGCGAGCGCCTTTCTTGGCCATCCACTTGACGACACTCTGGCCAAGTCCACCCAAGCCACCCGCGATGATATAGGTGCCATGAGAGTCGAAACTCCAGGAGGTTTCGGGTCTCAGTGTGGCCTTTATGGGATTCGTCAGCGCAAAGGCTAAGGACTTTAGGGTTGGGGTATGTTTCTTACCATTACTCGCATCTGGGGTTCCGTTTCCACCACTGCCTTGCCCGCGTTGATTCCGCTCTGGAGGTAGCGTAGAGACTCCTCTACCTGGCCTACCGAGAAGGTCTTTAATGGGAAGACGCTTTTGAGCCTGCCACTCTGAAATAGGTCAAGTATCTTTAACAACATACTTGATAGCATCCTAGGGCGCTCCTTGCCCATGCTTGCGATGTCGACTGCCGCAAACGAGACATTTCGCGCGAATGGGTGCATGGGAAGAACGCGCCGGGACAAAATATCCTTTTTGCCGATTTCGATGAAGCGCCCATAAGGTGCTATGCAGTCCCATGATGCTGATAGGCCAGAGCCTGCGAGGCTATTCAAGACTACATCAACGCCCTGCCCGTCGGTGAGTCTCATGATTCCTTTGGCAAAAGACAAGTCCCTGCTGTACAATATGTTTTCTGCAGGGATGTCGTAGAGATCCATTATAAGCTGCTTCTTATGATTGGAGCCCACGGTGACGTAGACCTTGGCACCGCAGAGCTGGGCGACTTGAATGGCGGCTTGCCCGGTGCCGCCGGCCCCGCCGTGAATCAAGACACTCTCGCCTTCAGCCAAGTGGGCGACCTCGATGAGGGCGCGATACGCCGTCATGAAGTTGATCGGGATAGCGGCGGCTTCGGTAAAAGTCATGGACTCGGGTATAGGAATGGCCATGAAGGCCTTGCAACGGACGGCCCGGCGGAAGGGGTCTGAATGAAAAGCCACAACCTTGTCACCGGGTTTGAGGTGACCCTCGGAGCCTACCTTTGAGATGATGCCAGAGCACTCACACCCCAGGTTGTTGTCGGGGACTCTACCTAACGCGACGAGTAGATCACGGAAATTGACACCCACGGCCCTGACATCAATTTCAACCTCATCTGCTGCTAGTGGGGTGAACGATTTGCCAAGAACCTCCTCAAAATGCAGAGATTCGAGCAGTCCGGGTGACCGGATCTTTAACTCAAGGTCCCTCGACCCAAATAGTACATCCTGCTCAATACTGGAGACTGAAGTGTGGATTGTTTGATTGCGTGCATCATCTTCGTAGACCCGGGGGATTTCTAAGAATCCAGAGTTTTGGACAAGCTCGGGTTCGTAAACCCCAGTTCGGATTCCCTCTACAGTGTTTTCGAATACCTGCCTGACAAAGAGGGAGATCTGCTCATCCTTGCTACTGAGGCTGGCTGTTGTGAAGATGAACCCTGGGCGCTCAAGGCGAAGGGTCCTTGCAAGTCCCGTAACCATGGCCTCTTGAGGACACTGTGCTGGTTCCGGGATCTCGTTGAGCCAGAGGACTGCCTTTGCTTTGACAAGAGTGGACTGGAGCGCATAGTATTCTTGGTCGCCGAGTCTATCGAGCATTGGCCAAGACCTGCCGTCGCATATGACAATAAGGAGCTGCGCTTGTAATGCTTCATCGCGGTATGCATCGTCAAACGTCCCAACTTTGCATGTTGGACATCCGGAGACCTCCTGTACTATCTGGCAGAAGGGTAAGCTTGGTTTATGGGCCTGATCAAACCCCGTCACAATCCTGACATGGATGCCAGTCTCTGCAGTAGCGCCGGATATTTCTTCGGTAGCAGTGGACAAAATGCAGCTGACCATATTGGCCCCCTCACGCTCATGGTCGTGTGCGACAAAGTCCAACCCAGAGAATCCATGTTGCTTCAAGACGTGGTCCCATTGTGTCTCTGCAAGAAGTGGCCCATTGGGTCTGTACGCATCAGTGCCTGTTCGCATCGGTTAGCGTGTAACGCCAACCTGCATCTCTTGTGAGTCTATATGTACTTAGCCACCACCCAGGAAGACAGCCGAATACAATCGGCATTTGTATTTTCTCGGGTTCGGTTATTTCTATGAGTATCAACTTGCCGTCCCTAGTGGCTGTTAGTTGCCAAAACACCAATTTGTTCTTCCTGTTTTAACTCTTAGAGGGTGTTCCAACTGACCTTTTTAGTAGGGAGCGAACTGCTCTTAGCGTCGCGTCCAAGGACTTTGTCGCGTGGAGGACCTAGATGATATTAGTTGGCGGTGTTAATCTAATGTAGAGAAGCCCAAGAGCCTCACATTTGCTGCCACAACCACATCATACGAATGTGGTTCGTAACCTTGTTCCCCGGCTACATTTTCAACATTGAAGAGGCTAAAATTCATATTAGGATATGCACCGAATTTCTCTTTGGCCATACTGAGAAAGGCTGGAGAAATATCAGTGAACTCGTAGTGGGAATATTGTGCGGTATATCCATACGACGTCTTCGTCGTAAGCATGTCCAGTATGCGCTGCGTTGTTGAGCCGGTCCCGGCACCAACCTCGATAACTTTGAGGGATGGCGACTTGTGAGCAAGGAGCTTCATGAAAACGCTCAAGGGACCGAAGAAGCTGCTTGAGTCGGTGTTGTAATCATAGTATGTCCGGAGATTGTTGTCTTGATTCAAAAACTCAAGAGCGTCGACCCTACCCTGGAGAATGTCTTGCAGACAATCTAGAAACTCCAGATAGAGCCGTCCAATCTTGCCGCGAGTTTCAACTCGTTTGCGGATATTCTCCAGAGTGTCAAGCGGGCTCTTTATGCTACTTGATATTTGTTTGATCCATTCTAACTGCCTTCGTAGGTGAGGGAGGTGGGAAGGAATGCTGTCCTCTTCCACCTCCTGAGATATCCTCTTTGCCGAGACCGCCACTAGTTGCTCAATGTCTGTCCAAGTTAGGGCAGCTTCCACGTCTTGTTGGGCCTGACCTTGTAAGAGATTGCGGAGACGGGCAGTATCGATCAGGGAGATGTCAGGCATGAATGTCATTTTGTAACAGAGCTGTCGGGCATGAGTTTGGGCTGAATCAGAATCATCCGCAGTTGTGATTGACGTTGCCTCGAGACCATTCATTTGAACCTTGAGCAATCCATTTGTATTATCAACAGCAGAGCAATCAAGCTGATGCGTCCGGTGATTTGTCAACCGCCGCAGTGTATGGGCTTGCAGGTGGATGCTTGAATCTGGCAACAGGCCATCTCTCGCAATCCATAGTCGGTCAATTCTAGTTGGAATCATGGTGGGCGTTTTGACGTTTCCTCCAGCGGTTATAGCGGGTAACATGACCTGGATCACGCCGTCAAGTGAAGCTGGGTGAATAACTGCTGGTAGGGCTCCAGAAGGATCCTCGAATAAGGAAACATCACCGACGCATTCTCCCACTCCCTCCCAATATGCGTGCGTAATGCGACGGAAGCTGCCGGTAAAGTGATAGCCAAACTTGTGTAGACGAGAGTAAAGCGTATGGCCCTTGACGTTTTTAGTCGAGTTTTGAAGAGCCCGGGAAGCATTCTTCACAGCAATATCTTGGGCTGCTTCGATTTCTTGGATATGGTCGAGGTGGGCTGGGGCAGTTTCTGCAAATATGGGCTCAATGGTGCCTCGACAAATCCTTGTAACGGCATTGCCGTGATGAGACTGGATGTGAAACTCGAAGCCAGAATCTAGCCGATTTGGGCTGTGAGCTAGATCAACCAGTCGAGTAGTCACTTCGACTCCCTCTTCATCTTCTGGCACGGCAAGACCAGCAAGAAATTCAACTCCTCTGCATTCAAAGGCTGTCAACTTCTGGTCAAAATGCTTCGTGACTTGAACAACAGCTTCCATGGCCATTACAAGCATGCCCGCGGCCGGGAATAGAACGTCGCCATTGATCTTTTATGCATTCAAGCATAGTCAGTCTTGCGTGATTAACCTAGAGTAAATGCGAGTGAAGATGCTGCTTACCTTGTGATCGCGGATCCAGGCCGTTGGTGAGGACGCGGCCGCGCTTAGGAAGTGGCGCCAACTAGGCTCTGAGTTGTTCCAGTCGGCTACAGGTGATCCCAAAAAAGGATTGAATCCGTGATCTCGAAGACGAATCTGCTTACTAATCCTGCCTTCCCTCCAGTACGATGTGGAGTGGTCGAAAGGATAAGCTGGAAGGGAAGGGAGGACCGAGCGATGATGCTTAAGTGACTGTTTGAGAGAATTCACGCGGTCGATGTTGAGCGGAAAGCCGACACAGTGCAACATCCCTGCTGTCTCCATCAAGGTGAAGATAGCCGACCTTTTCCTGATGAGACAGGAGCTGTATCGGACATTCCGAGAGACAGAAACGTTGCTCAAGATTTCTCGAATTGGGCCTGCGAGTGTGGAATGAGGGCCGATCTCGAGTAGATCGGTAACGCTCACTTCCCTTCGGTGGCTCAGATCGATCTTTTTGGTCTCTGAAGATGTAGAGTTCTGGCAGCATACCTCAACTGCTTGGAAGAACTTGACCTGTGAGGTCAAGTTCCTCACCCAGTATTCAGGGTCAGTAAGCACATCCAAAGGCACGATATGGCCAGTCACTGATGATATCATAGGGACTTCTTTGTGGTCCCGGAATCCGGCGTCTAGTTTTCCGATGCTAGTGGTATATCTGGTGGCAATCATTTTCATTTGCGGCGAATGATATGCCACGGGAACTGCAAGTACTCGATTAAACACTTCATCTTGGTCCAAGCGAGCCTTGAGGAGATTGATGAGACGCCGACTTCCCGATACTGTTACGTTCTTCGGACTGTTAATGCAAGCGACACATAGCAAGCCTCCAGGGCTTTGTGCCAGTATCCCTTTAAGGTACGAATTCGCCTTCTCGAGGGATGTGCCAACAGAGATCATGCCGGCCTCTATCGTCCTTGATTGGCCGAGCTCACTCGAAAAAAGTCCACGGAGATACGCCAGTCGCCATGCGGCTTCAGATGAAATCCCACCTACAGCATAGGCTGCAGCAATTTCTCCGCTGGAGTGCCCTATAACAACTGAAGGCAGGAGGTTGAAGGATTTGAGAAGGTCCACTAACGCAACTTGAAGGACTGTGCATGCAGGCTGGGCCAGCGCAGGATCGTTCAGGTTCATTGAACCTTCAAATGTGGTGAAGCAATCTGTAAGTCAACAACTCAGTATGCCATCTAGTTAGTCACTTGTTAGAGTAAACTCTTACTTATCAAGCTCCAAGAGCATCCCAAGCTTTGCAGATAGGACTCTGCCCTCTTGATGCTGTGGCAGAAGACGTCATACATCAGGAGTTCTTTTCCCATGCCAAGCCATTGGGCCCCCTGGCCGGTGAATATGAATCCAATTCTCGGACGATTTTGAGCATTGGTGGGAGCTGGGATTTCGGAAATAGCTTTTGATAAAGAAGGAAGAGAATCTGCAACTGCGTATGACCTCCATGGGTACATGCTCCTTCGTTCACTAAGAGTGAAAGCAAGAGACTCGAGATTACCATTGTCGGCACTTTCTGATTGTAATGAATCTGTTAGGTAGGCTTCATACGAATTCAAAACTCTTTTCACTGCAGCCGAATCTGGAGCTGACCAAACAAGAAGTTGTGGGATTGGAGGCAAAAGGGGGTCCTGGACGCCCAACCCCAACCTGTTGGCGACAGGGCGCTGAAGACTACGATACTCCTCCACACTGCGGTCGGCTGAGACGCCGTTGGTACAGTGAAGAGAGTATTTTTGCTCAAGTCTTACTTGCGGGTCAACCGTGGTGTAATGGGTTCCCTTTAGGCCATGCTCCTGCAGAAAATGGTGAGCATCATCCAGGACAGCATGTGCATTGGTTCCTCCAAAGCCGGAGGAGCATACGGAAACCCGGCGAAGGCCAGATCCAGGCCAAGGGCGACACACTGTAGGAAACTGAAATAGTCGTTAATTTCTAATGCTCATTGTTCCTCCTAGCAGGAATAAGTTTTCCTCACCTCGAGATTGAGAAACTCGGCGTCGATGGCAGGGTTCAGCCTTTGCAAATTGGCAATGGGTGGAATTATACCCTTTTCCAGAATCATGACTGCTCGGACTATTCCTGCTAGGCCGCTGGTCCCTTCGGTATGGCCAATGCTGGCCTTTGCTGTGCCACTGCAGCAAGTTCTTAATCAGCGCCATGATCTACTCGGTTGCAGAAAAGTGCGGATCGACTCACACATAAACCGGATCATCCCTGCCATGATAATGTCCAAAAGCTTCGCCAATAGCGCCAGCTTCGATAGGGTCTCCCTTGGAAGTCCCTGTTCCATGGGCCTCCACGTATCGAGTACGGGACAAGCTTAATCCCGCCGAGGCATAAGTATCTTCAATCAAATGCACTTGGGCCTCTTTGCTAGGTTGCGCCAAGCTGGTGGTGCCGTTCTGGTTAGTTCCGGTAGCTCTCACGACGGCCCTTATCAGATCTCCATCCCGAATCGCGGCGGATACTGGCTTGATTATTAGTGCGGCGAAGCCCTCGCCACGACTGTAGCCATTTGCACGCTCGTCAAAGCTGTAACATACTCCATCAGGAGAGAGAAACCCCATCCGAGATAGGCCTATAGTGGTATCAAGGGCATAGACAAGGTTACACCCTGCAACAATGCCCTGTTTCCTAGTTAGCGGCCTGCATATGCATCCTCTTCAGGCGATTGGATTCATGCGGTACACTCACCATGGAACTCTCTCCCCTCCAAAGTGCTTTACAAGCTTGGTCAAAGGCGACCAGGCTGCTTGAACAAGCAGTGTCAATGGTCATGCTAGGCCCCTTGAGATTGAAAAAGTTGCTCAATCTGTTGGAGAGATACGTCCCAGCAAGGCCTGTGGACGTGTAATTGGGAATTAACTCCGGATCTTTTGAGCTAATCATGGTATAATCCATGGTGAAATTGCCAGTGTATACCGCAGTATTCGTGCCACTGATCTTTGAGATGGGTATACCAGCTATTGAGTTGTCAGAGGCTGTTTGGTCGCGAAGTAATAGCTGCGAGGAGAACATACCGTTTTCGAGTGCCTTGTAGGTGGTTTCAAGGAGGCCGCGTTGCTGCGGATCCATGGCATCCGCCTCGGCGGCAGTAATGGAGAAGAAGGGGGCGTCGAACAAGGATACATCAGTCTCCAAGAAATGAGCCTTCTTCGGCCGAATCTATCACTCAATGGTTAGAGGGAAAACCACGGTAACGGACCATCAAATGGTAAAACACTAACCGTCCCTTGTACTGACCCCTTCCCTTCGCACCATGCTTCGTGGTTTACTCTATCTCGTGGAAACTCACGAGCAGCACACCGGCCTGCCACAGTTAAGTCCCAGAATGCCTCGACCGAGCTCGCTTCAGGAAGATTAACTGAGTACCCAATGATGGCAATGGCTTCGTCAGCGTTCTTTTCCTGGGGTGTAAGCTGGGTGCTCGAATTGTTCGAGTCATTATACACAAACGGAGACATTTTGAATATACTGTAGCCTAAAATGAGCAAAGGGTATATGTGATCACATGTATTATCTCAGTCTCTCCTTGTATGAAACTAAATACAACAAGTTCTGAGGGCCGGGCTATGAAGCCTAGTCCTAATGGCACGCTTAGTTCTTTTGGCTGTCACGTTATCTTGATATAGGGAAATATCTGACTTCCTTCCATAGACATAGGCTTTCACCCCTTAGTGTCATCCGATAAAGTCTCAAAAGAACCCTTGTTCATGTTCTGGCGAAAATGGCTCTATACTCTACACATACAACAGCAAGGATTACGATCCAGCATTACAGTTGCAATCGGCTATTATATTACAACTGTCGTCTTATTGTGTGTGGCTGAATTAATGGACAACCGAAAGTTCCGAAATCCAATCAATCGAATGGCTTTCTTTTTTCATCCTTCAATGAGACCGTCACATTTACTATATTCGACATTTGTCTCTAATATATGTCCGATCCTTCTACTACCCACCCAGACAATTTAGGACCGACTCAGACCATCGCCACATATCACGCTATCTGCGTTGCACCCAACCTTTCGGTCGTTTCCACATCCTACAAAGATTGCCTTGCGAGATTCCAATATCTACACCCCGCACGGTGGAGATACAGCAACAATGCCACCCTACCTACCTAGCTTCATATCACAATCATGCATCTGAACGATTAGGTTCCGTCCAAAATAGGGTTGGTTTACGAGAATGAAAATTCCGACTGCCCTCCCGTAGGATTCTGTTGTAAAGCAATGCAATCCCTCTAGAATTCGAGTGCGTTGTGCGGTTATTCTCTGGGGGGGCGTGTCACATACAGGGAACACAGCACCCATCTCCTGTCATCCCGTTTTGGAGTTTTTCGCGAACTTTGCCTTGTAGCATGGTCAATTGACGCCGGCCACTCAACCCGGAAAGTGGTATTATAAGGTTGCTGTGCTCCATTGAGCAGGTAGAGAAGCTAAGCCTACGAAGGACACTAGGTTGATCGGTTACCTCGGAGTTTGCATCCCTACTCCGAAGTAAGCAGCAGGGTATCTTATGCGCCGCTAATAGATTGATAATTCTGGAGCCTCTTCAAGGCCGTTCGTAGCCTAGGGAACTAAGACCTGGATAGTACAATCGCCGCTTTCATTCTCCAAAAGCAAATATTCTTTCAAGAGCAGCTACGAAGCCACAGAACACTCGCAATGCATTTTCTTTGCCTACATGGAATGGGCACTAATAGCAAGGTACATTATCCTTAATCTATCACGGGATTCTAACTAGCTAATATCAACACAAGGTCCTAGAAACTCAGACCGGTAGGTGTTTACCCTTCATGCTTGTCTCAATGCGATGTAGTCCACTGACGACGTCGACAAAAGCTGCACTACGTTATGCTCTTGGAGATGATCATACGTATGAGTTTGTGCAGGGCGTTTTAAAGACGAGCATCCATTCTGAGATCCAAGACTTCTTCCCACAAAGGGAAGAATACTTTGAGTATTTCGATCTCAATGATGTTTCCAGCTGCCAAGAGGCTGTTCGTAATCTAGAAGACTTCATCGCCACAGAAGGTCCTTTCGACGGTGTCATAGGGTTTTCTCAAGGAGCTGCTCTCGCAGCCGCTGTCATGGCTCAGCGCCAAAGGAAGCAACCTCTTGAAGAGGCCGCAAACCCGGTCTTCAAATGCGCCATCTTTATTAGTGCAGCTGTGGTGTTTGACCCAATTAGTCTAGGAGAGGGCTTTCTCCGCGCACTCTCTTGGGACGTGGACGGAGAGGTGGTTCATGTACCAACCACCCATATATGGGGACAGAAGGACCCATCGCCCTTCCCTCCGATATTGGCCAAACTTTGCAATACCACTACCCGCCAGGTCTACATACATGACGGTGGGCACGGTATTCCAGGCTCACACATGGGCGAGGCCCTGGGAGAATGCGTTCGAGTTATAAGGAGGAGTATTTTGACCGCGAAGCTTAGTACTGTTTAATTCGCTAGCTACATTGACCGGATCCAATCTGCATTCTTTCACATGTACACTTTCTGACGTCTATGAGAGTTCGTCTCGAAGTCATTACCATCTTTGAATAACACAAGGACTCTAATTCAACATGATGATGAGTTCTTTTAACGCCGGGGGATCCTTGGAAGGTGCAGAGGGCGTCTTTCTACTTCAATTCAGTAGTGCATACAAACTTTGTTGCTCTTATAAGTATAATCATAGTCTAAATAGTTGGCTAGAATAGTGTTACATAAAGTCCCTTCTTTTTCTGATGTCCTTCGCAGATGCCGTACGCCAATAAGGTGTTTTGAGCGATATGTTATGTGTCACTTTGTTAGATTTGTCGCTTATCGGTGCAGATCTTCTAATCCAACATAACCGGTTGCCGCTCCCACATCATGAGAGTGACAGGGAATTGAGCTGCGGCAAACCCAATCAGAATCCGCATCTGCAAATTAAAACTCTCGACAAACAAACGCCGAACAATCTCCTGAGATGACGGAGGAAGAGAGTCGATTGAGGCTAAGTCCCTGAATATGAAAGAAAGTTGTTCCACAGACACGAGCGAGGAGAGCTCGCCACGTAGCCACTTGTTACCCACCGCAGTAGCTATACTCAACGCTGTTGCACCACCAAGGAAACGGAACTGCACTACAGAGGAGGTTGCTGTTGCTATACAACGTGTCAAAAATATTTACACATGGGCGAGATGCCCAAGCTTAGAGACTGTGGCTCACCTTTATCTCGCTCCTCTGTGATGTATGGCATCATCAGCGTAGCAACCCCAATGTTCAAACCTATTCCGATGCCTGTGAGAACCATCAGGCCATATAAGCCGTTCCAGTCAGGATCTTCAGGAGAGCCGCGAGACAAAAAGATGCAGCCAATCAGCTGAAAGGCGGCTCCCACGAAAAGCATATATATTGGGGGCAGGCGGCGTTTCTTGGTTAGACCAGCAACGAGCATGGCGCCGACTTGAATCGCCAGGGACAAGGGGATCAGCCGAATCCCGGCTTGTAGAGGCGATACTCCGACTGATGCTTGGTACCTGACCGGAATTGTAATTATAGAGGTTGTAGATACGGTGCCAGCCAGGAAGGAATTTCTACAGAATTACAAGTTAATCTAGATGATAGGAGATAAAAAGCTCAGTAGCTGTCACTTACATGATCAACCCCATAACAACGCGACTCTGACAGAACCGCCACGGAAACACGGGGTCCGGCCCACCGTCCCGTGTAGTCACATACCACTGAGAGGCAAGGAATGCCATCCAGAAGAATGCGGAAACAAGTAGCAAGGGCAGAACCTGCACCGAGGTCCATGCATGCAAACTAGCCGCCTGCTCGAAGCCCGTTATGTATAAAGTCATGCCGGCGAGCAGCAGCACGGCACCCAGGAAGTCAGCCCGCCGAAGGGAGATTCGCTTCTGGGCATCTGGACTGTTGTGAAATGGGAAGTTTGCAGGTATCGCTAAGACCACCAGCACGAGCGCGATTGCACCGCCAGGGACGCTGGATTGCACTCTGGTCAGCCATGGAAAACCCATCTTTGTTTTAAGGCGGACTAATTAGTGACTTACTTGAGCAAAAATACCCAAATCCAGCTGGAATTATCGTTGATAAGGCCGCCAAATATTGGGCCCAAGACCATGGCAAGCGCAAACAACGACGTGATTAGAATAAGGTAAGACGGCCATTTGTGCGTGGGAAGCATTTCCATGACGATGACGATGGAAAGAGCATAGACTCCGCACCCTCCAATGCCTTGAAACGCCCGACAGACGATGCTGGAGGGCTGGTCAGCACGGGGAAAATATCATATCAAACTATCCAGAAAAGAGCGGCCCTACAGCTGAATCATGGTCTTTACGGCAGCGCATGCTCCTGAAAAGATTGTGAAGACTGCCAGCGAGAGTACAAGCACGGACTTGCGGCTGAAAACATCGCTCAGTTTTGCGATAATAATCATGAAGCTTGTATAGGTGAGCAGATAAGCCGTCACGACCCAACTGGCCTGACTGAAGCTCTTCAGGTCGTTGGTAATGGAGACCAGGGACGTGCTAATGATGGATATTTCAAGATTGACGAGAAACATACCAATGCAGAGTCTAGGAGCAGTGGTCAGTAATTCCAAAGTTTCGGATTGCAGAGTGATAGGAGCCCCATGATTTTTGACCTTACCCAACAGTGAGGGCATGCAGTTTCCAGCCGGTCAAATATTTTGCGTCGCCATCTTGAACCGATAATTCTTCCTCGCGACTGGTGTCAGTTGCATCGGCCTCCTGGGGTGAACTGGCCACTGCAGGCTTTTCAGACTTGGAACTGTCCATTTTGACACGTCTGGGGGAAAAGGTGAGCTCTAAGCTGGTAAAAATCCAGGACCTGGGGATTGCAGGCGGGTTTCCTTAGGGGTGGAAGGTCAAGTAGCTTGGAAGAGTCAAAAATGGCCAAAGACTAATCTGCCTACAATTGTCTAGATGATTCGAGGGGTAGCAGCAAGTTAGCAGTCTGGTACGTGGCCATAACAGCCTGCCCTACCAGCCTGCTCACAACGTGGTATCGCCTGTGGTTATCATCATGCGTTGGCTCGCGTTGGGAGGCGCCAAGCAGTGTTGCATTAAGCAATGTGACGCTCCTCAGGCCATAATATGCCTTCCCTCGTTGGTTATCTCGGACGTTTCCGCATTTGCTCACATAGCCCCCAATGCTACATCACTTCAGTAGAAGTCCCTTTCATTGTTTTTTCACCACGTACTTATGGGTTGACGCCTTATCAGGGTTCTGGTGGATAGCGTGCAAAGGTGGTGCTGGCGTGCCTACATCGACCGCAGCCAACTGCAGCATAAATTGAACATTGTGTGCAGTGCAACCAAGACATGCAATAGACCCGAAGCATATGAATCCTGGCGCTTAGAAAGATGGTGTGGGCTTTATTGCGTAAATGTTACGGGAAATGGAAAGGTGGTCTAATGTGTGCAATGTGCAATATGCCAGGAAGGGCAGGGATTGATTTTGCCGACTTGGACACCCATTCGGAACATTCGCCTCGTGAATTTGCATACAATTTCAGCTTTACTTGACACGGAAAGAAAGTAATATTCCATATGTGAAAGGTGAATACGAACTGGCTATAATCGATCCTCCGAAACCCACTTACGCGTTTCTCCCCCCTTGTCAACTGAAAAGGGTATTCTCTCAACAATTTTCCCAGGTCTCTCTTCTCCCAGACCTGTCGTCTCTGGTACTTTTAAATGCATCAATATTACTGTTCTTGATGTTGCCTGGGTAAGATAGGTCGTTCAGGGGTAAGTAGGTTTCGGATTCTGTCCTCCCCTTTTGCTGCTGTATAGTCGTCTTTATTTTGATCGGTGATAGCGGGCTGCGGTTTGCCGATAATGAAGCTTTTCCACTACCAGAGGCGTCCAAAGTTGATTTCTTCCGTCCGTAATATGTTGATGAAGAATGTGGCTTCCTCGGGAGGCAGTACTTGAAGAGTACCTGGATGCTTGGTAGGCAAGCACAGATTACACCAACATCCATCTCGATGGCTGAGATCATTCCAATATCAACCACATCCCCTATACTCTATTAGCCTAGGTTCTATGCTTTTATTTTCGGACTGATGGAAAGTCAGATTTGTCCATACTAGTTAGGTTGTGCGAGTGAGCAAATTCTTCAATCAAGGGATACCTAAGGCCGCTGACAACAATGGTCCTAGAGACAAGTTAGCAGAAGAAAGGCCCGATTTGATTCAAAGTGAGGGTCGAGTTCTTACCCCATTCCCACCAAGAAGATAATTGAGATCAGTAGCTTCTTTTTCCAGGAAAGGTTGAGGCGAATGACAAAGGGTATGGAGACAACCAGCTGCCAGAAATCAACGATGACAGAGAGTATCGCAGTAGATTTCATAAACATGGCCAGATTGATACAGCTGCCCTGGTGTTCGCCATCCCACCTCAGCCAGTGATAACTTACGGGAGTACACTGGAAGATCAAGGTGAGAACAAGAGCAGCTGATAGACAGTTCACAAGAACAAATGTAAAAATCATAACAGGCCGAGCATTACCAATGTTGAAAATTCGGAAATAGAAGAGTATAATGGAAAGGCGAACAAAGGCTCGGCCTACACCATACATAACCATTGCAACATAATAGCGCTGATACAAGTTAGTATAATATCGATACAAGAGTTCCGTGCCTACTTACCATGAATAGGAAGGTAAGATTTTCCTGTGGAACGGCCCAGATGTCCCAACCGAGGCCATCGTGTCTCCCTTTGGCGGATATCAGCACTTTTCTTTACCTATACACTTATGAGCAGGGTTAGCCTTACCGTGAAGAATGATGACTGTGAAGGCAGTGGTGCATATCTAATTTAGGGTCAGTGGGAAGTCAACTCTCGGCCAAGGCATTCAAGCCACATACCATTCCGAGAATGTTGCAAAGGTCATCCCACCAATATCGAGCACCCATGACAAGCCTTGCCAGCAGGCGCAATATAACAGTGAGGCAGGTGAGAGCTAAGAATGCACTCATTATTGGAACAAATGAGTGGTCCTTCTCTGGCTCAATGCCACAGAGAGTATTTGTGACGTTCAATGTCGCTGTGAGTGATTGGAATAATTTAGTGGCTAGACTTGAATGACTAGTAGCCAGGAGTGAGTAACTAACTTAGCGTTTCTCTGACAGTGGAAGTAGATGACACACAGGCTCTAGCCTGAGCATTTAAGGCCTCGTCAGCACATATGCATGTTGTATTCATTCCACAGGCAGACTTCAGGATAGCGGTAGTAAAGCATTTCACCTGCCAAAATTGTTTTGGTGTTAGCACGGAGGCCCTCTCAATGGCTTGATATTAGGGGAGGCTAAGCGCACTGCCGGATCCGGGAGGAGAGTCACAATCTCAGTTAGAGAGGCCATAGTATCGGTATCCTGGGAAACTATCGACAATCACGGATAGGACGACTATAGAATTTGGTAAACGCTTCGAGAGGAGGAGGAGGATGGGTCTGGGTTATTATCAGTCCAATACGCACAAGGCGTGTGATACAGAGGACACAGAGTACAGTGGTCAATCAAAACGCACACCATGTCCCAACCTAAGTCCTCGATGGGTAGAGTCGCAATCTTATAAAGGCACCCTCCACAAGACTGTAGCATCATGGAAATTGATCCGGAGGTTGTCCCGATGACGCAACGCTGGGGATAACAACAAGCCCAGGTGAGCCCAGTTCAGATGGTCTTTATTGGCCACTTAACATGGTGCAGATGCATGCATGAAACAATTGGAATCCCACTTGGATTGCTTGTGAGACATGGGGTAGAAGTGGCTGATTGGTGGACGCATATATTGCGGATTATTGCCTCCTTCTATCACACCATGGTGGGTAAGAATTTACTACCCAAGAGGAGGAACACAAATCAGGAAGGACGTACTTGAAAATCAACAGATCAATTGCGAGGAAGCACTTTGTATTTGAAGCGACGAGAGATAAAATGCGTGTGGCAAGCTTGTAACCTTCTGCCTTTGGTGTATGTAGTATTGGACCGTTGGGCACATGTAAACTTTGTCCTTCAATACCCCTCAAGCTCACGCCAGGGCTGTATTCCCAATCGGGGAGGAACACGCCCTATATGATACTCCACAGTCCAGTCCATTTGTCAATGGCCTGTTCTTCAACTAAGCAACCGCATCTTGATCTTCATGACATTGCAGCGAGTCCGGGCCATGAAAGCTCCCTCGATTAGGGGCCCGGGAGTCTTACTCCATCCTATTGCCACACTAGGATAGGGAGGGCAAAGACGTCAGTAGCTATAAAAAAGCAACACCCAGCGGCGCGCCAGTGGGCTTGGATGTGGTTTTACATCATGCTCTATCGTAATGGGAAAACAAGACTGATTTTATCATGAAAAGCGAGTTAAACTACTTGAATATCTTTCATGAGGATCCTATACTCTTCCTCAAATCTGTCGTTAGCGGGGTTTATATGCTGGTCAGTACGAGCACCCGCAGTCATAAAGTGTCATAAAGTGTTGTCCCGTCTCTGGTAGACGAATTAGTACGTTGACGAGCTTCATCGTCGCGAAACGTGCCGTTTATAATGGCCAAATCCCGAAGCTGCTTGTTCTTGTGATCGTTTTGCTCCTCGGGCGAGGAGATAGCATTGCCGACGACCTGCTGCAAAAGCCGTATCGCCTCTTGAACCTTGTATCTCGAGTCAGCAGAAATTAGAGCATGAAGAGGCTGGCCGCTGTCGTCCTCGGAGTGTGCCGACCCCCTTCGTCGGACGTTGCCCCTTCCTTTCTTAACAGAGCCCCGGCCGCGGAGGGAAATAGTCGCTGCGCAGCGCTGTTGAAATTCTTTGAGACTCTATCCTCTTGGTCCAAGAATCTGACCAACAAAGTTGACGCCGGGATGCTCGGTATTGGGGATGAACAGGCGATCAACGAAACGCGTCAGGCGGCGGTAGTCGCTGGGTGTGTGGTAACCAGACACCGCCGCGATTATGCCCTCGATGCAGGTGTGCCTCTCAGCCATGAGGGCATGGCGGCGGTGTTGAACACGGGTGTTGGTGCGGCGGCCGGTTGCGTCGTACTCTGGGTCGGGAGACGCGATACGGCGGGATTGCCTCGCCTCGCCTCGTCTCGCGAGAGTCGAATCCGGAAGTCGGAGCAAGCTGGTGATCTCAAGCGTGCGGAGGTGCCAGACATATATTTCGAGCTGCTCCTGTGTCATATTAGCCTAGATAGCCGTAGGGAGAGGGGTGCCGTCCTGCTCCAAAACGTGGGTTAATTCGGTCGGCGATAACCATCTTGAAGTGCGACTGCACGGCATGCTCAGTCAAGATCAAAAGAAGCTTGTGAGATAGTCAATTGAGGAATATCTGGTGCTGGTCAATGTATCGGCTTCGAGATTGTAGTTGAAGGCAGATGTAGATGATTATGCGCAAGTGTCTACAGCCTGCTTGTTCTAAAAGGTAAGAACAAGACCAAGGAGAGGAGAGGGGCGTATTAGAACGTGGATATTTAAGATGAAACATAGAAAGTATTCATTGAATGTTTGCTCGGGCACATCTCTCTTCGCCATATAATGTAAGTTTTGCTAAGTTTGCCCGAAGTAAAAATCTTAACGATGAGGAAAGTTATTGTTGTGCGCATGTTGCCACGGGTAACTCATCTATATATTTGGAAGCTTCCATCCAGCCAGAATTTTACTTAAAAATAATAGAATAATACAATATAAGAAGTATATAGATATAGATTTATATAAGTTCTAGATTTCTTTTCTGATAAGTTATTAAGGAGTCTTGTGTTTAAAAATAAATTAGTAGGTTTAGGGTAAGGCACTGTGAGGTCGCAAATTTAATATCCACCAGGTAACCGTAATAAGGGCAGAGATGCCGAGTAGATGAGCAGTGTATCCTTCTTCAGACCCATGGCTAACCCAACAAACACAATATTGAAGACGACTGGTAGCCTGTGGCAGCCCCAAACGTTTGTTGAACCTTTAACGATCTTCTACATAAGCTCACTTGCCCGGCCCCTTGAAACATGCCTTTTGCCCCAGGTTGCCTTCGACAGCTTGCTTACACTGCTTGCAGCCCAATGGCCGTGGTGCAGCTAAAAGCGGAGACCAAGGGTCATTGCGTGGGATTGTGAGAACCCATCTCTGCAGCATTACTGAATCTGCCTCAATATTAGACCGGATTAGGTGATGGGGATGATGTGTGAGTGAACGATCCACCCGTCTTACTTGCCTTGCATGTCTTGCTGCTGATTGGCATTGCCTTGCGTCAATTCCGCCGCCATATCTTATGGTTAATGAAGGCACAGTAATTTATTGAATTAGTTCAGTACTATTATAGTGTCTCACACGAGAGAATTTTACAGCAACGACTCTAATCAAAACATCATATTTATAACATGCTCGGCTGCGTAGTAGAGTGGTCACAATCAACTGTTAGGATACAACCTTTAGGATATGCCCGAACTGCCTACTCCAAGATCCCATGCAAGTTAGATGCGTATGAATTCTGGGAATGCAGACCTACAACGCAGAAAAACGAAGTCTTGGGAATGAGGGATACCGTGCTATTGACTACTGGGCTTGGCATTGCCTATCCCCTCTCACAATTGTGAAATTTCGTAGAAACGCAAGATTCCAGAAGTAGAATATCGCATGACTAGTGCTTCCCGGAAGCCAATGAGAGTGCAAGTCCCTCGTATCTGCGCGCTTTCTTGGGGGCCGACGATCCCTGGCGCCCGCACATCTTCACATATCCCGGGGTCGGGGAACATATCCCAAGGACGCTTGACCGCATATCCCGAGGACAGATGGGCGCATATTTTCAAGCTTGAAGAGTCTCGAACCAACCAGCCATGGTGTGGTGGGCCCAAGCTGAGACTTGGTTGTCATCTGTACGATAGCAACGGCCTTAAGAGACTGGCCGCCTCATTTCCCGACCCTGCGCCTCCCGGTCATCCTCGTGGTTCGCACTGCATTCAGTCATGTCGACGCCTTACCTCGCATCGTACGCAAATGAATATTCGTTCGCGCGGGGCGCCACCCGAGCCGGCGATGCTGCCCAAGCCGCTGGTAACCACCGGTCCAGAGCTCTGGCCGAGATCGACGGACTCTTTGCTGGTTTCCAGTATCTAGAGAGGACGGAAGGCAATCAAAACTCGAGCGCTCGACCCTTCAATGCAAGCACTTTCATGCCAGATCGGGCATCATTTGACGACTTTGAACGTGATCTCAACAGCACAGTAACACAACCAGACTTGGCCGACAGCGATAATCTACATCAGGACGAGGGCCGTGCCGCAGACAGTGAGGGACAGCCTTCCAAATGCGATTGGTCATCAATCAGGGACGTCATGGAAGGATCCGAACACCACTGGCGAAGCTTCCAGCAGCTAGCGGAGAAGCTCAACCTCCCCGCCGTCAACAAAATTCGAAATCAATATGAGAACCCCCGTGGTCTTCGTGAGGCAGGCGTCTTTGCATTTCGAGAGACACTCTCTGGTGCAGCACCAAAGGACCTAAAGGGCGTTTTTGCATTTGCAAGCCTCTCGTTTGTAGTGTCCCAGCTCCTGTGTAGCAGAGGACGCATTGCAAAACAGGAGATTCTCAAAGGCATCAAGGTCTGGAGAGATGCAATCCAGGATCGAGAAGAAAGAGAAGTGTTTCTTCAGCTTGCGGAAGAGCTTTGGCCAGAAGCAAAAGTCCACTTCCATTTCATACCCCTCAACCTGAACCAAAAACATCTCGACCGCCTGGACAATTTATCGTCTTTTGGGAGCCATTATTGGCAGCCACAGGAAGAGTATGCGGCAACATCAACGGCACACTTCAGTGAGGATCAGCAGGGGCATACAAGCCAATTGGCATCCAATGTTGACTCGAATGCGCCAGACAGCTTTAATATTTTGCCTACACATGGGAGCTTCACTGATCAGGAATACGCGATACAGTTGCTCGCAGAGTATAATAACCTTCCCATGTGGGAGCAGGTGACAAGGATGACTGACTGTACTCGAGAACTGTGGCATTGGCATGAATCATCATTACATTTGTCTAATGCTTTAGGATCAATTGGAGCCACGGGAACGTCCGAGCATCTGCCTCTAAGAGATGGTCTGAGTTTGACCAACAACACCAGTGCAAAGCCTCCAGATCCCGGGCACGATCCTCCAGATACCCCAACATGCGAGCAACTTCAAAGTACGGCCGTCTTTTGTGCTGTTTCTACTTACCTCTTGAATTTCAGCAGGTTCTTCTACCTTCTATCTGGGGGCGGGCTCTCCGCAAAGAGCTTGCACTCCATCAAGGCTTTCAACATGGAAAACACTAACCTCAAAGATCATATCCTGGACATGTACCTCGAGCCATTGAAGAATAGCGGCATTACTCTGAGCTCGCAGAGCCTCGCCATCTGGGCAGTTGCGAGAAAGTTTGTCAAGTTGGGGTGTCTACAGAGTGTGCAGGAGGTCCAGGACTATCTTATGACAGTCGGAAGGGTAGGTCTGAGCCAGGACATTGGACAAAGAACAGCATTGCTCATATAGACTGTAGGAGATCCTGCCCACAGGAAAGCCATTTACACAGTTCTCCCGTTGGGTCTACTCTATAGCTGAAGGGCCTCTTGTCTCTGTAAGAAGCCCGAGTTGTATGAGTACACCCAAAGGCGGGCGAATTCGAAAAAGGAAGTCGTATGTGCTTGAATGTAATTTTCTGGGCGATTCTAGGGCACAGCTAATCGAGGTAGAAGGACCTACGTGTGTGAGACCTGTCAAAAACCGTACTCCAGCTCGACAAATTTATCAAGACATCGCAACAAACACAAGAAAGCACAGGTATGCCCTGCTGGGTGTACATGGACTAATACCCAAGGAAGGGCGGATAGGCTGCGTGAACACTTGAGCAAGTACCATCCAGAGTATATAATATCTGAAAGGTAACAGCTAGTTATCAATGATTGAAACAGGAAGCTTTGCAAGCAGAGACCCCAAGGATATGCAAACTGAGATGCTTAGTATGCAAGATCAAAGAAACCCTGGCAACACCTTCCGTCCTACTATCAAATGACATTGGGGATCATATATCTATCAAGGGCTCACTTCAGGGAAGTAGGGGTCAGCCCACACAGTTGGGGTTCGAAGAACGGCAGATTTAGGAATTCAATCAAGAGAAACGCCGGTACGGGGATCGATCATGCCACCGAAGGCACCGGGGCTATTGGAATTATCAATAGCATGGTTCAGCAACTTAAGGGTTATCCCCAGCAGCATAGCCTCCACGACCTTAAAGGGCGTGCTTTTGAGGAGTATATTACAAGGCGTGTTTGGATACAAGTAATATAGAAAATTTCGAAATTATAATACTTATAAAGATTTCTTCTTAATTATAAGAATTTTAATATTAGTTTTCTTAATTACTTTTAATTACGTCTTACCTTTCTTAATAAACGTCTAATTATATTATTCTTTAGCTTAGGATATTAAGATTAAACATGCTTAATTTTATTATAATCATGATATTTTCTTCATCGTATAATACTAAACATAGCCTCACTGCCCCTTCACTCCCTTGAACCGAGCCCGCTCTCATAGTCAGTGGATAACAACAACTACCCAACGTACTGCTACCACTTTCACAACCTAACCATCTTGATTTAACTGAGAGAAGAAAAGTGAGGAGAGTTTCACTTACATTACCTCTATAATGTATATTCATCAACGGTGCCTTTTTATGCACTATACTATCATTCATTATTCATTGTGTTGAGAGCTCGGGTTTGGCATCTTATATTGTTATTTGGCTTTTTACTCAAGCTCTACCCGTATAAACGTTCAAGAGCAGGAATACCATGCAGCATTCCAGTGGCAAAGTTTCCTTTGCTTAACCTCGGTTTCATTCTTGTCGCAGTACCCCAGGTTGAATCATGTTTCAGCATCCTCCCCCTACTCACAAATACACATCCTTCATAGAGCGCGGGTTTCGTCTCCTTGTATCGCAGGAACAATAGCAGATTCGATGAGCTGAATTGATGTGCCGACAAGCCCTACAGCTAAACGCAATATCACCTAAGCATTTGGTGTCTCGGCCTTTTCGATGACCGGCTGGGGCTTTGTAATATCTCTGCGTAGAATGTGTCGCTTGAAGAAGTGTGGCAGCCAAACTCTCAACTCATATGATAAGAAATTCTTTGTTGGGACAGAAAATACCTCTATATGCGTGATTAGTTAAGAAGAAAACACAAATCAAGTTGGGCAGCACTAACGGTCCAACTCCTCCAATGTCATTCGTTTAGTTTCTCGGACGAAGCAGAATATCAAGATCCAAGCGATGAAGTTCAGTCCAGCATAAAAGCCGACTAAAGTATCAGGTCAGTACATCAGCGGAAAAAGCGATATTTGGATTGGTTAGTATGTAACTCACAAGCGCCAGTAGGAGTCATGACAGTCTGCATTCTAGGGAAGGTTAGGCTGAGAACGCCAGCTTCGGTCGCGAGTCAGTCAATAGATCATGAACTCAAAAATCTCCGACGCTCACCAAAGATGTTGTTGATACACACGGCCATCAATACCACCTGCGAGAGCCAATACGTAGCCAATGAGGACATTCCAGACCAATGATGCCAGCCTCCATCTTTTCAAACAGATGCCTTAACAGATCGGTATCTCTATTAAGCATATAAGTGGCGAGCCCCATGCTTGTATCATTCTCCAGCTTGATAGTTTCTTCCTCAGTCTCAAATTCCAATAAGCTACAAACAGGGACGCCATCATGCCCGTCAAGATGGAGGGGGCGAAGAAATAACCCTTGCTATTGATGGTGTGGCGCCTGCCCGTCCTGAATATAATACTAGCCCCCTATGAGACCGCGTTCTCTACCTTGTCTTTTGCCTTATTCAGACCGCTGGGAGACAGTAACAGTGCGAAGGGTTATGCCTGCAGTCGCCCCATGGCCAATGACGAGCTGACTAGTTTACTTCTTGAGCAAGGTAACGACCTCATTATAAATACCTGCTTGGACATAGACACGGTTAGCAGAGATATAAATTTGGCCTGTATATCTCTATTTAGCAGTATGAGCTGAGCTACAGTATAGTCTAAATGAGTATGATCAAAGATCACAAAGGGGCAGTTACCCCTGAGCTCAAGAGTATATGTTTTAAGACTTTGGTATAGAGTCCAGCTACAATTTTACCAACTCTGGTACTGCCGGTAAATATAACCTTCTTCACTAATAGATAAATACACATCGCTTCTGAAAGAACAGTAGTTTTCTCCAGCAAGGTTATCAAGACATTAAAGACACTATGTAGAAAGCCAGCTTGAAGTACTAGATCAGCCAGCATAAGGCAGATCAAAGGAGACTCGGGCGATAGTTTTGCGACCATAGTGCAGCCGTCAGCCAATACTGCTCCCAGCTCGCAGAGAATCATGGCAATATGGAAATTCCAAGAGATAAGGGCCACAGCCACACCAGAGACTACTTGATTCTAAGAACCTTCCTACCAGGGGTCACAGAAGTACTAGTAGAGCTCTAAGTATACTCAGCCTCGCCCGTGAACGACCAGGTAAACCTTAATGAGTAGCTAATCTCGCTGTGTAACTCGGTGAGAGGCTTTTTTATATTAAAAGTAAGAAGTTTAGCGAGGCTGTTGCAGGCAGATGTGATTTTGCTATGTTATGAAAGAAGGATCTCGGCTCTTTTTCGAGGCGATAAGGCACTGTATTCAAGAAAGCCCTGATGGGCAGAGATGACAGCATCATCCACGTCTTCGGGCCCGTTGTCTGGGCAATGCGCCCAGGCTTCGCCTGTGCTGTGATCAACAACATTGAAAGACCAGTGGCCGCAGCCACCCAATGTCCATGAATGAGAGAATTTGATGTAGTAATGTAGGATCATTCAATTGGAAAGGAAGTATGTCAGCCATCGCTTAATGACTTCGCTCTGATTATCAAGAGAGCTGGTTAGAGATCGATTGCAGATTGAACAAGACGAGTGGTTCTTACCATGCGCAAGATACCAATGCTTTTGCATAAAAGCTGAATATATCGGATTGGTTACTCGAATGCAGTGCATTCGATTGAGACCTTCCTCTGTGGTCAGAAACCTACATTCACTCTATTACTTCAAGACACCAATGAGCCGATTCGCATATGCTTAGTCTCGATAAGCATTTCCCGAACTGGTAAAGTTGTCGTGCAGGTTGTACACTTGATCCCACAACCGATCTCTACCCGTGCCGTTAGTATCGTGACGATGATCACAATAGCCAATCCACTCTCAGCATCGTAGCCGGCCCGAACTAACCCCTCGTTTGAGCACCTGATGCTAACCGGATCTCCGCCTGCCTATTCCACGATTAAAGGAGAAAAATCCGGGTATTCTATCTTGTTTGATGCTTCCACATGCAAGACTCAGGCGGACCGGCAGTTATCCCGTGGACATGCCACTGAAACGATTTGGCGTCTCTAAGAATTGTGCACGTTTGTAAATTGTGTCTGTTCATTGTGTCCAGTGTTTCATTACATCTTCTAGAAGTATCTCTCGTATGCCTTTGCCGCATCTAAAATTGTCTTATCAAATGGGATCCATCTTTGGCCAGTTGCCTTGGCAGCCTTGCTTGCGTCGACCCTTCGCGCATCAGCAGGCTCAGAATAATCTGGTAAATAACCCTTCCCTGGTTCGCCCTCTCCGATGATATCTTTCCTTCCAGGGTAGTGTTTGCGCAAGAGATCGCGATAAGCCTGTACGTTTGCAAAGTTGCCATTTCCACCAGCGATGAACCGTTCTCCGTCTGCAACTTGCTGATTTTCCACGGCGAAAACAATTATTCTCGCGACATCACGAACGTCCACGTGCGTCCCATTGCCGGGTCCCACTAGAGGAACATCCTCTCCCTTCATGATGCGATATGCGATGATGGCAGTATCGCTCAGCTTCTCGGGGTCCTCGGGCATAATCAGTGGCGGGCCAGCAACCCATACAGGATTTACCGCAGTCATACTGAACTTGATCTTGCCAGCGTTCTTTTCACGGAAATCCCAGAATGCACGCTCTGCCTTGACCTTGCTGGCCCCGTAGATTTGATGGCCGGTGACGTTGGAGCCCGACTTTGCGAGCGTCTCTTCGGCCTCTGTGTTCCAGTCCTTTTCCGTTACTCCTCGACCCTCCCACTGAGACCCACGCCCTCTGACAGCCACGATAGAAGACATGTACACAAATGACTCGACGCTGGGTTCTTTCATGGCAGATCCCAAGATTCCGACTGTACCCTGGACAGCAGACCCGATGACGTAGTCGACATTGGTATTTGAGAAATCAACTGGTGTTGCGAGATGTGCAATCGCCCTCACACCTTGTACAGCATTGTCGAATGCGCCGGAGCTCGTAATATCAGGGACAAGCGTGGCTGTGAGACTGCCCGACGAGGCTTGCGAAGGCAGGGCTGCAAGCAGGCTGGACGCTGAATGTTGGCTCCGGACTGCTGCGCGGACCGAATAGTTAGCGGAGAGGAATGCTTCCACGACGCGTGCGCCGATGAAGCCATTTGCGCCGGTGACGAGAACGAGGCCTCTTGTTGATGCCATATTTGGTTTAATGGGTGCTGCTGTCGTAAAGCTGTATTGCTTTTGCTACCGTCAATTGTGAGGGCAAACGGGTTAGTAGACTAGACACAGCCGTCGCCATGGCCCGCGTGGTTATATGCCTTGATCTCTCGCGTCTTGTCGATATTAAGTTCAGCCATAGCCGGTGTTAATCGGCATTAGATGCATTTGATGATATCAACGCCCGTGTCTGTCTTGTCTGACTAACACTAAATCACCATAATTGATTCGTGCCTAGAGCTTTATCCCCTAAGTCCGGAAACCCAGCAGGAGCGCAATCGATGTTACGGACGGAGCACTCGGAGATTTTAATTACTAAAACCAGCGATTGAATGCTTGTAGGCAATTTGGTCGTATCCCAACCCGAATCTCTGGTGCCGAACCGCCACCGAACCGGCCGCCTTTTCCCGACTCGGCAATGACCTCGAATGTCATCCGGGGTGAGTTAGGGAGGTAGAAGAAGGCGAGATCGTCGGATTTTCTATTCTTCAGCCTAATCTCGGTACAGGTATGAATTGATCGGATGCATTCGTCCTTTTCGATATTCCACGTAATAAATAGTAGACTTCCGAGCATCATGGAACCTTTAGGACTTGATAAACAAAATTTAAAGGAAATGCAAACTGAGTTAATGCCAATTGAACAAAACGTAGAATTGCGTTCGGTTATTATCTACCCTATAGCCTACCATTCTAGAACACAACGCAAAAACTTTTAACTTTTCCAAGTTATTCATAGAAATGTCAGCGACTGTAAGTTGGCCCTGATTTCTATGGTACGGCTCAGGTCTTCCACTGCCTATGGTAGGTATCCTAGTATTGTTACCTCTGTCTCCCCTAGTAATTGAATGCAGTGACGAATGAGTGCAAGTGCAACGCAAGTAATGAGAGCTTGTGAATCGAGAAGAACCAATTTGCTGACTCCAACGGCACTAGCATCTACAAAGGACCTTTGTTCTTGGAAGCGATAAAGGATTTGGATTGCGAACGGGGAAGACGTCATGTGTGACGCCACTTCTTATGATCGGAGCGAACAACTACCAAGTCGGGCCCAACACCACATGGTGTCGACAGTAACAAGAGCTCTATAGACGACTGAAACCATCCAATTGTAAGGTTTTCCAATGTCGAATATAGATTGGTCAATGGCTTGCTAAAATGACATCTGCTGCCTGGAGTAGAAAGTGAAGTCCGACAATATTCTCGCACCTGTTTACAAATAGATCGTGCTGGAGAATGAGAAAAGGCACTAATACAAACAAACAGACTGACAGGCACGCAAGTGCACTTTGGTCACGTTTACCGTAAGATATGTTCTAAGAGCATGGGTTCAATTACGTCACTCAGCAGTGATTTTCCCTCCTTCTCGGGAATAATAATAGGTGGTTGCTTGTGGCGTGCGGGAGCGTGCCGTGATATCCGACTGTGGCAGCATTATTGCCGTTCTCGTAAGTCAGCCGTCGCCCAACCAGAATAGAGCTCACCTACCACAGACGTCATAGGAGGTCACATCAGTGAAGTTGGTGTGAAGCCATGTTTTAGGCTTCTCTCAATCCAGTCGATCCAAGGGAATCCGTGTTGCACTTCTAGGGAATCCCGCTACCAAATTAGAGAAGAGGTATAGAGAGCCGACTAACGGCTTATTGTGGATAAGCACAGATGTAGCGTGGGGGAGCGATCGGCATCTGGGGATGAGTTCTCACAAACGTATAAAGAGTATTAATGTCTTCATCTCGATCCTGTGGTCGGGTTGATGTCCATTGCTTACGCCTTCTCAAGTTACATAGGCTGTGTTACAAAACGCACTCCTGCGGAATATTTTTACCTGGTATTAGATTCTTCAAATCGTGTCCGGGATGGAGTCGAAAGGAGAAAACGGCGAGTTCTCGCCCAAGGTGGAGAAGTTTGAGCACACAACCGGCCACCGCTCTTCTGTAGCGGGAGCGGAGAATCTGGCTTCAGAGTTTGAAAATCCGCTTGCTACTCGCACCGAGGAGGAGGTTCTTTCTGATGTCGAGGAGTTCTGCCGCAAGCATAACCTCATGGATTTCATCGAAGACTTCCGCCAGGGAGCACTGGTTGCCCGAGATCCCCAGAATTCCCTTAAAATGAATGGTCTTAGCGAAGAGAACAAACGCGTTTTGGAGCGGGAAGAAACTCACCGCTGGTCCCAACCCTTTACACTCTATTGGCTCTGTGTCATGTGCTCTGCTGCGGCCGCCGTCCAGGGCATGGACGAGACTGTCAACAATGGCGCTCAGGCTCTATACTTGGAACATTTAGACGTCGCCGGCCCCAATGTGACAAGGTTTGACAAATCAATGCAAGATAACCTGACCGGCCTCATTGTCGGAGCTCCTTACCTATGTTGCGCAATTATTGGTTGCTGGATGACCGAACCAATGAACCGCTGGCTGGGGCGGCGAGGCACCATTTTTTGGTCGTGTTTCATCGCTGCTGTTACCTCCGTTTGGGAAGGTGTCGCCAATACGTGGGTCAATCTCTTCCTTGCGAGATTCTTCCTCGGGTTTGGCATAGGTCCCAAATCGGCTACTGTCCCTGTCTATGCCGCCGAGTGTGCTCCGGCGCCTATCCGAGGTGCCCTAGTCATGCGTGAGTTTCGCAGAAGTCTTGATTTCGCAGCAACTATTCACTAAGACCTGAACTAGAATGGCAGATGTGGACGGCCTTTGGTATCATGCTCGGCAACATCATGGGTGTAGCCTTTGGCCCATCAACTGGCATTGACCCTGATCTCGGATGGCGATTGATGCTTGGGAGCACTGTAGTTCTTCCTTTAATTGTGTGTGTTCAGGTCTATTTCTGTCCCGAGTCCCCGAGGTACGTGTATTCGTAGCCCCGGATCTATGGAGAAAAACCAATCAACTGACTCTAAAATGGCGACCCCCAGATGGTACATCCAGCACAACAAGCCTGAAAAGGCGTTTCGATCCTTCCAAAGACTTCGGTTCACCAACCTGCAAGCTGCCCGAGACACCTATTATACATATGTCGGTGTTGAACTAGAGCGTGAGGCGAACAGAGGAAAGAACCTCTTCACACAGTTCATCGAACTCTTCACTATTCCTCGCAACCGGCGAGCTACTCTTGCTACTTGGATAGTCATGTTCGGCCAGCAGTTCTGTGGTGTAAGTAAACCATTTTCTCTCCCGGGGACATTTAGGGATGAACATATGCTGATATACTTTGAATTAGGTCAATATCATCGCATACTACTCTACCACAATCTTTGTCGAATCTGGTTATTCTACCAACTCTGCCCTTCTTGCATCAATGGGAACTGGTATATTGAACTGGGTCTTCGCGATTCCTGCTTTATTCACGATTGATCGCTGGGGACGTCGCAATCTTCTCCTATTCACGTTCCCATGGCTTGCCCTCTTTCTGCTATGGACGGGCATGTCCTTCTTCATCCCCGACGACACTGACGCGGGCACCAAGAAGCGTGTAGCCATGGTCACCACCGGAATGTATCTTTTTGAGATATTCTACTCGCCGGGCGAAGGTCCCGTGCCCTTCACGTATTCAGCCGAGGCATTTCCTGTACATGTGCGTGACGTCGGCATGTCCTTTGCCACGGCGACGACCTGGTGCTTCAACTTTATCATATCCTTCTCGTGGCCGCACATGGTGTCTATATTCCAGCCGCAGGGTGGTTTTGGATGGTATGCAGGCTGGTGTATAGTTCTCTGGTTCCTCATCCTACTATTTGTCCCAGAGACCAAGGCCCTCACGTTGGAGGAGCTGGACCAGGTGTTCAGTAGAGGCACACGCGAACATGCGAGCTATCAGATCAAGAACGCAATCTGGCATTTTAGAACGACTGTTTTGCGCCAGAGGCTTGAACCTCTGCCTCCGTTCTACGAAAATTCCCCCAAACTTAATAAGGCGTAGTCTTCTTTCGGTTTGAAGATCGGTTCGTCACATTCTTATGTAATGCAATGGGAATGGAGATGGATCGGCTAATTGGGCAGTTTTCTTTGTCAATATCCCTTTTTCTCTTTTGTATGTCCTTATTTTATGGATACGTCAACGATCAAATCCATCTCTCATTTAAGCTTGCATGTATCGGTTCTCTAATATGATTCAGCCGAATTCAATGACTACAAACTGGTAAACAAGGGAGTTGGATGATTCGAATCAAGAAACTACGGATTCATACTAGTGTAGAGGTCAGAAATATACAGCCATCCGTGAACACTCTCAAAGGCCGAACACCCTAATGATGATATCCGCCACCTTGTCCCCAACCACTATTACAGTGTAATTAGTATGAGCAGTAGAGCCCATTCTTTTCCATTAGTCTTCATCGTGTTGAGATGTCGGGTATGGCACCTTTCATTGCTGTTTTACCTCACACACTATACCACTCTTCTCTCATTAGCCTACTTTACACATACTAATCAACTGCCACGCTGACCCGACGCTATGCGTGTTGTTCCATCTTCCTAACAGGCTGTTCATCTACTGATACTGCTTCGAAGCTTCCACAAACTTTCTAGCATTCACCTTTTCATGGAACAAGTGATCCAACGTTTCAGCCGTCATACCCTTCAACTCCGGCAACCTAAAGAACGTCCAAAGCGCCAAGAAGACCGTCAAACCCGTCGACACAAACGCCGTCTTTCCTTGCAGATTAGCCTCGCTCGCGTTGAGAAGGTACGGCGCAACGATGACGTTGATGATGGAGAGGACGTAGTAGGTGATGCGGCCGAGGGAGATGGTCTTGACGCGGAGCCAGGCTGCACCGACGGAAGCAGCGATTGTGTATGGGATGGGACCGATGCTGATGCCGTAGATGAAGAACCAGACGAGCAAAAGTGCGGCCTGAGCCCAGCGGATATTGGAGTTCGATGTCACGGCGAGATCGAGGAAGCCGACGAGACCCATGACGGGGATCATGGCAACGAGACCGTAGAGGTAGAGTGATCGCCATCCGAATTTGGTCATCATGAACCAAGACAGTACCGTGCCAACAAAGGCAAGACCAGCATTTCCTGCAAGCCGTTAGCAAACATTCTCCAAACTCTACGAAGGCAAGCCATACCTAAGGACATCTTGAATGAGTCATTCGGTGACAGCCCAGCCAGGGTGAAAAAGTAGGTAATGTAGTTCTGGATCGCAAACCCAGGCAAAATCTGGCATCCCCAGCAAATCATCGAAATCTCCGTTCTGCGCAGATTCTCTCCCTTGAAGCAGTCCGCATACGAGCCCTGGATATTCATATCCTGCTCCAATCGAATAGTGCGAGCGATCATTGCCAGTGTATCCTGCGGGTTGATGACGTTTTGTGGTGCCGTGCAGAGTCTTTCGAGGACCTTGCCTGCTTCTTCGTTGCGACCTTTCTTGACAAGCCACCAGGGTGATTCAGGGGCGAGCCAGGTGGCGGTGACCATGAAGGGGAACCACATCCATTGCAGGGCAAAGGGGATGCGGTAGGACCATTGCGTCGTGTTGCCCAGCATCGAGGTGATGATGCCAAAGGCGATGAGCTTACCCATGACCCAGCAGAGGTTGACGTAGACGACCAGGTATCCTCGAAGCTTCAGGGGCGCAATCTCGGACGCATACGAAGGTGTTGCCGCGGCGAAGAAACCGCAAGGAATTGACCTGCAGTCGTCAGCAAAGATTCACCAGAAAGATAAGTGTAGGACTTACACAAGCAGTGTTCCGACCATCAACATCTCCACGCCGGTCGCAAAGAACTGTATAAACACAAACGCCGCCAGCGCAACATGGTTCACAAGCATGACCATCCTGGGCCCAAACCGATCCGCAAAATAACCATTCGACAAGCCTCCTAGAATCATGCCCACGTTCGTCACCACCGTTAACCCGATCTGCCACCGCGCTGGTATCGACCACTTGCCATTCGGCAGCTGCTCGCCAAAGCGTTGGTTGAACTGCGGGAAAGCGAAGAAGGAGGTAATGAGCAGCAGGTCGTACGACTCCATGATGGTCGACATGGACATGGCGAGGGACCAGAAGACGGCACGATGGTAGTAGCGCAGGGAGTCACGAACCGAAAGAGACGTGTCGACGCGTTGGGCTTCGTCCGCGGCGAGGTCGGAGGGGGAGCGGGAGTCTGAGTCGACTGGCGAGGGGGCTTTCTCGAGGTGAGACATGGCTACGTCGTCTTTGGATGCCATCTTGGGGAGACAATGATGAAAGACAAGACGAAGAGGGACGCGAAGACTGCGAGAGGTTGATGGCAACTTCGAATGGAAGTCGAGATGTCAGAGGATGTGAAGTCTGAAGCCTGAGTTGTTCAAGTCGTGACCGGGAGATCGGCCACTTCTATATCACTTCCAACCTCAACAACGAAAGACATGATCCAATGAAAACCGCATACCCCAGATTTATCGACGCAATAGCAAGGTTCTAGCACGCCATCTCCAGGTTTTCGCAAGATAGTACTCCAGGATTGTCCACGCCCAGGTTCTGAGTTTGCAATTGGTGTAGCACTACGGAAGTCGGATAACCGGGTGGCCGGAGCTAGTTTAGGCGCAGCCATAGTGCGACGGTGGTGCCCATCCAAGGGGCGACAACTAATGAGGAGCAGAGGTTAAATGGTGTCTCGTGGGGAAATAGAGTTATTGTCCTTGGTAGGGTGAGTCGTATGAAGCATTTCCGTGATTCCGGGACTCAGACTGATGCTGGGTTCTCGGAAGCCGGGATCGAAGGCTGGAGCTGAAAGCCTGGGTCTGCCTTTCCTGACGGAGTTCTCCCTCACGTGGTGTTCACCCAGATGAGACGTACGGCATAGAGGCTATTGTCTACTATTGGGCCTAGAATGTCAGTCTGTAGTAGCCAAGGGTGCTCATGACAAGTCGATGATAGCCCCATGGGGTGACATGACTCGCATTCACTCTGCAATATTATTGGTACTGGCATGAATAAGACCACCTACAAACCAGTGTAATGATTCCCCGTCTCGAATGCGCCTGGACTTGGCTTAGATGTCAGGGAGTGCAACGAGACCGCCAAGCTGCAAGACTGATCTCATGATACAGCTTACTATTGGAAGATTAGACGGTAACCGACCTCGGGTGCTTAAGATGACTACTCGATAGCTATAGAATTTCGGTGAGCTTATATGAGAAGCGCAGAAACATGTCAGGTGATACCGTAGTGTTAGCCTACTGCCATTATCGCTACAATGCGCTTGGAGTGAGGATTTGCCTTGACCGGTAGAATGCATCATGTTATTTCTATGTAAATACCCCAACATGTATGCACTCGGCGTGCTCTATCTACAGTTATTGGTTTTCATACTTGGTATGTACAGGCTCATCACCAATCTCGTACATCTTATCCTCCAGCTTCTTCTTCATCATCACAACCACATCCTTATACTTCTCTTCGGCATAACAATTGAACAGCTCCAGCGGGTCCTCGTGACAGTCAAACAACTCCCATTCTTTTTTGTCTGCATCACCTGGCCTCGCGCCCTCGAGCCCAAAGTCCTCATTATACCAGTAAATCAGCTTATACCGCTGGTCGCGAACGCCATAGTGTGCGTAGGCGTTGTGGATGACGTCGTTGTGCATCCAGTACCGGTGGTAGGCGACTTGCTGCCAGTCTTCTGGCGTCTTTCCATGAAGGAGTGATTTGAAGGATACGCCTTGCATATATGTTGGAATGCGCACGCCTGCGAAATCGAGGAACGTTGGGGCAAAGTCGACGTTGCAGATGATGTCGTCGCACACGCTCTTTGGCTTGATCTCTCTCGGGTACCGAATCAAGAACGGCATGAGGAAGGACTCTTCATAGATAAAACGCTTGTCGAACCACCCGTGCTCGCCGAGGAAGAAGCCCTGGTCTGATGTATATACCACAATGGTGTTTTCCGCGAGACCCTCCGCGTCGAGGTAGTCCAACATGCGGCCGACGTTGTCGTCGACGCTTTGGATGGTGCGGAGATAGCGCTGCATGTAGCGCTGAAACTTCCACTCCGCGAGCTCCTCCTTTGTCTTGAAGGTGAAAGCGTCTCCGGTGTTTTTGCAAAGAAACTTGAGCGAAGTGACATCCTCCGGCGCCGGGATCTTGCGGTCGTTCCACCACCACAAGTCAATCATCTTCTCGCCAATCGCAGCCCTGGGGCCTTCTGGCTGGACGATGCCGAGATCGTTGTAGGTCATGTCCTCTGCTACCTTCATCTTGGCTACCTTGGCCGCGTTGGCACGGTTCTTGTAGTCGTCCGTGAAGGTGTCGGGGAGCTTAACGGGATCTTTGTATAGATCCTTGTGCTTCATGTCGTACTCCCAGCTCCTGTGGGGAGCTTTGTGATGGCACATGAGATAAAACGGTCTCGACTTGTCGCGAGCCTTCATCCAGTCAATGCACTTGTCCGTAATGATGTCCGTTGTATAACCAGGAACAGTCTTTGTCCCATCCGGCTCAATGAACTGCGGGTCCCAGTACTCGCCCTGCCCGGGCACCACGCTCCAATAATCGAAACCCGTGGGCTCATGATCAGCACCTTCACCGAGATGCCACTTGCCAACCATGGCAGTCTGGTAATTGGCGGGACTCGAGCGCAGCTGCTTGGCCACGTTGGGCATCCTCTTGTTGATCTTGGAGTTGAGCGTCATGACGCCGTTGACGTGGTTGTGCGTGCCGCACAGGATTGCCGCGCGCGAGGGCGTGCAAATGCTGTTTGTGACGTAGCAATGGTTGAACAGCATACCCTCGTTGGCGATGCGGTCCAGGTTGGGGGTGTGGTTGATGCCCGCGCCGTAGCATGATATCGACTTGGCGGCATGGTCATCCGCCATGATGAAGATGATGTTTGGGGGTGTTTTCGACGCCATGATAACTGCTCTGATGCCTACCAAATGGTTGGTGATTACGGAGTGTACGCAGTTCAGACGAGGAATGAGGTTAAATGTTCAAAGTCTGGAATTGTGACAACCTTATCAATTTGACTTGAGCGGTTTACCTTGACGCAAATAGGCCGCAAAATCGCCAAAACTCAAACAGGCGAATCCACTGGCTCTTGACCAAATCCAAGTCAAATAACCGTGCCATGCCCCGTGACTGACTGTTGTTGTCGGCGTTCGCTTCTCGGGGATGGTAGTTGATCGGCGTGTCGGGGATCACGGAGTGGTGATTGGGCAATGAGCTGGTCGTAATGTGGGCACGTTCGGACCATCGGCGAAGGCTTGACAAGTGAACGCGCCATCAAATGTTGGTTTGCCGAGGCCCGAAGCATGGATCAATTGACAGTGAATGAATTGAAGCAGGCATCTTAGATGACTCGAGATTGATGCTTGTCAATGCCGATGGCCAAGTCACCAGATGAGGATCTGGGGAACTGGGGAGGACCGAAATTTAGCCATCCTCTCCGGTAGACCGTAGACCTTCCCAGTGTGACGGGTCAGGCGAAGCGAAGCGGTATCGATTTTTTGATCAGAAGTAGTTTGATCAGAAGTAGTCCCTGTCGGAAGCAGCTGAAAAGTCGGTGGGGTATCGAAGGTCACTCCAGTTGTCCATGGACCCGAAGATGAATGGATCCATACCAAGAGCCATCTGCGGTGCTGCGGTCATTTCATCCAACGGGCTCTGGAGAAAGTCTGTCGTAGAGCCGACGTAAGGTGCGGTGGAGAGTGAACCGTGTGTCGGGTACGTCTGGGGCACAATGTCGCTCTGGGGAAGTGCGGAGGCCTGGTCATTACCTCGTGCCGGTGTTTGGCCGTTCGCTGCATCATTGCTGTCGTCAATGAAGCGCGTGTGCCGTAGAATGCTGTGAATGCCTAGCCTTTGTTGCTGTTGGGCGGCCAGTGCAAAACGTGGACGATGGGTTTCGCTATCCTCCTCCATGTCGGACGAGTCGCGGCTTGGTTCACGCTTATCGGCGGCGTGGGCCTTGATGATGCCGTCCAACGTAGAAATGATCCTCGCAGGCAGTTTGGCTGGCCCAGGAGGATACAAGCGACGAAGCAGTGCCAACACGGCCGTTGCTTGCGTTGCTGCTTGATCGGGTGTCAAAGTAGAATCAGCTGGTTTGTGTTGTGACTTGCTCAGAAAGTCGGCAAGCATGATAGCTACAAATGGCAATAACAATATCCACAACCGGTGGTTGAATCCCCAAAGCCGAAAAGTCGGACAACACGGAGATGTTACTGGAAGCGTGATGTAGGCACATTCTAGCGGCGTTGACAATATAAGCAGGGGAGCAAGCCGAAGTGACTGGTTCGGGGGCCGCTTCAGCATACCCAGGAACAAACATGCGGTAAATATCGCAGTGCGTCTGATGCCACAACAGCTGCAGCATCAGGTACCGCGTCATCCACCGTGATCGTGAGTACCTGAGGAGCTCCGCCGCAGTGTAATGGGGCCTCGGGATGTCCTGCAAGGTCTTGTCCAGCTCCCTCACCATGCCGTGAAGCTGCGGAATGCGCTGCCCAAACAGCATGACCTGTCGTTTCAGTCGCATTACGTCGCGAAGAACCATGGATGTACGCAGCACGGAAGCAAAGAGACCATCCTCGGCGATGCCATCTAGGGGTAAAGACCCTGAAGGCCCGACTGCCGCATCTCTGTCGGCATCAAAGTCCTCTTCTTTGCAGGGAAAGTGTAGGTAGACAGCCTCCGAGTTGCAGACTTCGCATTCTGGTAAGCCGATAGATAGACCTACGTCCATCATGACGAGGCACCACATGAGTCTCCGCCGGATCTCCTGAGCCAATGTGCTAAGGTCCGTTCGTTCGTATTGCAAGCGTAGGGCGGTGGCTCCGCGGGCGGCAAGGGATGAGAGCATGAATCCCTTCTGGTAATTGCTCGTTTCGATATGATACTTGACAATTAACACAAGGGCCTGCACGGAAAAGATGCGCGGCTCTTCGATGCGCTCCCAGACGAGGTTCTCGGCTTGGGAGATCCAAGAGGAGGTAAAGGTAGGGTAGTACTTGGGGTATCTCAAGTGAAGAGCCGAGACGGAGCAGAGGGCAAGCAGGAGAGGTTTGTCTAGCGACTGATCGAGACATCGCTGGGTGATGGAAACTTCGTTGAGAAATGCGTAAGCAGGTAAGGGATAAATGTAACGGAAGAAGTCCGTAATGAGATGCAGCTGTTCGCGAACAGGAGGAAGGGGTAACGGGCCTGTGCTCGACAACCTAGGCTGGCTATGAAAACTGGATGGGCTTTCCCATGATGCTTGAGGAGAGGATGCAGCACCATGAGGCAGCACAGCAGCATTCAAAGGCTGCATCATCGAGGGCGAAACATAGTCCTCAAGCAAAGAGGTAGAAACTTCAAAAGTCGACGTCTCCAGAGAACCCCCATCGGCATGGATAGGTCTACCACCCGGGCTGCTGCGGTCTTTTGCGCGAGTCGGATAGACGCAGTCTTTAGCGCGCTTCTTGCACCCGTCGCAACATGGCAAATCGCCGGAGCATTTTGTCTTTTGGGAGCGGCACTCGATGCAGGCGCGGTTACGCTTGCGCTCCAAGGCGAGGGTTGAGGTGGTGGTGTTGGAGTCGAAGGAGCAGTCGAAGGACAGGCGCTGGCAGTCCAGGCAGCCTCCTGAGGATGATTCCCGATGGCATTTGACCTGGATCTATGAGTGACAGCTGTGGAAGATGAGCGTCGATGTCCCAACTTACCTTGCGCATGCGACATTGGTTGCACGTCCCCCTCGAACGTTGGGGAGGCATTTTCGACGCGTGCGAGTTTTAGAGGATCGGCTAAGAGAGTTCTGGCAGTCGCCTTAACTTTTCAGGCATCTATCTCAAAGTTCAAGCCGCTCACATCATCTCGGCGCGGTCGGCCATCAAACGCTTGGCCGAGGCATTGTCGCAATTGGCGGAGCGTGATAAAGCAAGAAATTGGGGTTCCAGATTTGTTGGTCGCTACTGCTGAAGCGTTCTAAGCCCCACCCCCAGCACCCCACGATTGCCCTGAACATCAAGTAATGTTCCTAGCGGTCGGAGATCAAATGAAGATTTCCAGTCACTTCTCAAAACACTATTGATTTAGGTTTGCCAATCAATCTGAGCTTCCTTCTTTAAACGTTGCAAATGCAAGAGTAGTCGATCGCTAGATCAAGGCCGATATACATAAGGTAATGTAAGCATACAGTTACGCTGACTGGCTTTGCATGTATTTTCACGACACATTTAGTCCAAGGGGATTGACCATACTTTGAATTGTAACAAGTAAAACTAGCTAAAGCTTAGACTGACTGACTGATCATGGGAACTCCTGCTGAAGTCGGCTGACGTGAGAAACAATCTCCGGTCCCGAGCCGAATACAGTTGCGAGGAACTTGTAGCCATTATCACCAGTGGCCTCAATCCCGCCAGACAAAACACCCCAGACATAGACATCCTGGCCGACGGTTTCCCAAAACGGACTGCCGGACTGCCCTTCATTAGAATCCGTGTCGGTGTAAAACGGCCCAGTACCGCCGCATTTAAAACCAACCCATTCGTCAATGATCGAGGTATTCTCCATCAGGTACGGCCTATATCCGTCGTCAAGATCAACTGGATATCCCAACGTCTTGAACTCGGGCGAGCCAATCTTGTCTTGGTTTGGCGACTTAACACCAAACCAGCCTTGTTTCTCGCCCAGGGGCTCTTCCAGAACGAGGATGGCCCAGTCTGATTTGCTGATGCATTCGCCTTCAAGTTCAGGTGTCGTGATAGCATGAGTGACCTTAGAAGTGCCGAAGCGTGCGGTCTTGTCATAGCCAGGGGAGAAGTCGATACTTTTCAAACCATCAACCATGTAGTCAATGACACAATGACGGGCCGTAAGCACATGACGGGGACCGACCAGAGCACCAGAGCAGCCAGCGGTCCAATCCTCACCACGGAGACCAACTCTTCCCGCGGCTGTGTAGGGGTATTTATCGTTCACGGACAGGTGGCGATCATCTTCACCAATAATTGTAGCCCGCTTCTCTGGGTCCGTCGGCAAAGAACCCTTGAGTACAGTTAGGGTGGTGTTGTTGAATTGATCCTCATTCAGAATCGTCAGGGCAAAAGCTAGCTCTGCTCTTTCTTGATGGTGGCTTTTTGAAACGGAAGCTGGAATGGCCGTAGCACTAACCAGGCTGAGAGCCGAGACCACACTGGTAAAATATAAGTTGACCATGGTGAAGACAGAATGTTCCTGTGAACTGTTGTGCAATCAAAGAGTGTGCTCCTAGGCCTTGGTCTATGCCGAGAGAAAAACATTCCGAGATTCAACTTGGGGTTCCCCTTTTCTATATGTTGAGGCAACATGTTTCCTCTTTCCAAAACAACCGCGTTTGGGGTTATATAATTACGGATATTTCCTCGCTAGGAATTCAGGATTTTTGCATTGCAGGCACAGCCGTTCTTGGCGATTATGAAACAGATGATATACGCGTATATTTTGATATCAGGTATACGATGCATGAGAGATATCACGGCCCCTTCCCGACATGTTAAATGCCATGAATGGCGCAATTGTTTTGAATCCCATGGTTACTGATTACTGATTGATGCAATAAATCGAACAGCTCCTGTCCGCCATTAGCAGCCCTTAGAATATAAGAACTAGGATTGTTGCAGAACTATATCTGAAACGGCAGTATGTCAAGAGGAACAAAACAGGAAAGTTCCGAATCCTACAGTGGGCTCATCCAAGTTGGAATTTTTGTATGAATCAATATACCTGGGGGATTCGGGGAGGACGTATACAGAAGGAGATCAGCGTTCATTATGGACTATACTTCGCTATTGGCGGGGATGTTCAACTGGCCGCTCAGCCAACGGTCATCCATTTCCTTCAGCAGCAGGATACGCATTTTGCATTTACTTTTGCATGAGTATGAGCAGTGTACTTCTCACAGTGGCCTTGGACGGTGGCGATGGTAATGTTTAGTAGCCACGCTACCTTTCTAGCTGAGAGCCCAGCACAGTAAAGTATATAAATGTTGTTATAGGTATGCACCACACTACCTTTACATGAGAAGACATCCTTCTTCATTATCAAAGGCCATGCCATACCAATAGCTCTCTACTTGTGGGTTTAGAAACCCCTTGGTTATCTCGTCTGCTTCAGCTTCTGCGTGTTCATCCACGTAAAACGGTAAGGTGTGCGGTTGAGAGTACCACTCCAAACGCTCTTCATTCTCTTTCCATTCGTGATCCGTAGCCCTGTTCCCTTCACGGCTATTTAACCGAACGAGGTGAAGCCTCTGCAGTGTTCTGGCCTGAGATACCCAGTCGTGCTCATAGACAGCCCAATCTCGGTTGTGTTCGTGGTACCACCGCCTCAGCCTAGACTCACGGGCCCTACGCCGCGCAGAGCGCTCACGTGCAACAGTCAAAGGAAAATCGCGTCGTACAAGACTGAGCTTGTTGAACACATCTCGGAAGAAGCGCCATATTGTCGGACACCGTAGCAGCTGTCCTTCGCTGTGAGGTGGTAGGCTTGGATCTGCGCTAGGTGGCAAGCTTGGTTCAGGTGAAGCAGCGTACTCTTGTCCCTTGATTCGGACAAAAGCTCCGAAAGACTCAATGTTCCCTTGAGCTGCACACAGTTGGCAGGGAAGATTTACAGTGCCAGAATAACAGGTGTCCACTGTCCATGCCATGCGCTGGTAGTCGAGAAGATCGAGGAAGTTGAGCTGCTCAGTCCCGCGCAGTGTTGTCAACACTTGTTCCGACACAGATAAACCCTCCTGCATTTGATTAACCGAATTCTCCTCGCTAAGAAGTTTGGTAAACATATGCTTCCAATCGAATGACACCTCATGAGCCTCGTAGTCGACCTCGAGATCTGGCAGCTCTGTGTCGTTGACAATGCCTCGCAGCTTGACGATGTGGGGTGTTATCTCGATGCGCGCATGGCTACTGCCGATATAACGCTGCATGTCGATCCTCCAAGCCGTCTCCAGATCCGCCGTGCTTGCTGGCATTTCCTGCAGTCGGCCTTTGCATAGCACCTCAATGCGGAAGTCGTTGGCCTTGAAGACGGCGAGCCTCCTATTCTGCGCCACATCGCCATGCTGGGCAGATTCCGGGGAGAAGCGATCAAGGCGTACAACCAACCCTTCAATGAGGCCTTTGTTTTCTTTTACTTCACCATCGTCGGTGAAAAAACGCCGCTCGATCATGCCATCCAAGTAGTCACCTCTGCTATCGACTTTGAACTCGATCTCGGTTATAGGCAGCAGCTGATTCGCAAATACCGTCTCGATGGCATTTCGAAGGATTCGACTCGCACGGCGGACATTCAGCCAAGCGTTAATAATGGCTCTATCGTCTCCCATAATTAGGCACTCAGCAATCTGAAGCCATATGTCGAGCGGGACTCTGGATACAGGTGTAATGACTGCTGAATAGCCCACCTGCGAAGCCATGTTGAAGTGAACTTAGATATGATGTTATGAGCTATTATTTTCCATCCATCCAAGATCCCATTATCGAGCAGGCTAGGTCGCCTTAAGTAGAGGAGCGCATGACGTAATAAACATAGAAGGCTTGTTGCATTTTCAGACCCCAATACCACCTCTTCCTTACGCGAGCACACAGTCAGCCTGTCAGGGAGCCCGATGTAAAGCCTGGCGGCAAATTCGCGCAGACTACAACACGCCAGACATGGGAGAGAAGACTGATCCAGGATGTAGATACGTCATGATTGTCTCGATTCTCATTTTTGTCCACAATCCTTGACGCTGGATGATGACTTTATCCGAAGAAGTTTCTTGCGCCTGCGGCATCCCAAAAAGCAGTCAGTGAGCTCATTAATACAGATCGCTACCCTAAACCATTTCGTTCATCTACGGGTTCTGCTCTAAGCTCTTTAAAACAGCTAGAAACTATTTAAATTTACACAATCGAGTCAGAAACCTGACTCTTTAAGCGTAATATTGTATAATCTCAAATTAAAATCATTGTGTTGAGATGTCAGATTGGGTATTTCGTTGTTGTGTTTTCTGCGAGTAAACAATAGCAAGTCACAGAGGGTAGACACACTCTAGTCTACGGTTGATAGACGCAAAATGATTGGTGGATCGAAACCATTGAAATTTTGAAATCATAACAAATCTGATCAGCCAATCAGAGGAAGCAGCCTCGAGCGGTAATTGGTCAGACTAGCAATACCCATATCTTAGGCCCACAGCAATTGTTCGCTGTAGCAATCGCTCGTCGCGTCAGAAGACGCTGTTCATCTTCCAGCAAATAGCTGTCGCGAGCTGTGATTGGCCAATATCATCGAAGCTTTGCTCTGATTGGCGCATCTATTTTCAACTGAATTCAAAATTTCAATGGTTTCACCAGACCAGTCATTTGCTTTGTGTTATCATTCGTACCATTTTAGAAGTCTAGAAGGTTTCTAGCCATAGGAATAATACACAGTAGAAAGAGATGCAACCCTCCCCTTCTCCCACTACTGAAGCTATTGAAGCACCCACACCCAAAAGTGTAAAGCATAGCGGAGATAGCATGGGTAATAATTAATGTCAACGCAAAAGTGGGCCCAGCGCGCCGATGGCTCACGGCACATTTTGTTAACTACGTTTTCAACGCGGTTGGGAGGCTCGTGACGGAGGGTATCAAGTCTACTACTCCGAAGGAAGAAGCTGTCGATGACTTTCAGGATCATAAAGATGACTTTGTGAAAGACTTGGTGTGGACTTCTGGCTGTCGATCATGGTAGGCTCCTTTGAGATCTCTGTTCCCCTCCGCCACGGACAGTTCTAACACCTTTGTCTCCTTTGTCTAGGTACAAGAACGGAACGATCGATGGGAAAGTTTGGGGTCCTTGCTGGGTTCGGGACCGCATTTTCTCGAATGTCTCGCACAACCACGTTGGGAGGACTTTAATTTCAAGTACCTAACAGGGAACCGTTTCCAATATTTCGGTAATGGACAGACGTTGCGGGAACTGACAGGCGGCGACTTGGCTTGATTCGTGATGGACCCGCAGCCGTACGAAAACATTATTAAAAGTGTCATTGTTAAGACGTATGGAAAGTGCTGATTTTGAGAATTTCCCACAGGGACTGCATGTGGGCTTTGAAAGGTGGATGACAGAGGCTTTGAATTTTAGGTTCTACCTCAGGAGGCCGTATTTAACAGAAGGGATTATATTCAAAGAAAAGTGAAACAATTGTTAAACATCGAAAACAACAGCCGCGCAACCATGAAGCCTTTTGTAAACCAATACCAATATTCTTATACCACTCTATTAATAAGTTATTCGATACAGAGTTTGAGACCTTCGCAGATTTGCAATTCTGCAATAGACCATGGAATAATCCTCCGAAGAAAGACGATCCTTTATAGCGGGAGGTAATGCAGTCAATTTAGTTGTCGTTTCTTCATCCAGGTAGGAATGGCCACAATCCTCGCCATTTCATCAATAGTTTCATTCCACACCATCTCTCCTACTCGTCGGGACTCTTCGCTCTTCAAATATTCAGAGGGCTCATCCAGTTCCATATCCCCTAGGAGCCTTCCATGTGTCTCCGTGGACGCCACGGCCGCTGCGTAAAGGGCAATTCGTCCTGCGGCTGCTGGTTCCCTTGCGATCAATGCCTTGACAACTACCATGATCATTCGACGGTGGAATGGCAGTACGTCTGTCATGCTTGTGTTAACCAGACCCGGACAAAAGCTATTGATGATAACTTTTTCAGGACCGTAGTGCTTGGCGAGCTGGCGTTGAAACAGCAGACACATGAGCTTGCTGTCTCCGTACCTCCCGAGAGTGTCGATGCCTTCGGAAACATCGAAGTGCTTCAAAACTTCGAGGTCGCCCTTCCCCAAGGGATGTTTACCGCTCAAGCTGGCATTCGCGTATTCGCGACTACCAGTCCACGTTACTTTTGATGGCTTCCCAGTCTTAGATGCTGTGCGCTCAAGAATGGGCAACAGTAAGAGAGTAAGCAGAACGTTAGAGAAGTAGTTGACTTGCATGTTCTTCTCATGCCCTGAGCTTGCAAACTCCTTGTCGTTTGTGCCAATTCCGGCATTTGCCATGAAAACGTGCAAATCTTGAAACTTGGCTTCGAATGTGGAGGCAAATTGACGCACACTCGTGTAATTTTCGGTATCAAGTTCAAGAACGGTGATCGATGCTTTGGGGTTTTTGCGCTCAATCTCCGATTCTTTGAGCAGTGCCTGCCGAACCTTTTCGCCTTTCGAGACGTTGCGTACAGCCATGATTAGATTTGAGACCTTGTAGCCGAGAAGTTGACGGCAGATCTCAAGGCCTATACCTGCTGTTGCGCCCGTTACAATGATTGTTTTACCGGTGAGATCGATACCCGAAGGCAACATCGGCACTTGAGGCTGGAAGAAACGCATTGTGTGTCGAAGAAGCTGGGTTATAAGAAACCAGGGGATTTGAATAAAAAAAAGGCAATATATGCGAATGTTTATGAGATTCGTAAGGGCTGAGAGTTGTCCTCCCCTCCATCGGCGGGATAGCATTATGTCTTTAATAGAATGACTCTCATGAGATTACTGTTTGTTGCCTTACGACTGTGATGAGAAAGTCCGCCTTGCTTCACATGAGAATATAACTACATGGCGGACTTGTTTCGCAGTTTCAGTCCGAAAAGGTTTAGGCTCCTCCTCCGTTTCTAAACTACGGCGTGCTTGGTCGGGGGAAGCCCGCTTTGCGTTACGTTAAATACCGGGTACAAGTTCCAGACGAGCCCCTTCGCGTTTTGGACCCGAAAAGGTTTAAGGGACCCATCAATCGCTTCGCACTCTCTTCCCGAAAAAGTTTAACTCGGAGCTTCCGGCACGACGCAACAGGGCCCGGCGGATATACTTTCAAGCCGCCAGTTCAGCAGTGAATCAATCAATCTTTCTCCGGCCACATACGTTTTCACCATTTCATACTTGTCATCTGTTCCACAATACAAATCTCTCCCTCCCTATCCGCTGACGTGTTCGAGACAAATGGGCAACTTTGGCAAAAGATCAAGATGTTGCTTCACGTGCCGCGAGCGCCGCATCAAGGTAGAAATACCCCTACACTGTCCAAGCGCGGTTGCTGATGCTGAGCTTGCGTTGGCTAGTGTGATATGCAATTCCCACACTGTCGGCGCTGCAGATTGCTCGGCCAGCAATGTCCTGGCTACCCCGACACCTGGGATGTTTCCTTTCGTATGCAGAACGAGTATGCCGAAGACAAGGTGCAAACCCGAGTAAAGAAGGTCAAGGCAGGACGGAAGGCGTATTCAGAATCCGTCGCAGTCGGCATACCATCAGAAGTCAATGTTGCCGTCGAGGTTCACAGCTGGAACCGTTTCTACAATGACTATGTAGCCGACTCTGGCATTGCTGCTTTCAACTTTCTGCCCAAGTTCCAGACTGGCGACTCCCCAGTTCATCTCTGCGAAGCACTTCAGGCAGTAACTGTTGCGAGCGCAGCACAACAGCTCCAACAGTCCGGATTGATGGTTCGCGCAAGATCCCACTATGGAAAAGCCATCATGAAGCTAAATACTGCATTGGACAACCAAAAATCAAATGCTGACGATTCGATCTTGATCACACTATTTCTGTTGTCACTATTTGAGGTATTAACACATAGATGACGGAGTCGCATCACTTGCATAAGTTTGTCCCGCGTGCTGACAACAATTAAGACCGTAGTTCCGGGATATTTCAAAACTGTTATGATGGATAAGACCTTCCAGTGCCACATCCACGTTCGAGGCATCTTGACCGTTCTTCAGTTGCGTGTTCAGAGAGCCCAGAAGTCTGAACTAGACGAAGCTATTTTCGCATTCATTTGCCACATCTATGTATGTACGAGCCTGGTTTGTACATTGCTGAGTTGAACTAACTCCCGAGAGAAGCTGATGCGAATTTTCATTAATTTCGAACCTTGTGACGAGAAGTGGTTAGCCCTGGAAACCTTCGTGACGCCGTGGACCAATGGGCCGTTGCTGGAACCCGTTCTTCGCCGAGCAGTTGATTTTGTGAGGCATGTTAACATTCAACTTAAACCCGCTCCGAACCATCGTTCTGAGACGGAGCTATTGCTTTTAGTTGACGAAGGATTGCGCCTTAGTGAGGATCTTGAAGCTACTGCCGCAGAGGTTAAGTCCTTCTCAAATACAAGCATATCTTCTCGACACTCCCTGAAGGCATTCAACAACATGTTTAGAGTTTCTACCAAATACACGGAGGCCATTTCAAGAAGCTCATATCGCACAGTCAGATATCGCGTGGTTGAAATGGTTGGTGAGCTGATCTCGCTCATGAGTGAGGAGAGTAATAGCATCAGCCTTTGTCTCCCATTTCAATTTGATTTTCTGGAGAGACATTCTGTTCTGGAGATGATCTGTGGAGATAATGCGGGCGTTCTTGGATGTGACATCAAGAGCGGCGGTGAACTCGATGGGGGAGGTATGGCTTATAGAGCCTATGGCATGTTGTGGCCAATGATAGTGCTACTTTTCTCTACATCAGTTGGGCCGGTCGAAAGATCATGGATTCATGAGAAACTGCGCAGTACTGGCGAAACGACTGGACTAGGGTTGGCGGTTTGGGCCGCAGATGCATTCAATACTTTGCGCCCAATGTCGCCTGTGACAATATGTTGATCGGATACCATCCACATCAATGTCACAGTAATTAGCTTATAGTTCCCAGTGTAAACAAAATGCTGATTCGACTTGTTACTCCTCCAAAAGTTTTGCCAGTTTATCCATCTGGGGCCGACTAGATTATTCGGTGCTAACGCGTTTGCATGATTACGCAGATTAATGGCTTGATTTAAGCGCGTGCGATATTATCTTCCTTACCCGTGAGTTCATAAGATCGCACAAATGGCCCGAAATGGTAAGGTCATTTTATCTGCAAGTATGGAGATATCGGATGCGCCATGCTCGAAGTCCGGCTGGCGTTGGCCAGGGCGGAATTTCAACTCCCTTCTCCATCACATATGATTCTAGATATTTAACCTGCGTTATTCCTCGTGAAAATATCCTGAACTGTCTCTATCATTCAACATTCTAAAATTTACAATACATCATCTTGCTCTGCTCGACGCTCTCTATCAGTCATGGCGCTCAAATTAGATGAAGATTCCAAGGCAAGTGATCTTGTACGTCAGTACGGCCCTCGGATATCAGGAAAGACGATACTTGTCACGGGTGCTTCTCCTGGGGGGCTGGGAGCAGGTTTTGCCGAGCAGGTTGCAGCTGGAGGACCTGCAGTTTTCATCCTCGCTGAACGGTCAACCTCGAAAATGCAGCCACTCGTTGACACCCTGCACAGCAAACACCCGGAGATCAAGATCAAGCTTCTCGCTTTAGACTTAGCTTCGTTTTCAAGCGTGCGTGGAGCTGCGGAACTCGTGAACTCCTGGGCCGACATACCCCAAATTGACATCCTGGTCAACAATGCCGGCATAATGGCTGTTCCCTACCATTTGACCGAGGACGGATTCGAGAGTCAATTTCAAACAAACCACCTGAGTCACTTCCTGTTTACAAATCTGATCATGGCAAAGATTCTGGCCTCTGAGACGCCGCGCATTGTTCTTGTCTCCAGCGGTGTCCACCGCATTGGTAACATCCGCTGGTCTGATTATAACTTTAACGAGGGCAAGCACTACCAGAGGTGGCTCGCCTATGGTCAATCAAAGACTGCCAATGCTTTAATTGGGCTTTCCCTTGCAATGAAGCTTGGCTCGCGAGGGCTCTTGTCCTTCCCGATGTGTCCCGGCGTAAGCATGACGAATCTCTCTGCACACGGGATTCACGATCGAGATTCATTTTCTGCAGATCTCACGGCGATGGATAATATCTATGGGAATAAGTGGCTTTGGGGAATGGCGGAGCTGCATGTTAAGGATTCAGACCAAGGTGTAGCAACGCATGTTTTTGCTGCCTTCGATACTGAGATTGCGGAACATAATGGGGCTTTTCTGAGCGATTGTAAAATTGCAAATCAGTATAAGGAAGAAGTTTATTCGTGGGCAACCAGCAAGATCGATGCAGAGCGATTGTGGCAACTCAGTGAAAAGCTCGTTGGTCAGAAATTCGAATACTGAGATCATTACTCGAGGTAGATTCTCTCTGCCTATAGATTAACTTTATATTAAGGACGTTTTCTCATGTTTGATTACGGGTCACTTATTATTCAATGTGTCTTCTATTGCTGTTGTTTCACTTGTACTCAGGCTCTTATACATTGCGGGCCACATGTTTCGAATGGGGAACTGAACGTTATAATCGAGTGAATTAGTTCTTTCTAGCTAGACTTTCATTAACCAAAGTAATTATACACAACAAAGGAGAAAACACCTAAGTCGACGTCTCAGATTTCTCAACCTCCTCAACGAATGCCTCGGGGACAAGCTCCCGCATTTGCTGGTATGCCTTTTGGGCACACCGCTTTAGGTCCCACGGCGTATCCTCTGAAACTTTCTCAGCGACCTTTGCAAGGTGTTCGGCACCAGCCTTCCATTGTGCTCTGGTCAAAGGAAACTTCAATTCTCCGCAGGGGTTCTTTACCTCCTTCGCCAGCTCCAGCCCTGCTATGAGGATATAATCGGCCCATATGCTGCTATGGACTTGTAGATACAACTCGGAAGGAGGTGGCTTCCTCTTGTCTAGCTCCCTGAGAAGCACGTATAAGTCATATGAAATCAACTTCAAGATCTTCACGCGCATCACCCCTGCAGCAAGCAATCTGGCGAACATGGCGTACAGAGATCGTGCTGGGTCACAGAGATGCTTATTTGATTCTTCCAATGTGTATGGGATTGACCCTACAAGTTGAATGAGATGTCATGATCCAGGTTCGAAGGGGCGGTATGAAGTTACTCACCGTGGATTGCACCTGCGGATTCAGATGCACCGATCTCTAGGCCATACTCAAAGAACTTGAGATCGGAACTTTTCTGCTGTCCAGTTAGATAAGCAATGGATGAATACGAGTGGTAATAGTAAATTGAGAGTAACAAGAAGGCATCAAAGGAGAACAAATAAATAAGAGAAGATTCATGTACCTGTGGATCAATGTTTGCTTGGTTCCAAAGTTCTTTGATGTGTAGAAGAAAGTAGAGGATCTTGTCGTGCTCAATGCCTGGATAGGGCAGCTCGGGGACGAGGCCGTAGATGAAATTCCCCAAGCTCTCGAAATTCAATTCGAGAGACCGCTCCTTCGTGTAAAGTGGAGGAGTGTCATTTGGCTCATCATATGTGCGACGCGCGGTATCCTTTGGTACCCATTTGTTGACTAGAAGATCGATGAACTCGCGTGCGGCTTTTTGGGAAGCAGCGACGGGATCACCATCGTCGAGGAGGAGTGGAGTGACGATGGGGAAGAGGTCCTCAGTGATGTCCTCTCCCCATTCTTGCTCTTGCTCTAGCTTCTCATTCTCCAGATACAGCTGCCACTTGGGCTTTTCCTGGGTCGGGGCGCTTGCCATGATGAAGGCTTTGGGGAGGGGTAGTGGTGACAAGACCAGAATGAAGTGTGCAAACGAGAGAGTTGAAGGATATGGTGACCGAGCAAAAAAAATAAAAAAAAATGGTCGCAAGGGATGTAAATGGAGAACACAATTGACAAGTATGGGAGGAGACCAGAGAGTAGATAGATATGTACAGCTGCAGGTTAGAGACTCATCAAACGCTTCGAGCGACGCGCCAGAATCTGAAGAAAGCCTTGGACAATGTGGCTGAGAACTGAGGGGGCTCATCATTGCATGAATGAAGTGGAGTCAAAGCGGTTGTGTGAAGATGAGTATTGGCTGGAAGCATCATCCACTCCACTGAACAGAATCAGGCAGCGGCTAACGGGCGGTAAACAAAAATTGTAACTGCCCAAAATAACCGCTTTATACTACTTAGAGCCCCTTCTCTAAGTTCCCTGCAAAGCGGCTACATAACAAGGCTGCATATGCGCCTGTAACCATGCATCTCATCATAGGTAGAGAGCACATGGCTGCCAACCATTTTTGATGTACTATTAACTAACCAGACAATTCTGGTTTCAAGGGATTAAACCATTGGCTGTCCACGCTACAACACTGGTTCGTCTCAAACCCCCATGGCGCATGCGGAGGATGTGGAGTGCGAACTATTCCTGGGCTGTTTTGAAGAGGCCATGACGGCCAAGCAAGCGGCTACGGAGTCTGTGAGACTGGCCAAATCCTGAACATCTAGTGGTCTAGCATAATTAATTGATTTTCTTCTCCTAAAAGAGAGAGCGCGCGAAAGGTTGCAGCCAGGCTCGGACTTCTATGCTGGTCGCCTCATTAAACATAAAAGCTGCCAATTCCCGATGTGAATATGGTTGAGTTAAACACTTCATCCATCCAGACTCACCTTCATTGTCGCAGTCAATTGGCACATTCCATCCACACTTTACTGTCCGCTTGCTTTTCTGTTCTGATTTATTCTGTCATCATGGGCCTATTTAGCCGCAAATCGGACCGCGAGCCTCGCGAACCACGTCGCAACACCGAAGACGATGGTCGCAACCTGGTCAGTTCTGCCACAGACAAAAGAAATGTATCGATCAATTGGATTAACGTCATATATTTTAGCAATACCACACCAGTCGAGGAGGTGATTTCTCTTACCGAAGTGTGCAGGACATGTCCAGGCATGCGGCATCGCAGCCTGTTCAGAACAAAAAGTTCCTGTATCCGCATGAGTATCACAATGGGGAGAATATATTTCCCGATTGGGAGAAGAGAGGCCGTCCTCTGTACGAAGCACCCGCTACTTACGACGATGACTTCGACATCAGCAAGAAGCCCACCCTAGGCCACAAAATCGACGCTGCCCGGAATCCGCATCGCAACGACAGGGCTCGAGCTATTCGCAACCCGCCGAATGATCCTGGGCCGTATCGAGTTGTCGGAATGCGCGAAGAGTACGGTGGGGGACCGAGCGGCCTCGGAGTCATGTATCACCCCGAGGGCGACCGGCACAGCTTTGTTAGATCGCCTCTGGAGCCAATGAGCCGCGAGGGTCATCGGGTTGACTTGAGGTACGAGGATGATCGCCGGAATAGCAGCCGCAAGACTACTTGGCCTGCTCGAGATTATGATGCTGAAGATCTTGCCCGTTACGAGACTCAGTATAAACAGGAGAGACGACCAAGGAGAAGGTAGTTTTCTTGGTTATCATTTGGGTGCTGGCACCTATAAGTCATTTTGTCTGTTTAGTTTTCGCTTCATTTAATTTTCTATAAATGAATCTTCATAATGGTTATTCAATCCAAACAACATTAATTTATACCTTTAAGCGGAGTAGAAATATTACAGCAGTCGGAGCATCATCAATAACATTGTTATGTAATGAGATGAGGCTTGAACCACATCTGGCTGTAAGTTGGCGTTGTTCTGATATGATAGCGTTAGAAGATATGTTGTACAGCAATGCCCTAGCTTTATCTCCAGAATGACTGTCTCTGAAGATTTCCATATATTTAATTCTAGGCTATATAGATGAAAGAGCTTCAGCAGCAAAACTTATAGAGTAAGAGATAGCTATAACTAAACTTTTGCAACCTATAAACACTACATGATCTCGGCTTCTATTCTTCGATCGAAGAGTTTCAATCTGCTCCTTATGCATCTAATATAATATGCTCCTGAAATCTTTCCTCCACTACAAAGGACTTGAAGCCCTGAAGGCTGTGTCTTTTCCCTAACTCAAATCATCCCACCCCATCTGGATCTAATGTGTCTTCGCAATCTTTAACATGACGGTCTTTGCCGGGTCCGGCAGAAGCTTGTGCACGATGTCAGTGATAATGAGTACGCTAATCTTAAGTTGAAACTTACATTAGATTCAAATTCCAAATCTGGATGTCTGGGTTGACCGGCAGGGTTTCGGATATCAAACCGCAATAGAAACTCTGCCATGACGAGTTTGATCTCAACGTCTGCAATGAATCTTCCAGGGCAAGCATGACGCCCATATCCCCAGGCCAGATCAAGCTTCCCAGTACTAATGTAAAGGTGTTTATTTTCGTTGCCCTCTTTCTGCCTGCCTTCGTAAAAGCGAAGCCCATCAAAAACCTGCGGCTTCTCGTACAATCGATCATCCACTTGTATTGCGGTCGTGGGAAGCTCCATCTTTGTCCCTCTAGGTATGAAGAGTCCGTTCGAAAGAGTCAGAGAATCGACGGCCAGGCGTTGGAAAGTGGCTAGTAGCAGGGTGTTAGTGTAATAGGCGGGAAAGGGAAGTGGTTTAGTAACCTACTTAAATCTGGAGCACGAAATCGCTGGCTCTCCTTCATCCAGCTATCGAGCTTTTTAACTCACTGAGCGCCTTTTTGTTGAATGCTCTGCCATTCTCCACGTATACATGTTTAATTTCCTCACGCAGTTCCGGGATACCTTCTGGATAGGGTGCCAGGTCATATAGCAACTGAGTGAGCGATGCGGATGTCGTATGTATTCCAGCAACCACGATTGCCATCTGGAGGCGTACCATATCTTCAAGATCAATCCTATCGTCATTGATGAAGTAGTCCATCAGCGAAGGAGGGTCGTTTATCTGCTGTTGCTGCAACTTATGTTTAGCGATAGTAGAAGCTAAATACTCTTTTGCTTGTTGCCATTGTCGCCGAATAAGCTGGCGCTGAGGTAAGAAGAACATGACAAGAGGGCGTAGGACCTTCGGCCATCGCTTGAAAGCTTCGATGTAGACGAGAACATTCGTAACATAGCTTGGTCCCAGCTCCAGCCATTCAACGTTTTGGCTCGCTTCAGTTCCTGTGAATACCCTGGCCGACAGGATGCTCACAATCTCCATGATGCCATCATTTATATTGACTTCTGTCCAGTCTTCATGCTTGTGAAACAACTTGTCCATTTGCACCTTGACGATATCATGCAGCTCGGTGACGTAAGCGCCCACGGTAGGATTGAACTTCGATTTGAATTTGTGGACGGCATCATCCGATAAACCACCCACGCCATTATAATCAAGCATTCCCTCGCTGCTGATGAACTGTTCAAAACTGAGTGCAGAATGGCTTTTCAACTCGTCTAGAAATCCGATTGGGAGCTGCAACCGGACTCCTGCTGAGGACTCGATTCCCCATATTTCCTCTCGGAAACGTTGATAGCCCTTGATGAGGAGATCTCTGGGCTGTGAAAAGAAGTATTCGCGGCGTTCTCGAGCACTGGGGATTTCCTTCTCTAGGATAATATGTTTCGCAAGGCGGCGTGGTTCAACAAGCGAATAGAGAAATCCCGAGGTGGTGAGTAGCACTACAAGCGCACATAGCAGTCCAACAGATGTGAATTGCGTCTCATTCACCAATTTTTCGGTGACACCGTATATCCTCCGCCCGAGGAGAACCAACAACCCCGAAGAGCTCGCAGGTTCTGGCATTCTGGTGACTAGATGGGTTCGCTATGCCTGCCCGACAGATTTTAGTTTAAGAGTGTTTTTCAACCAAGGGATGAACGAAAGGGAGATGATTGTTGTTGATTATTGAAGGAGTGAAGGAGTCCACAAATGTTTTGTTGTTATATAACTATAGATAGTTCTAAATTATGCTTAAAAAAATTCTCGATAGCCGCTTCGCCGCACTCCTCGGACTATTGATGAGATTCGAAAGTCCGCGCCAAATCAAGATCTGCATAACAAATGACATATTTGCCAATGTGGCAAGCCGGGAACTTGTCCCAAAAAGTCAAATATGGATTAGCAGCGTTGTTAAGTTGTCACACATATCTCGGCTTCCGCGGGATGCAGGTCAACTACCGGGCAAGAGGCCAGCAAAAGGGAGACGATCTACCGGATCACTTCTAGGGAAAATATCGGCTAATACAAAATCAAACTAGTCACGTCATCGTCATGCAATCAATATGCCATAGATACGGTGTCAAATCTCTGAAGCACACAAACGACCCTCGCTTGAATATCTCTACAAAACTCCGAAAGCCCGGATTCCCAGATTTCAGTGCTAAACTAGAGAATACCGTACGCTGACTTCTGAGCGCCAAACGACTGAAAGTCCGGACAGCCTGGTTTGGAAGGTGTCAGCACTCTTAGCCCCTTGATCCACTCTTGATGCCAATATGATGATGGCCATCTCAAAGAGCTAATAATCTTGCAAATTTTCAATTTTTGATGACTACAATGCTGTTTTTTTGGCATTTGATAGCGTGGCTGTTCAGAAGAGACCAATATTCAGTTCATACTGAATTTTCGGGATGTCGGTTAAGGGAATATCATCGAATCTTCGGACCCAACATTTTGCTCTGTGAAGCCTTGAATTATTTTATCATATTAGCTTCTTTGTTTACATGCTATAATCTTGAATGTTGGACGCCGAAGCTTACGGTGGTTTTTTTTACTTGGCAGCCTTTGGTATAAGGATCCTCCTGTCATAACAACATATCACGTTATTTTCATACACTCCAATTTGATCCAGGCAAGCGAGAATTAAGTTTTAAGTACCGATGAGTAGAAGGATTCCCTTCACCTGGTAAATTTCTGCTTAGCCAGGCAACTTCTCTTGTCGCTCCACTACCTAAGTTAAAGACTTGCTGGAGAGGACAATAAGGCTGGAGAAGTGATCCGTTATACGACAAGCGCCCGTTCCTCATGAGCTTCAATCCGACAGGAATACTTGCTCCCACTCTTGGTCCTCAAACCACTTTTTCACTGACCCCATTGTCAACGGCACTCCTAGATCTTCTGGCTTCATCACGCTCCCATCGACCTTGGCGCCATCGTACCCAAACTCAGCGCACCACCCGACCATATCGAACAAACCCTTTGAGAGTTCAGGATCGCCCAAGTCCTGGCTTGGGGCAGAATCAACAAAGTCAACATCCTTTCCCAGCGCCTCTCCAAAGAGCACAGCAAGCCGTCGTGGGGTAAGGATCTCGCGAGCACCAATCAGTTTCTTCCCTGGCGCCACTTGAAGTAAAGCATGCACTAGTTGGCCAGTGTTCTCAGCAGCCGAGTACCATGGCAAAGGGGTGCTAGCTAGGGGCTCTGTAAGGGCAATGGTAAGACGCCCTGAGCTCTTGTTCTAGACACATTGTCAATGACGAAATTACGACTAGGTAGCAGAAGAAGGGGAGGGGAGGGGGAGGAGCGACTCTATAGTGAACTTACTAATTTTGGTCGAAATAATGCGCCTAGCGGTCCAAAATAGTTCTCAAGATAAAAGGGAGCATAAAATACGCTCGTCTTCTCCCAGAGGTTCGGATAAGTCACTCTGCCGTACTCCTCTGCTCTCCCCTTGGAATCAAACTGGTAGACGTGTGTATACTTGCCACCACTTAATTTGTTCGTGTCTGGAAGGCTAGAAAAGATAAATCTTTCAAGACCGGCGACTTGAGCTGCGGCATCAATAATGTTCTTGTTCTGTTGAGTCTCGTACTCCCGGATATAGAGTCCAATCTTTTGTCCAGCAGCGGCTGCCTTCTGGTGCTGAGTTACATCGGCCATGGGGTTCCAGTAATCGGTGACACTGAAGATGGTGGATGCACCTTTGAAAGCAACCGCTAGGGACGCGGGGTCGTCAAAATCACCGGCGACCATGTCCACTCCTTGTTCAGCCAGCTTAGAAGCTTTGGGCGACGATGGGTCCCGAGTAACACCACGGAGTGCGTAGGGAGAAGGTGACATTGATAGAAAGTGTGCGAGCACCGACCCGCCTTGGGTACCAGTTGCTCCTAGAACGACGAGAAGGGGTTTTGCTGAAGACATGGCGATGGTTGTCATATGCTGCGTTTTGTTTGACTTGGAAAATAATCGAGATTGTGGGATCACATCCTCCTTTATATATCCGGAGCTCTGTAATTCGAGCTTACAAATGAATACGTTCGCCTCTAGACTTGTGTTGATTAGCTAGTCGAGATGGTCTACAAGCACAACTGGTTGAAGTTCCCAACTAAGTTTAGTTCCCATAGGTTGAAATCACATCCCCCCCATTATGACCAATAGCAACCAGAGTCAGGAACATATCTCCACAGAGCTCCGGGTTGGTCCCATCAAGATCTCGTGAAAACTCATGAAGCGAGCTTAGCTGTACCCCAACATCCTTACCAAGCCGAACTTGTGCAGCTGCAATCCATGCCTGCGGTGACTCTGCCATCCATAAACCCAAGCGTTTGTCAAACGGGAGGGATTCAAAGAAAAGACAATTCGAGCATAACTCGTGTTTCAAACTATAGTACGCGAGACGCAGGATGTGTGACATGATGATGGTACGTCGGACGCTTTCGCCAAAAAGCCATGTCTGCCATGGAGATAGAAGTGGAGGTAGCTTAGGTTGGGCAGATATTAATAAGGCTTGACTCCAGCAACAGAGCCTGTCAATATAGCCTTCAGCAATTGCCTGTTCCACTGCATCTGATACAAACAAAGATATTGACAAATGGATGATAAGAGCCTGAACTGCCGTGAGAGCCTCTGGTATTGGAACCGCTTCAATGTCGACTTTGAGCAGGTGGTCAAAGTATGGGTGTGTTACGCCACCTCTTTGGCCGTCAATGAGGGTTAAATAGTGGTTGTAGCCATCCTGCACCTGCAGCCCTGGATGTATGAAGATGGCTGGCTTGCGTTTCTTGATAAGATCTTGGACAGATAGCAAGCCCAGACGCACCATCTCTAAAATATTTGACTGCTCAAGCTTGCAGGTTCCTGGGACACTCGAAAAGGAAGGATCAAACGTCTTCATGACGCAGTGACCGGATTTAGTGTCACCGGGGAGGTTATAGGAGAGTTTGTGTGCTTCAGGCTTATATGCAACGGTGTTGAATGGGGCCAGATCGTACAAACAGTGAAGTCCCTTCTTGGCACAGCGGGCACATTGCGGGACTTCGACAGTGCACTTACGTTTGGCAACGGTGCAGTTGCGGCACGCTTTGCGAAGGCTTGCCATCCCAAGGGAAAGTGATGAGGAAAAAATTAGCAGCAAGTCATCAGAGGCTACAGACAGAGATTTTCACATCAAGGAAGACTCGAATGATCTAGACTCCAGTCTGATTCTCAAACACCCCGCTAAGCTCGGTTTGGTTTAGATTCCGCAGGTCTCAAGTTGCTGCTTACAAATGGCCAAAGTCTTAGTCCACCGAAATAAGTGTCTACTCCCGTTGCCCCCACGACCTCGTAATTCTCTCATTGAGATGGGCGTGTTCAAGCCTACCCTATATCAAAAGACAGGTATTCATGATCCGCTATAAGGCCCTTCTGTAGAATTATAACTTGGTCTTTCATTTGATTATTCTACTTATAAGCCCATTAGAACTTCGTAAAAATTGATATAATCTTACTTTTCAGTTCGGGCAGCTTCTATCTAATTCTGTAAAAGTTTTGGTGCACTAAATTGCTTCGTCCTGAACCGCCTAAGCAAAGCCTTTCAAGCAACAATGGGTCAAACGAAACAGATACGAACTTCAACTAAGACCGGAGATTGTGGAAATAATTTGGGTGTTTCCATTAATCTTTTTGCTTCAAGCACTAGCTCTAACTCAGAGACTTAACCTGGAAGAAGGATCCGTTCGAGATGACCAGGCGGCCACGAGGTCGGGGGTGATTAGGCAAAATAGGCTCGTCTCTTGGTCACCAGGCGCCCATATATCAATCCAGAATGCAATCCAAGGTTACAGTGCAAAGCGGAGATTCTTAGACATCGGCAAAGTAAGTGGCGAGAATGGCTGTTGTCTTTTAGCATTGGCGCGCTTAAAACCCCCCAGAATGGGATATCCATAGCCGGGGATGATGGACGCATTCTGGATGCAACAGTGCGGGAAATTATAACCTTAGTTCGGGTATAATCAGAAATAGTAAAGATGCTCACCTTCTACAATACATATGACTGCTGAAGTGACGATGAGGAGTTGAGGTCCCAATGTGCGGGGATTTCCATGGGCTCAACTTTCTAAGTGACCTAGTTATTCTGCCAACAATGAAGCTGTCGTCTTTGCTATCGCTCGCTACCAAGGTAGCTGCTGTTACCATAAGCGTATCCAAAGATGGAGGGAAAGACGCATCGCCACTGCAATACGGGCTAATGTTCGAAGACATTAACTTCTCTGGGGATGGGGGGATGTACGTTTGTTATGTGGTGTTAAGTAGCCTTTAGCAACGTCTAACATGTCTCAGATACGCGGAACTCATACGAAACCGAGCATTCCAAGGCGACGAGTTCACGCCGTCGACTCTGGATCCTTGGTCAGCGTTTGGTCCTGCCGACATCTCGCTTTCCAATTTGACTACCCCTCTTTCCCCAGCTTTGCCAACATCTGTCGCTGTGAAGGGTAGATTCGGAGAAGAAATTGGTGTTTCCAACCCTGGATACTGGGGAATAGATGTTCTGCCTCAGACATACAAGGGATCATTCTGGGTCTTAGGCGATTACCGAGGCGACTTCAAAGCGGCCTTGCGCAGCGCAAGCTCAGGTGAGATCTTGACATCAGTCAACATTCCATCTCATTCCAACACACGTGCGTGGACCAAGCATGAATTTGTACTTAACTCAGACATTACCGCCGGGTACAAGACCAACTTCACATTGACTTTCGAGGCCAAAAGCAGCCCTCAAGTCTTGAACTTCAACCTCATAAGTCTGTTCCCACCTACTTATAATAACAGAGAAAATGGACTGCGTCGAGACTTGATGCAATCGCTCAAAGATCTAAACCCCAGCTTTATGCGGATCCCCGGTGGTAACAATCTGCAGGGGAAAGTACCTGGAAGTAGATGGAAATGGAATGAGACAATCGGGGATCTCATTGACCGGCCTGGGAGGACTGGTGCTTGGAGGTACTACAACACAGATGGGCTTGGCTTAATTGAATATATGCTGGTGAGTAAACTTATAACTACAGTTCCATGAATACATTTAGTGACTAAAGAGTGGATAGTGGTGTCAGGACCTAGAAGTAGAGCCTGTGTTGATACTTTGGGCTGGGCTCTATCTAGATGGCACGGTCATCCCCGAGGATGGACTCGACTTTTACATTCAAGATGCCCTTCACGAGATTGAATTTTTGACCGGAGACGCTTCGACTGAGTATGGGGCGAAAAGAGCTGCCTTGGGCTACGAGACACCCTTTGAAATAAACTTCGTGGGCGTAAGTAAGGGGGAAGCTGGCTGTAGTTGATCTTTCGCTGACCAAGGTCTACTTTAGGTCGGAAATGAGGATCATTTCTCGAGTGGAATGAAATCCTATAACGAGTATCGATTTCGAATGTTTTTTGATGCGATCAGTGAAAGATACCCGCATCTCCAAATTCTTTCTTCAACGGTCGAACTGGATCCCATTCCGAAGGGGGCAGTTCTCGATTACCACGATTATGGTGTAGGTCGTGTTCCTTGATGTCGTTGAAGTCGACTATTCTGATGAACCACAGAACCCAGATGGAGCTGTGAGAAATTTCACCCTATTTGACGATCAGGATGAGGGCAACAAAGTCCTTGTCGGAGAATATGGCGTCGCAAGAAACAACGGCAATGAAGTTCTCTGGAAAGACCACAGAAAGCGACCATGGTGGATTGCTAGTGTAGCAGAAGCTGTTTTCTATTTGGGCGTCGAACGGAATCCTGACAAAGTTTTTGGGTGTGCTTTTGCGCCCCTGTTGCAAAACATTGAATCCTATCAATGGAATGTAGGTGCTTCGTATCTTTCTTGGATTAAATCCACGGGTTTTATGATGAATAGCTGACTGGATTAGCCTAACCTCATCACGTTCAACGCAAACACATCCGCGACCGTCAAATCTACAAGTTTTCACGTCATGGAGCTCCTGTCTAACAATAGATTCACAACCCTTTTACCTGTCGAGAATTCAGAAGAATATGATCCCGGATTTTGGGTTGCTGGTCTGAATGATGATATAAATACCTATGTTTGGAAAGGTGCCGTGTACAACACGACGATGGAACAGGAATTCGACATCAATTTTCCCGGTTTGCAGCAACCAGCAGTTGCAGAGCTTACGGTCCTGACTGCGCCAGATGCCTTCTCTGAGAATGTGTTTGGGGAGCCCGATCTTGTTGATACAAAAAGAACCCGATTAGAAGCAGGACAGGACGGGTTCACGTTTGTTCTTCCTCAGTGGTCTGTGGCCGTTTTGAGTTGGAAATACACATCTGAAACGTAGATGTTAGTACAAAAGCACAGCTGCTTGACAGACACACAAATCAGAATATTTCAAGGAGAGTCCGGGAGAAGTGATGAAGGAGAAGCAACTTTAAGAGGTCCAAGGCATCTCAGTTGAGAAGACGGAAGTTATTTACGTTTATAGAGTGAGGAGTGAGCCAATCAGCAAATAGTATTGCTTGGACTTGCAACAGTCCTGAAAATACGAGCTTGGGTTTGAAGGATAATGATGGCATCGATGATATTGTCTTGCTAGATTATTATTATTACTCCCCGATAAGCCCATATTATGTATGAGGGTTTTGGTAGAGGCCGTCTTCCTCCACGGTGTGCTTTCCCTCAGCAAACAAGCACAGACCAACCAAACCTTTTCATAGCAGAGATCTCAATTTTAATTTTCTTTAGGTCAATACTTTCAATATGAGAAACGTGCTTAGGGGGGAGCTGGCGACAGTTACTAGCTACCCGCGTATCCTAGATAGACCAGTCTCAAGCAATGCTGAAGCAAGGACTGCGATCACTGTTTGACTCTCCAATTTCTACTTGCTGTGTAGCACACCCGTGATTATTGAAATTATTTTCTTCTTAAACAGATCGACTGCAATTTGCTACAACTTGCTACAATTTGCTATCGTCGTAATATATTGCATAGATCGTAGATCCCTGCTGTCTTCCCACGGTTCGAACTTGACTTCAAGGTCGATACAATCTGAGTGAACCTACTCCGCTTTTCCGGCTACAGGTTTTACGTAGTCGTCTCGATCTGTGCTGTTTGCCACTTCCTCCCATTCATCCATGATTTTAAGCGCGTCCTGGCTAACCTTCCTGCAAGTCTCCTGTGCCTCCGACCCTAGGACCAACCGCACCGGCACCGTCTTTCCTTCCGCACAGCCTGTCCCCTTTGCGATATCAATCATCCTAGCAACGCCCTTCTTTGCGTCACCGGGTCCATTCGTAAAGTTTTCGTGGAGGGTCGACATAGTGACTTCCATGAACTCGGTGTAAGCTGGCACGCGGTTCTTGGCGCACACGGCTTTGTTATAGACTTCTGTGTGGAAGAAGCCTGGCTCGACGCTTACGAGTTTGACGTTGGGCGCGAAGAAGCTGAGCTCATGAGCAATGGACTCAACAGCTCCTGCGAGGGCAAACTTGGCCGAGCAATAGGGTGTGGCGGCAGCGGCACCATGTCTAGAGTAGTAAGAGCTGACATAGAGGATCGTACCCTTATTTAACGGTCTCATCTTGCCTAGGGCGGCACGGGTAATGTTGAGTGGTCCGTAAAACATTGTCTTCATGGCAGCTTCAATATCCTCCTGCCTAGCCATTCTCTTCAAATTAACAAAGCTCATATCGCTCTAGGTCTTAGATGAACGCACCGAGTATCCTCAAAAGCACCAATTGCCAAGAACCCTGCATTGTTCACAAGGACATCAATGCCCCCATAGATTTCCCACGCCTCATTGATCTTGGAAGTAATAACATCTTCGGGAGAAGTGACATCTAGCTCCAGGATCGCACAACCCGTCTCTTTGAGATGAGCCAGCCTTTCCTCAACGTTCCGACCGGTGGCAATCACATTATCGCCGGCAGCTCGAAGCTGGCGGACAAATTCCTCTCCAAAGCCGCTGGAACAACCGGTAATGAGCCATGTCTGGACCATGATATCAGCTGATTTGTTACTCGTGTCTTCAGCGTATGTGCTCAAATAAAAAGAGTATTTTTCGCGGAAATACCCTTCCTGCCAAAAACAGAGCGGGTGGTTTACCTACTATACCATTCCAGTTATGTCAACGCCCGCTATGTAAGGGCTAATTGTTAGCTTATATAGGCAGGCATTACGTCCCCGGGTACAGCGGAAACCCGCTTGATGGTCGTGAACAGCCAACCCCTTGCATGCCATTGTAAGGAAGGGCGTCAGGGGGTGACTACCGGCAGGAACATCCAAGTCGCAAATGCTTAGCCGCTTTTGATGGATCTGCATTTACCCATGTTGATTACATACTGCTACTAAGTGCATTCACTGTCATGATGTTTGGTGCAAGATTCAAGTCACTTCCATTGGGGAGTTGGTGGCACCCTTTCTCGCGTAGCAAGGAATTGGCTCTTTGGCAGACCCAGTAACTAGGCCAGGCAAAAAGGCAGCGACTGAGACTTCTCTCCGTCAGCGGAAATGATATTTGAAACTGGATTATGATCATAATTACATAAGCTACCGCGGAATACAGATTACAAAGAAGAGATTGGATGGAGAAGCGGTCAGGACTCACCTCAGCGGGGTATGGCCACGTATTTAAAACATCTAGTGCTTATTTATATCCACTCTCTGATCCTCTCAGCATTGTGGTCAGATATGGGAAGAGAAAAATTAACCCAGGCAAGCTTTTGTTTTGCTGCAGCACTTTTGAAATAACTACACACGGGGCTACTATACCCTTGTAGTTCAAACTTGCCGGTGTTCCTACCTACCTCGCTAATCAGTGCATCAGGCTGACCCTGGGCATTTCTGGTTCTTGTGTTGTACACTTCACATGTTGCCGAGAAGATGGCTTCAGAGAATGGACCGACAGAAGAACAAGGCAAAAGCCCTTTCTATGAATGGACTAGTAAGCAAAGTTCACACGAACAAATATCATTGTTAATAACACTGATGAACAATGTGTTATCACCATACTGCAGTCCACAGTATAGGGCGCCTTCTTGTGAACAACCGAAGCGTGGGCTCTCCATCCACAATCAACATAATGCTCACTTTCCCCAACCCAAGCTGCCTTGATGTGAGCCGATTGACCAAGAGGATCGACGAGCTTCAACAATTATGGCCATTACTCAGCGCCACAGTCGCAGACCAGCGGACTACCAAACCCAAATTTCGATATGACTATTCGAGTTGGACGGCAGACCAGATTCTGTCAAGCAAAACTTATGAAGGCAATCCGAACAATCTCATAGAGGAAAGGGACACGGTATATGAAATGGCCCTGCGCCAGTTCCAAGTCAAGACCTCGTATGATAATGATCCTCTCTGGGGAGTCACTCTCTTCCGTGCCTCGTCTTACCCCGAGAGCCAAAGGCTATATGTCGCATTGACGCTGGATCACGTCATCATCGATGGCCGCGGCGCTGTTAAGCTGGCCAAGGCTCTTGTTGCCACCGAAATTTCTCATCTAACGAGGGAGGATATCGAGCTCTACGACAAGGCAGGTATTGGTGCGGGAGCCGAGGAGCTACCGCCATACTCTGCGATTGCCGCGACTATTTTCCGCGTGATTTTGGTCCCACGACTCCCGGACATAGTGAAAAGATGGCTTGGCTATGTTCCAGCTTGGCCCCAGAAGATATCGCAGGCGACAATCGATAGTCCTTGGAAATCATCAATCGTCGACGTCTCAACTAGCTTGACGCTGAAGCTTAAGGAGGTGGGAAAGAAACACGGGGTAGCAACACTCAACCCGACGTTACACACAGCTTGGGTCCTGGCAATCTGGGCGGTGTTTATTGACGGAAAGAGTGACGAAGCGGTACGGGACTGCTCAATCAAAGACTTGCGCGACGTCAGTAAGGGAGACCCATACTGCATGGCTGGCCGCCCGACTATATATATGTGGTCAACCGGTAGACTGACTGACCAGTCACGCTTCTGGGACCTGGCTCAGGCTTATTCGCATGTATCAACGGATCCGCAGGCGGCCCTCGATGGCCTGAATCTGATGAAGATGGTGAATATGATCAAGGATGGACCAGCCAACCCCGAAGAGTGCAAATATCGTGCACCAGATTTTGATACGCTTCCCGCCGGAGACAAGAGGGCGTACACGCTGGGAGAAGAGGAAGCACTGAAGAAGATCAACTCCGAGTCGCCCTTTCAAGGCATGAGCGGTACATGGTCCAACCTGTCATATCTCGGCCTCCCTGAAGGCGCGACCGACATGATCTTTGGCGTTTCGGGAAATGCCACTGGCACTGCATTCAACACGTGCCTCGTCGGGCACGAGGGCGGAGCCAGGATACAGAATGCTTATTCTGACGGCGCGGCAATGGCAGAGGATGGTGTCAAGAGGGCCGAGAGCATATTTCTGGATATCCTAAATAGCATTGCTGAAGAAAAAGAGAAGGACTGGACCGTCGGTGATCTTGTCAAAAAGTCCTAGTTAGTCACACATCAAGAAACTTGGCCACATCATACGGATGAGAGTTTAACTATGAAGTAAATACCAAGAGCCCAAACCCAACATCTTAACATGATAACGATAAAGGGTGGTAAAAAAAAAAACAGTAATAAACTATGGCTAACGTAAGTCAGTGATGGCCCTCTAGTCTGACCCCTTACAGGCGAGAATTGGAGCCAAGGATTGCGCTCTCAGTGGGTGCCATTTGGGTGGGCTGAAAGGAGCAGGATCCTGCGATTGGTCGCCTGAGTTTGGGTAAGACGACAAGCATTTTCCCCTCACTCTCGCCTGGCACTCTTTCCCCACCTCAAAGCCTTGCTCGTAAACTTCCCAACCTCAGTCTGCCTCTGATTCATCTGCCTCTGATTCATCTTGCTATGGCTGCGATTAGTCCAATACACCAGCTATGGATCCGCCTCAAGTCCCCATAAACCAATATAGTAGCCCCGACACATCGAACACGACGAAACGATCCGATCGCGGGAAAACGTTCCGCATCCGAGCCGTGCCCATAGCCTGGGATTCGAACCGACTGGCATCCTTCCTACGAGATTCCAGCGACGATACACACCCAACCGTGTTATCATTGGCTCCCGAAATCCACGGGCGGACACAAACAGCCACTGCTACGTTCCTACGAGTCCCGTCGCTGCCACGAGGAGCAAAAGCCTGGCGTATTCCATTACCAGCCGGGGAACAACTCCAAAACAAACGACAGAAGTCGATCGAACTCGATGGCGACTTCCTCGGGGTCACCACCTTGTACCACCCCCCACCGCATGAGCATCAGACCGAGTGAGTGGCCCAGAACATCACTCAGATATAGACTCACCCGCCCAGTATTGTTGCAATATCCGGTATCGGTGGACATGCGTTCGGCTCGTTCAAGGAGAGGGGCGGCGATTATATGTGGCTACGAGACGGTCTACCCGATGACTTGACGACAGCACGGATCATGATTTATGGCTACAAATCGACAATCCCAAATAGCAAGAGCATGCAAAATCTAGCAGATCTTGCATTATCATTCTATACTTCGCTTGAGTCGCTCATTGGTGACGAAGATCCCAAGCCAATTGTTTTCATTGCACATAGTCTAGGCGGCCTAATCGTAAAACAAGTAGGTACAATCAATGCTCTTCTCTACAGGTATCTGACACATTCCCTAGGCCTTGGCGGAATTAGCAAAGTCTGAAAATGAGGTCCATATGAAGCTCATCCAAGCAGTGCATGGACTTGTCTTCTTCGGAGTGCCTAACGATGGCATGGACATCAAGTCCCTAATTCCTATGGCAGGGGATGGGCCGAACCGGTCGCTAATCGAATCCCTCAGCAGTAGCAACTCACAAATGTTGCGTACTCTACATCAGGAATTCCACAATATCTTGGGTTCGGGGCGAATGATATTATGTTTTTATGAAACAGAGTTATCCCCAACAGCCCAAAAGGCATGGTTCCAACTGAGAAAGAGAAACAGAAAGGAATATTAGCTAACAAATTTCAGGATGAAAACGGTAAATGGAGTATGAAAGGACCGGAAACGGTGCTGGTTACCCAAGCATCCGCTATTAACTGTCGCCGCTGGGAAACTGGCTCTGCTTATATATGTCCAATCTCTCGTAATCACTCTGACATGGTCAAGTTTGAAGAAGAGGATGAGGAGTATGAAAAGGTCCGTGGGAGAATCAGGAATATTGTGAGAAAAGCCAAGATCCATCCACCAGTCTACGATATCAGAAGTATGTAGCAGAGGGTTCTTCGATATAAGACTTCCAGCCGTCTCTAACATTCTCCCGCAGGTCGTGTCATCTATGACAATACATATTCTTCCCACACACACTTAGCTGTGAGGACAAACCAATTCGCCGACGCACAAGATACACTTACACAAGTCCATAGCGGAGTCACAGACCTATCACATACACAAAAGCCGGAAGATGGAAGCCACCAGGAAGTAAAGGATGGTACGTCTCTCAACTTTCCAGCATTGTAACCAAGTTATTCTCGAGTATTGAGGATTGAGCGGGAACTAAAACTAGTCTCACAGCCTTTCTTCGCTCTCTTGGATTCTCTCGCATAGACGACCGATACCATGCCATAGACGCTGCCCACCCTGGCACGTGCGAGTGGCTTTTCGAAACCCCGCCGTTTCAAAAGTGGTGGAATCGCGATGAACTCGAGCTAAATAACGGAGTCCTGTGGATCAAAGGCAAACCGGGAGCGGGAAAGTCAACTTTAATGAAGCACATCCTACACTGGTGTGAAAATCCGGATCACTTTAAACCTCAGTTAATCGTCCGATATTTCTTCAATGCACGAGGCGTTTCCGAGGAAAAATCTGTGTTGGGAATGCTACGTTCGATGTTAATCCAGCTACTTACCGAGGACTCGACTATATTCGACAACTTCTTCCAGATGTTCAAACAGCGGGATATGAATAAACAGGACTGGGTTTGGGAAGTGGCCCCATTGACCAACTTCATTCTTGAACTGGCCAAGAACAAAGCCACCAGACCCATGGTCATTCTCATCGATGCACTGGATGAGTGCGATGAAAGTGACGTAAGGATTGTTGTCGACTTTCTTGAAAATTTGAGTTGCCACGCGATCTACTCGGGGTTTGAGCTGAGGATATGCCTATCAAGTCGACATTACCCCAACATCAGTATGAATAAGATGGTTCAGTTAATTGTGGAGACGGATCTGGGACATGAAAATGACATATCAACGTATATCAAAGCAAAGCTCCGAGTTCAAGATGACGGGGTCCAGGAGAAGGTCCAGAAGAAAGCAGATGGCATTTTCATGTGGACTGTTTTGGTTGTGTCAATTCTCAATAAGGAGTTCGACCAAGGCTCTCGGGAAATATTAGAAAAGACTCTGGAAGACGTTCCTGGAGATCTAGAGGAAGTCTTTGCTAATCTTCTGTTGGAAGACGGGAAGGCTGACCCAGAAGCTGCGCTCATGTTTCAATGGGTGCTTTTCAGTCAAAAGCTATTGAAGCCTCAAGAACTATTTCTTGCGACTCAAATGGGGTTATCCCAGGATTCTAATGGAGTATGGGATCACTCCAAGTATACTCTGGATTATATCAAACGTCGCATTGTTGCCATTTCGAAGGGCCTCATCGAAGTGCGAAGTGGCGGTGATAATGACGACCCGTATGTCCAATTCATCCATTTATCGGTCAAAGATTTTCTTTCTCGGAACAACAGGCTCCAGGCACTGGATCCTACAATTGGAGAAGAACCCGTCCGCCTCAGCCACCGTCGACTCTGGAGGATCTGCTGGGATTCCATCAACCGTTTTCATGCTCAGAACGCAGATTTCGGCAACGACGACCCTTATTTTGAGTCTCAGCTCAGTTTTCCGTTCATTAAATACGCAGCGAGTTATCTGTTCGACCATGCGAACTGGGGGATATCAGACCTGCAGAAGGGCTCGGGGGGATGGTTCCAGAATCCATTCAAGTCGCGTAGCCAAGATGCAAGCAAAGAGGATCTTGAGAAATGGCTGAACGAGCATAAAATCTGGTACCAATTATGGCAGCGGAGTCCAAGGTATCAGTCCGGGCTCAGTTTCCAATTAGATGTATCAGAGGGGATCGTGTACGTCTTCTCTGCTGGTGGATATGCCCGGCTGCTAAGAGCACTCTTGAAGCGAAGGTCCATTGAAGTTCGATCCCAGAGTGACTACCACGGAACCCCATTACATGCTGCCTCCTATTTCGGCCGCATAGACATTGCACAGACACTGATAGGTGCAGGTGTTGATGTCAATGCGCAGGGTGGTAGATATAGCACTCCACTACAGGCTGCCTCTACTGGAGGAAACAAAGACTTGGTACAGCTGCTGCTAGACACAGGTGCCAATGTCAAGGCGCCAGGTGGTCGATATGGCGGTGCACTGCAGGCTGCTTCGTTCAATGGAAAACGAGACATTGTACAACTCCTGCTAGAGGCAGGCGCTGATCTGAATGCCGTAGGTGGTGAATATGGCACTGCACTATACAGCGCCGCCTACTCTGGTCATATAGATACAGCATTACTCCTACTAGATGAAGGTGCCGATGTCAACATGCAGGGTGGTAAATTCGGCAATGCGCTACAGGCTGCCTCTAGGAAAGGGGCACAAGACATTGCAGAGCTACTGCTAACTGCAGGCGCTGATGTCAACGCCCAAGGCGGTAAATACCACACTGCCCTGCAGGCTGCGCCTATCGATGAGATGGAGATAGTGAAGGTACTCTTAGATGCTGGCGCGGATGTCAATGCTCAGGGCGGCCACTATGGGAACGCACTTCAGGCTGCCTCTTATCATAGAGCAGCAGATATTGTGCCACTGTTACTAGCTGCAGGCGCCGATGTCAATGCCAAAGGTACATATGGCACTCCATTGCAGGCTGCCACTCAGTCTGCGGGGGTCTTTGGAGGAGAAATGGTCAAACAGTTGTTACTGGATGCAGGCGCTGTCCAAGAGGCCGCATCTGATCGTGGGAAAGTTGGCGGAAGGAAAAAGGTGAAACCTCTAGTATTAAGTAGGTAAATAAAAAACCTTATACTGGTAATCAAAGTATATAATGGATGGATGGGATGTCAACTCTGGACGGTTCTCCTAACCTCAGGTTCTACTCATCGACAACGATGACCCGTGAATAACACAAATGGAATCATGTGATCCATGATGGCCAAATAATCCACAGCTATAACGCCCCGGAAAATTTCCTTCAATTTCTATTCATTTTCATATAAATAAATCTCTTTTGAATTAATTTCATATAAAGACCTTAGACAACCTAATTATCCTCCCTGGAATAACCAGGCTGCAGACGCCCAGCCTACCCTAGACCTCCATTCTGTGCAAGCTATACTATACATCATATTAAGGCCTTAGAATACCTCTTTGTTTTTTTCACAGTAATTGGCCTCGAAACATTTCTCGCTAAACCTTTCCCTTATTTACCGTGTTAGCCACGTCTTGCTATTTGTTGATAAGTATACCTAGTTTTCCATTAACAACCTCAACATTGGCGATCTTGCTTTCGTATTTGATACTCAACAAAGCGCGTTATATATATAAAAGCTAAAAATAATCCAATCCACCACAAGAGGCATCGTAGTGCTACCCATAATGAGCCGGGTAACACTAGGCAATGAGGGCGAAATGACGAGTCAAAGCTGTGGTTCGTGTTGGGTCAATTGCTTCCCATAGAGATCGTAATCTCTTATACGAGGCTTAGTCCCCTGGAATATGTATCGTCGTGATTGAAGATCTCTGGCACGCGCTTTTCTATCCTTCGATACACCAGCGGAAGTGATCGGACTCTTCTACGGATTGGCAGAGCTATTCCCTCAAACCCCAGCATCCAATGCGATCATAGGCATCATGCAGTGGGGTTGTTATGATGATGCTTACGCAGCCTTGGACGAAAGCGGTAAAACAAAGTATATTGTAGCCAATAGTCCTTCAGGGCCCTGGCCATACTTGACTTGCCCCTAACTCTTCAGGCTCCAGGGGGGTGTATGACAAAACCCAATTCGCCCAGCCCACGATTGCTTCCTGTGGCATTCCTTCATAGTAGCAGAAGGCTTACAATGACAAAGAGGAAAAAGTACCAAAAAGTCCGAGGCGCCTGCCTCACCTGCAAGGAGCGAAAGGTCCGGTGCGGCCTCGAAAAGCCAGAGTGCGAAAACTGCACAAGACTCGCCCGGCCGTGTGCCTATGCTGAGGCGCCCGTTCGACCAACTGCCATGCAAGAGATTGAGCTCATGCATCATTACACAGCCTATACCTGCCTATCTATGAGCGAGAATCCTGTTCTTCGTTCGCTGTGGAGGGATATCGTCCCAAAGCACGCGTTTCGGCACCCCTTCCTGCTCCAAGGCCTCTTCGCCTGCGCGGCACTTCACAAGGTCCATCGCGATCAAGGCATGGAGCCAGAAGACCTGGCCCGCCTAATTCATGCTGCAGATTTCTATCAACAAGACTCTCTAAAGACCTATATTGATCTGCTGAGTAACGTTACCGAGGAGAATTGCCACGCACTATTTGCCTTTTCGCAAATCATCGCAGGCCTCAGCTTTGCGCGTCTTAGTTCAAATATCTACGAGCACGCCGGCGGTCCCATTGCTTTAATTCACAACTTCTTTAGTCTCTCCGAGTTGATGAAAGGTACTCTCAATGTCGCCATAGAGGGCATAGAGTGGCTACGAGAAGGAGATTTGAGCTCCATGCTGGGCGATGCCCCCAGCATACCATCTCAACAAGAACTGGCAGGAAACTCCACCCCTTGCGCGAGAGCTATGAAAACGCTCTCACATCACATTGCGGGTCAGATACAGGATGATGAAGCATCCAGAGCTCGAGTCGAGGTTCTGCAGTCTACTCTTCGCCTTGTCTACAGCCTTTTTCTTGAACCGCCCGAGTCAAAGGAGAGGCTGAATAATATTGGCGGCTTCTTGGTGTTTGCCAACCTGGAATTTATACGCCTATTAAAAGGATGGGACCATGCTGCCCTAGCTATTCTGGCATATTACGGCGCCGCACTGCATCGGCTACGCCATATTTGGTACTATGGGGATGTGGGTGCTAAAATCGTCAATGCTGTAAACGACATTGATATGCGAGCCTATTCTACGTTCTTGACATGGCCTCAGCAAGAAGTCGGAATCTAGTTACGCAAGCTATATATTATATTCTTTCCGACGGCACAATATATAACGCATCTATTGCGTTGAAGCTTGTTAATCCCTACGGCTTATCTTGATTCTATGCTGTTCAAGTTTCAAGTGCCCCAGAGGCTCAAGGATATTATGAATTTCCAAGCTTTAGTGAGATAAAAGACCTCGTGTACTAAAATACTGAAACTTTACCGCACACGCGTTTTGTAGTGGTCCTTAACTTCGATCGATTCTTACATTCCCAACCTGGAGACAGTGGAGTGGGGAATTCTGTCCGCGAGCAACGCGAGGGCCTATCAAATGCCGCCAGCTCCGATCCTCCCGAATACCAGATAGGCATGACAACAGGGTCATCAAGGGAGAGGCTAGGACGGCCTCCAGGGGTGAGTGGGCTTCGCAGTGTAGTCGGAAGCGTCGGTGTAGATCTAGAATTAAAAAGTGACATTGATTCGACTTTACTTGCTGCGCCTAATGATAAGGAAATTCATGCTCCATCCAATGTTATTAGATTTGTGAGGGTATGGCAATAGACTGGGTTATGAAGAAGGCTGATGTGTCTGATAATTGGATATGGCCAAGCCCCTGTAACATGTTGGCGATGACGGCGAGGAGCTTGCTTGGCGTATGGCTTCGTGAATATAAGAACTTATGGGCCACACGAATGATGCAATTCTATTATCTTCCCATTGCACATACTTTGACATCTATATTGATAGCAATCGAGAACTTTAGAGCTACAACAATGTCGGCGATACCTCGAGTCACTGCCTTGGCAGCCTTGCTGTTGCCGCTTTCTGTATCTTCCACGCAGATGGAATCTCGCATTCTGGGAGCAGAGACTACTGGATTCTTTCCTGTAAGTTGAACTCCATAGACCTCTCTTGTTCTCGACTTAACGTTAAATCTCATCTTCACTTCCCAACTGCCTCTGAACTACCATATCTAACATGATTAATAGTGCGACGCCCTGATCGGTGCAGGTCTCGGCAACCGACTTCTGTTGGCGACGCACGATGGATATGAGCCACGTATAAAGACTTACATGTCCGCCAACGCCCAGTACCGTCCGTGGTGCATAGTTCAGCCATACACTGCTCAGGAAGTGTCCCTTACTGTCAGCACTCTCGGCGGCTGCGGTGAGGGCGCTGGCGACTGGCATATCGCTGTCCGCGCTGGCGGAAACGGCAACCCTGGAAGCAATAACGTAGCTAGCGGCGTTACTATTGACCTGGGAATGATGAACCGCTCTTCCTATGATCCCTCGCGGGAGTTGGCTTCGGTTGAGCCTGGCGCTGCCTGGATGAATGTCTACAGTGACCTCCTCGAGTCTGCCAACGTCACCGTCGCGGGCGGTCGCTCGGGGGGCGTTGGTGTTGGTGGATTCTTGCTTGGCGGTGGGAACTCTCTTTACACGGGCCGCTATGGCTTCGGCTGTGATACAGTCCTCGGGTATCAGGTGGTTCTCGCCAACGGAACCATCGTGGAGGCGAATTCAGACACCAACGCTGATCTATGGAAGGCTCTGAAAGGTGGAGGTATGAACTTTGGCATCGTCACGCGCTTCGACATGGAGGCCATTCCAGCTACCGACGTAGCATTTGGGCAGTCGGTGTTCTCTGCAAATCACTCGGATCAACTTTTTGATGCCATCTCAGAATTCACAGATCACCCTCAAGAGCTGGCGGCGGATACAATGTACACGCTCTTCAGTCACAGCCCAGCTTCATCAGAGGATATGACTGCGATGGTTATTCGTGCTAACACCAAGGGTGATCTTAATACAACGGGCTTCGACAAGATTACTCAAATCCCCTCGATTGAGACTACTTGGGGTCTTACGTCTCATGCCGCGCTGGCCAAAGATCAGCAACTTCTTACTGGTTCCCTGTATGTCGCACCACCTTGTTCATTATGCATATTCAGTGAAACTGATTTTTATTCTGCCGCTAACGAAGCTTTCTTCTCCAGAAATCTGCAGAAGACCATGACTTTCGGGAACACTGCTTCCGTCATGCGGCAGAGTGCTACACTACACAAGCAGCTCATCTCATCTCTCTCTGAGAGAATAGGGGCTGAGAATTATACCACTGCTGTCTTCTATCAAAGCATCCCCAAATATTTTTCGGAGATCGGCCGTCAAAAAGGAGGCAATTCCATGGGCCTCGGTCAACTTCCAGGAAATGCCATTCTGCTGCAAGCCGGCATTGCAATCTACAACGGCGATGAGGCTGCTCTAGCCTTTGCCCGCGCGGAGCTTAATGCTATGATGGCCAAGTTGAAGGATATCACGATAGCCGAGGGCGTCTCCAGTGACTGGGTGTACATGAATTACGCTGATACCACTCAAAACCCCTTGGGCGGCGCTGGCGACGAAAATGTCTCATTCTTGAAGGACGTCGCCCAGCGCTATGATCCCCAAGGGTGGTGGCAAAGGAGAGTGCCTGGTGGATTCAAGGTTACCAGGGCGACATAATGCTATCATACAAATATCAGGCCTTTGATGATTGTGAAACCTTTCCGTTCTACACTCTTCCGGCTCTTTTAACCCTTCTACTTTCACTCTGACTACCCTCTTTACTTCCTAGGTATTTATCCATTTCATATATCATACCACCAACTTCAAATTTCTATAGGCTTAGGTAAATTCATTCCTATATTTGGATCAGACAACTTGCATATCTCTGTTGGTGGCGTTTCTGCTCTAGTCGGTTGGTCCAAAATCTATTTTCCCTTACTCAGCATGACCTTATTCTGCCACTATGCCATTGTAGGATCTTGGGCGGTTGGCCTCGTTACCCAGGATGACGGCACAATGCTTCACGTGAAGTTGGCGGGTTCGGAAATCTATTTTGCTAAAACGATGAGTTATCTGCAAGGTAAATCCAGTAACCTGTACATTTGAGTAGACAAAGAGACTTTGGAAATGATTTAACCCAGGGTGAGGTGAGATTTATCACACTTCACAATCTATATACGCAGCTTACATCTTACCGACATAGCTCGCTAGAAATCTATGTTAATGGCAAGGTTCATGAAGTTAACCCATGAGAAGATGTTATGAATATATATGTATTGAATGATTATATATAGCCACACGATTTTGGTGCACATTGAATATCTGTTAACCATTCCTCCTTCTGCGTTTACGCCATCTATTTAAGCAACAACAGATGGGATGAAGACTCAATTCAACACCGACTGCTGATAAATCGGCGAAAATTCGATGCATTTCAACTTCTAGCACGCGAACGTGCAGGTTGATTCGACCTTGTACCCATCCACGAGAAGCCCATTCTCGCACGCCCATGGGCCCGCCTCATCCTCCTTACTGTGGCTCGTAGTTCCGGGGGCTCCAGTCATAATGATAACTTGTTCATATTGCATCAATGCCTGTAGATAATATGTCAGCTCCAAAGCTAAGATCGGCCTTGCGCTTATTCATAAACATACAACGTTTGCAGTATTGTTGTGCCAGGCCAACATCCAGAGGCGATCGTTCAAGCCCACATCCTTGGCACCATAGACGCCGTTGAAGTTGTTGATAAAAGTCCTTGGGAAGGCGGCCTCACCCGTGAGCGTTCCTGCATTGTCGTATACTGATGCGTTAACATCCCACGTGGCATCTTTATCAAAGGGATATTCGATGCTAAGATGGACGGAACATGTACCGGCCTCCCAACGGCGTTCAAGGCTTTTTGGCAGAGGAGCGGTCGACGACGTGAGGTGAGACATAATATCGACATCAAGCGCCTTTGGAGGGGCAGCGGTTGATGTTGCCGCGAGGAAAGCGAGAACGGACGAGACAGCGAGGAAGTTCATGTTGAAAAGTATTGAGTGTGGTACTTGATCTAGTATATTGGCTGGGCGAATGTGCTTGATAGTATATTGTGTTACTCGGAGCGAACGATGCCCTTTTATAGCTTTTTGTAAGTAGCCCTTTTCTGACATTTCGCCAACAATTATCTCTATGCCTGTTCAATCAAGTCATGGGGATCACAGCATTGCCCTTGCTCAAGAAGCATGTTGTTTCACAAAGCACTTTCCTAGAAAAGAAGGTGAGAACAGGCTGATTTCTCTAAATGTAAGACAAAATGTATAATCAACAGATTCCTAGGCAAAGTTATTGAACCTTCAGGCCTTATGCCAGCTTACATACGTTATCCTAAAACTACATGATCTCTTTAATATGATTAAAACCACTTAAGGTTTGTTGGCTTCGAGTTAACATCAAATTTTCGTGGATAGATTTAGAGTTAGTACTCGATCATCAAATATGTTCGTCTACCCCGCAGATCTACCCATGGGATTAAGGCCACCATCCTAGCGTATGATTTCAGACTTTATTGACTAACCAGAATATGTTAAAGACTTTCCGTATCAGGTCTACCTATGGAACGTCCGAGAGAAAGTACAGGCAGTTTCCTTGTATAGACTGCCAAGAAACTGGTCTCCGGAGTTTATGCCCGCGTATGCGAATTCAATGCCGGGATGTCTAGCTAATGACACGTTAAACTGACGTCAGCACCAAATGAAGAAGGATCTTCCCACCTGTCAGCGGCTTTACAACTTTAACTGCCGGAAATTGCGTCTTCAGGGTTGACCAGCTGGGAAACTGCCCTGGCTTAATGTAATAGGCGGCCGCTCTTTCATACCGACTTTGCCACAATTACACGGACACGACTTGTTATGGTTAAATGGAGCAGGCGGCCGCTTCTCCATACCCTGACATGACCAGGTATGCAAAATAAAGCAGGCCATAAGAGCTTGGCAAGCGGCCGCCCATGTATGCTAGATCAGGAGTAACACCTTGTTAGAATCCAACCTTTGGCCATCTGAAATCTTAGTATCAGTCGTATCTGTAATCTTAGTAGTTATTAGAAAGGCTCCCTATACTAGGAGCTCGAGATGTAACCTTCTCGATTTATTTCTTTTCCTGATTCCAGTAAGTGATTGGATCAAGTTAAATCTTTTCTTCATCCTGTTTTCTTTTTTTCTCCTTCTTATTATATTCAAGTATAGCTATCTTCGTTCTTGTTTATATAAATATCTTCAAACAAAGTTGTTAAAGATGAAGCTACTCTTTATTGTGTATGTAGTATTCATAATAACTATCCTCTAATGTTTTGATGTCTTTGTCGTCCTCTTCTTAAATAGATTCTTTCCCCTAAATTTCACCCAGGTCGCAAAATAGACAACGAAGTAGTTGAACACAATAAACCCACAAAAAATGCCAAAGTCCCTCCAGATATTGTCGTAGTAGACACTGAAGCCTCTACCGAATTGGTCTCCAGAAGCGTACTGACAAAACTCGCAAATTCCATCCGCTCCTGTCTGAACATAACCCCCAGCCTGGGCAATGAAATCCTTCGTGTACTGTTCGCAGGTCTGTCCGTCTGGCGCGGAAAACTGGGCAAACTCCTCCTGGGCACATTCAACCGGCTGCTTGTGTATAGCAGCCCCAAGTAGACCCTCAAGAAGGTAGTGAAAGGGAGAGAGCCAGTACATCCAACTATGAATCGCACCGTTAGCTGAGATATATCAGGGCTTGAAGGTGATAGGCAGACATACCTGCGCCAGAATGTGGGAAGCTGCATGGGTGGAACCACAACACCGCAGAAACTGACGACGAAGAGGAAGAAGATTGGCACCATGAGAGACGCGACGAGCTCATTTGGCGCAAATGCAGCAATGGCCTGGCCGAAGCTGACGTAGTAAAGCTCAAACAGAAGCACGAGAAGGAATGCAAATCCAGAGGTGAAGCTTGATACTCTTGTACCAAAGATTCCCCACCACCAACAGTTGAAGTATATGCCACCTAAAAATATGTCAGCAACTTCTCCTTTTTGACTTTCACGTGAAATACTTGCCTGCGACGATAGCGTAAGGAATCTCTACTATGACGGCTGCAGTTACCCAAGCGAACCACGAGTAAATCTTCGCATTGTTTTCACGCGATTGGAAAAGATTGCGCGACTGGATGAAGACTGGCTGTAGCTGTTGGATGAGTGGCGGAGAGATCGTCAATGTCATAAAAATCGAAAACAGACGATTCTGAAAGTCAACACTCTTGTACTCAAGCATCCAGAACGTAAAGCAATTAAATAAGCCAGTAAGAATGTGAAGGAAGAATTTGCCGATGATGTAGTTCGGCTTGCGCCAATATGAAACGAACGAGCGCTTCACAACCGTCAAGGTCTGCAAAGACAAGGGCGAGGCATATTCGCGGTCGTCTTTTAGACTCTGAGACGGCTGGACATTCTTGCGCTGGTTAACCATATCCTCGATTTCACGGGAGCGAGCATCTCGCTCTGGGGAGCCAGCCCAGACATCACCCCAATTTTGACCATGGTAGTTTGGATCACCAGCACCAATAGCCTCAAGCATATACTCAGCCGGGTTACGGTCACGTGGGCACCTGGGAGCACCGTTGGACTCGAAGTAGTTGATCAGCTCCCGACTGTCTTCCCCGAGAGGCCCGTGATACACGACGCGACCTCCAGACTTCAAGAGAAGCAGTTCGTCAAAATGTTCAAAAAGGACAGCAGAAGGCTGGTGGATCGTACATAGTACGGCCTGACCAGCATCGGCGAGCTTTCGGAGGAAGCGAACAATGTTGAAGGCGGCACCAGAATCAAGGCCGGAGGTTGGCTCGTCCAAAAACATGAGCAACTCGGGCTTGGAAGCAAGTTCAACACCGATAGTCAGTCGCTTGCGCTGCTCAGGATTCAGGCCTTCGCCGACTTGCCCGATTGTCGCGCCAGCAATGTCACGCATTTCCAACAGATCAATGATGGTTTCACAGTAATCCAGCTTTTCTTTGCGAGGGACTTCACGGGGTTGTCGGAGCAGGGCGGAGAACTGCAGAGCTTCCCTGACCGTAGCCGTCGGCTCATGCACATCCATCTGTTCAGCAAATCCAGTGGCCCGCTGGAATGATTTGGGTAGCGGCCGTCCGTCAACGAGAAATTGGCCAGTGAGGACACCAGTGGTAGTGCGTTGAGCAAGGGCGTTGAGCAGAGTCGTCTTCCCGGCGCCTAGTAGGAATTGTGAGGTCAGTTATCAAAATTACGAAGAACAAAAGTGCCTCCAAAGCCGAATTTGGCAACTTACCAGAAGCACCCATCAGTGCAGTCAGCTTTCCTGGACGAACATAGCCTTGGCAGTCTTGGAGCAGCTTGCGTTCACCCTTCTGGTATGGAATGGTGTAATTCACGTCTTGGAAGGTGAAGATGGTCTCGTTTTTAGCCACTTGCCGCAGCGTCTGTTCCTTTGTGCCCTTACCATTGTCCATTCCATTGTCCATGGAGGAAGACGGGTGGACAGCAGACTGGCCTGACTCTTCATCGCTCTTCTCCCTGCCGCCAGTCTCGATAGTCTTCTCAACTTTCTTTGGAACCTGGCCTCGTTTGAACACTGTGATTGCACCACCTCCAGAGTTGGGCTTCATTAGTTCATATCCGAGGGCTGTCAAGGCGACAAAAAGAATGAAGAAGCCCCAGAGGAACCCAAAGTTGCGCCAGAGGTGCGAACGAGAGTATGTGAAGGATGTTTGAATGTACGCAGCCCCTTCCACGAAGGTTTGGCCCGGTTTGCTACCCCTCAATGCGCATGACTGATACTGCGAGCTGACGTTTGGCCCTCGAGGCACAAGAAATTGCGCATCACAGTCGAGGTTCAGGCCAGTGAATTCATTGGCAACCAAACATTCAAAGCCGTACTGGATGAAGTTGATCCAGCGCAACCAGCTGAACCATGGCTTCATGGATGTAATGGGAATGAGATATCCCGTGTACACTATGAGTATCTGAATCGCTAGACCAGTGAACCTTGTTGCAATGTCAAGAGTCTTGCAGAGGGCGGAGATGGCCCGGAAAAAAGCATATGTAGTCATGGTAACCAGCCAAAGAATCAGAGTACAGATGAAGAACTGAGAGGGCGTCCTTGCCAGGTTTGACATGAAATAAATGATGACATTAAAGATGGTGACTTGGATGAAGACCATGGGAACGTCGACGACAGTCTGGGCTATAGCGTATGCGGCCGGCCGATAAAAAGAGAATGCTTTGTGCTTCAACAAGATCGGCTTCGCCTCAAAAGCAGCGGTTTGCTCCGACAGAGCGAGCAGGGCGTTGAATAGAAGAAGGAAAAACAGAGTGCCTCCTCGAGGGAAGGCTCCGGAGGCTGTGGATGGCAAGTTAAAAAACAGACTGCCCACAATAAGGCCTTGGAATACGAGGCCGCCCCATTTACCGAACAGGGACGCCTTGTCGCCGATCATGATGAAGAATTGTCGTTGTGTGCAGGCCAGAACTTGTTTATGGAATGGGATGGTGAAGTTCTTCTGCGAGGTTTTCTTTGATTGCTGTTGCTCGCGGTTTTCAGTTAGCGTCTTAGCTTGAGCTTCGAAGTCCTCCATATCGGCAATGTTCCGCTTGTACGCATCACTTCGGCGGTATGCATTGAAGAACTCGTCTGGGGTTCGAGGAATTCTGTCTTCCCAGCCCTTGCGAATACTACGTTCATGCTGATCGGATACAGAAGTGAGAAAGTCGGGAGTCGTCCACCGCTCAGGACATTCAAATCCGAGGTCCTGAAAATACTTCTTTGCATGCTGGCTTTCTCCAAAGTACAGACACTTTCCGCCATCTAATCAAAATTAGTATTTCCCTGTATCTGGGCTCCTATCGGGCTACTTACCAATAAGCAAGACCTTGTCGGCGAGCTCGAACAAGGATTCGCCCGCTTGATACAAAGACACGGCGGTGGATGCATCAGCCATGTTGGTCATGGCTCTGATAGCTCTAACATACTCCAAGGCCGTGCTGGCATCAAGACCTTTGCTAGAGTTGTCCCAGCCCTGGATAGATGCACGAGTTATCATAGCTTCAGCGATGCTCACACGTTTTCGCTCACCACCGGAGACTCCGCGAATGAGCTCGTTTCCCACTTTGGTGTCCAGGGTGTGCTCAATCCAGAAGAGTTTGGTGACGACACGCATAAATTCGCGTACATAGTCTTGCCGAGTCTCTCCTTCAAGTCGCGACTCCTTCCCGGGTGTCCGGGTCTTAAGAGCGAAGGAGAGAGTTCTCCGTACTGTCAAGGTAGCATAGTGCAGGTCGTCCTCGGGGTTATAGATAATCTCGCCTCTAAATCGTTTGGACATCTCCTCAGCCGACACTCCTCCATATTTGACATCACCCTCGACCGCCTCGAAGCCAGCGCGCTGGTTGCAGAAGGCTTTGAGAAAAGTGGTGCAGCCAGAACCAGGTCGACCCAAGACAAGCAACATTTCGCCAGGTCGGACACAGCCGTCAAAGTGGCTGATGAGCTCACGCACGGGTGGTTTGGCAGAGGCTGCTTTCGGGCCACTTCTAAACAAATTGGAAATCTTTCGTGGGATTCCCAAGAATATGTCACCGACTGTCGCCTGTAAGCTCGAGCCCAGCCCAACGCCTTTGACAGTGAGGTCTCGGAAAATGACTCCACTGTGCCTTGTCTTTTCGTCTTCGCTCTGCTCCTGACGTTTCTGGCCAAACATTCGCGACAGTAGACGTTCAATCTCCTGTGACTCTTCTCTCAGCTCCTCTTTGTCCGCGTTAGACATATTAGTTCGGCGTCGAGACAGAGTCTTGAATATGTCGTCTCCCTTCTGGGCCGACCTTTCCCTTTTGATTGATTGGGATTTATCTGAGTGCGAGCTTTGGTTCTGCTCCAGGGGCAATTGACTTGGACTGCTACTGTCACTGTGCTCTGATTCTTCTTTGAGCTGATCGGCGGCGACATGGTTATGTTCCAACGCTCTCGGTGATGGTTTAACGGAGATTGTGCTGCTGCTAGAAGACAATATGGACTCGGCCTGGTTGGTGGGGTCAACAGTACGAGTAGGTTGGTCTCCGGAAGCCAAAGCCGCGGTGATGTATTCGCCGGTAGTACGATGCTGCAATGGGGGTTGGCTTGGCGAGATTTGCCGCCCTGCAACGACTGGGATAGCAGCTGGTACAGAGGGTGGGAAATGCTCCTGCGTTGGTGTTGCCGCCCCCTCGGATTCTTGGTAGTGTGCTAAGCCAGGAGTGCTCGGCTCCGAGGCGAGACTCGGTGTCTCTGGGTAGCCACCAGGGACATCTGTGTCTTTGGGGGTTGGAATGTCCTCCATGGTGTTTCAAGGAAAGTTTCCCGTTTCCGTTTCAACACAGAAGCACCTAGTCAGATGTCACGTTGACGGAGATGACAGGAGACGACACTCGTTCCTCAACAGGCATGAATGTCTAGCACTCTGGATAGAGAAGGGCAACGTGAAAGTTTAGTACTTTACCAATCTCAATCGTTTTTTACCTTAGTATGGACCATGAATATAGCTTAAGTACGCATCTCTCAAGCGACTAGCGGCCGCCCTAGCTGGTGAGAATGACGCATTACAATTGATTTCAGCGACTGTGATTGAAGAGCGACCCACAAGATTCTCGCGCAATTCGGCATATGCGATTGTCCGAGCAGCGATTCTTCCACGCTTCCGGGGGCATATCTATGACGCTCAGATGAGTCCCGATATTGAGTTATCAATGGCAGATCGAGACGCGATTGGAATTTACGGAGTACCGGATGAGGATCGAGTTTATTTGGTGGGCCGATCGCATTTTTATTCTCTGCGTGGTCCGACGCGGCTGCTTATGATCGCGCATCAACGGGCTCATCGGCTTACGAGGCCTGGGCGATTAATCAGCCAGGAGAAGGGTTTTAAAGTCTAGCTTCTATCCAATGTCATATGGTTAGTGCCGGATACTTCCAATCCCCTTGGGCTAAGGAAATTTAATGTTGTTCAACCGACGCTGCCGTCGCACCAGACCCTCGATTTCCGAGTTCTAGAGAACCAACTCATTTAGCCAATGGGCACAGCCAAGACAAAAAAGGGCGGTCTGATATCGTAAATCATTTCCGAATGAGTATATTAGGAAAAAGAAGCCAACGAAAACATTGTGACCACATTGATTCCCCTGGTTGGATGTGCCAAGCACTTTTTACCTAGCAATTTAATTGAAGATCGTTGCGGTTCTTTGCTCCGCTTCATCACTAGACAAGATAAACGTCCCTCGTATACCATCTCAATCGTCACTAGGAAGATAAGTAAATATATATTCTAAATTTAACAGACACAATTCTACTCCACAGAAGAATAAATCAATGCATCATAGACATCGCTCTATGCCACTTGAGCGACCAATGCTTCAAATTCTCCATCTGTGTGTTCCTTGAGATTTCGAAACTCCTTGTTCAAGACCGTCTCGCCATTCCGAAATCGCTGCACGGTCAATTTCTGGCCCGATAATCGCTTCGCCTCGAAAAGGTCTTCCACGTCCACCAGAGATGGTACCACCGTCGTCCTAAACTCGTACGGCACTCCGCTATTCTTGATGAGTTCGATGCTGGCCTCAAGGACTTTTGGCTTGACTTTACGACCGGTGACCTTTTTGTAATTCTCCAAAGCGCATTTGATGTCCATCGCCAAAAAATCAACGAGATTCTCGTCAAAGACTTGCTTTAACACAGTAGGTGAGGTTCCATTGGAGTCTAGCTTGACGCTAACTCCAGCTTGTTTGAGGATTCGCAAGAATGGAAGCAGGCCTTTGTGGATTGTTGGCTCGCCCCCAGAGATAACCAGTGATTTGTGAGAGGTAGATGTGATGTGGCGGAACGCGTCGAGAATCGTCACATCTTCGCGCTCTCCTTCAACAAGCGGACCGTTGTGGCACCAAGGACAGGCCAGATTACAACGTGATGTGAATAGAATCGAGGCCTGCAATTTGCCGGGATAATCACCAAGAGTGTTCTTGATATATCCCGCCAAGGGAAGGTCGGTGATACCGGCTACCTGGCTCTCCAATTCTTCATACTTATTGTCAACCTTATCAGTCCCTGAGTACTGCAGGCCTGTCTTGTAATTGTACGTCTTGCGTTCTGCAAACTCTGTCGCCTTGCCCCTGTTCCAGTCTCGAGTAGGCCGAAAATAGCCAACGATGCGGGAGTACACCAGGGCAGGCTCACCACAATCCGAGCACTGCGGTTGCTCACCTGTCCGATACCCGTGTGTTGGGCAAATACTAAATGTAGGTGTCAGAGTGATATAAGGGAGACGGAAACGGCTTGTCAGTGATTTGATCAAGCCACGAGCCAGCCTCCAGCTTGAAATTTGTTCTCCCAGAAAAGTATGAAAGACGGTGCCACCAGTATACGAGCACTGGAGGTCTTCTTGATGGGCCATGGCCTCAAAGATATCCTCGGTCGCTCCGACGGGGAGCATGGTCGAATTGGTGTAAAATGTAGGTACATCACGATTTGGAAACAGGTCCTTGTCCCTCTTGGCGAACTTGTAACACGTGCTTTCTGCTGGACTGGCTTCCAAGTTGTAGAGATTGCCTGTTTCTCCTTGGAACTCTTGCAATTTCCCTTTGATGGATTCCAATACTTGGAGAGCAAAGTCCTTTTCTTCGCCGATTCCCTTGCCAAACAGGGCAATCAGTGCCTCGTTCATCCCATTCACTCCGATTGTGCTGAAATGGTTCGTCCAGTACGATCCTGTCCGCTGTTTAGTTGCTGAAAGATAATGTGCAGCATAAGGATACAGAGCCGAGTTTGTTTCCACAAGCCTTCGTTTGATCTCTAACGAATCCTTGGCGACCCTCAACGTCTCTGAGAGCTCAGACATGAAGATCTCCTTTGACCCATTTGATCGGTAAGCAAGATTGGGGAGATTGACCGTGACTACCCCAATCGAACCAGTCAGCGGACTTGCTCCATACTGACCGCCAACTCGGCAATGAAGCTTGCTCAGATCGAGTCGCAGGCGACAACACATGGAGCGAAAGTCTTCAGGGTCGAGATCGCTGTTGACAAAATTGGCAAAATATGGTACGCCGTACTTGGCAGTCATCTGCCAAATGGACTCCCAACGAGACGACTCCCAGTCAATTTCATCGGAGATATTGTAAGTCGGGATGGGAAAGGAGAATATGTTGCCGTTGCCGTCGCCCTGCATCATCACTTCCGCAAACGCCTTGTTCAGCATATCCATCTCTTCTTGAAAATCACTGTAGGTCCATTCCGGATGAAGCTTCCCACCAATGATAACAGCTCAGTCGCTTCGGGCAAATGAGATCTAGCGACAGATTTGTGAATGGAGCCTGAAATCCGCTTCGTGTCGGGACATTCAGAGAGTAGACAAAGCTTTGTATATATTTGAAAACTTCGGAGTAGGACAGTTCGTCACTCCGGATGAAGGGCGCCAAGTACGTATCAAAGCTAGACAAAGCCTGAGCACCGGCAAGCTCACCTTGCAGGGTGAAGAGAAAATTAACAACTTGATTGAGAGCAGTGTTGAGGTGATTAGCAGGCCGACATTGGATCTTGTTTTCGACGCCGCCAAAGCCCTGGAAAAGAACATCCTCAAGGCTCCAGCCAGAGCAGTAGGCGCTCAAGAATCCAAGGTCATGGATGTGAAAGCGATTGTCTCCATCATACTGCCGGACCTCGTCAGTGTACACTTTTTCCAGCCAGTACTGTGAGATAATTTGGTTGGAAACATATTGCATCAAACCTTGATGCGAGTAGGTCGAGTTTGCGTTTTCAGCAGTCTTCCATGTTCCTTTAGCGAGATACTCATCGACGAGATTGATGTTGGAAGGCATTATCGAAATCCTCTAGAGTGTAATGTCACAGAAAGTAGGTAGAAGCTTCAAAGTTCAATTCTCGACAACATTCAATTTACAGAATCAAAGAGAGATCGAGGTCGAATTATTTTGTTCTCGGCAAGGGCTTTTATTCAAGGACTTGCAGGGGTCATCGTTCAAACCAAGCGACTCAGGCCGCGCTCGATCCTGATGATCGAGGGTGACAAAACACGGCCAAGACCTAGAACCCTGAACATTTTCCATTGTGTGCTCACAGAAACGCGCTCACTACGCGTCGACCGTCTGACTTGACTCGTCTGATGCACCCTGGCCTGTCCGCGATATCTCGTGACTTGGCGTAGAGTGGCCTGACAACGTTCCAACATATGGCCAATGACAGCCCACTGATTGTCGATATTGCCTTATCCGGGAATTAAAAGTCATGTCGAAAGGTTCACGCCACTGGTATATGTGAGACGCGACATGCTTAACCTAGCAGACGGCTGATGATCTAATTATGCCAGACGTGACTCATGGTACGTACATGTTGCATTCTTTGCTTGAATCGGCAAAGTGTGCAATCAAGCACGGTAACCCAAAAGTAAGGGTAAAGTAAATTAGCCAATCAAAACATACATCGTCGAATCGCTTTCATTCACTGTCTAATAAGAAGAGACCTTGGTGATCTGGTGATCGCACAGCGATGGAGGAAGCATTGCTATAACTGGTATACTGGAAAATGAGCAGGCACATGGAATACTTTAGAACCGCTACTGTTGATCTCAAATCATCTTAGCGTTGCTTCACAGGATTCAATCTTAACTATTTCGAGTTTTACGGAAGTTTGTTCCCTCCTCATTTCAATCAGCTCTTTGCTAAAGTATTATGTCTCCGTTGATAGTCACTAGCTAAATGGTCAATGGCGATCTGTAAATATTGGGTATACACAATTGTTTGGAGTATGCCTCAAAAGAACGGACATGCTCGTGTAGAATCCTGATATGTTGCAACCTTCTGAGCAGTGCCGAGGAGCCGGTTTAGTGCAGTACGAGGCCGTCTGATCCGCGTAAAGGATCAAGTTGGGGCCTGTCGGCCCGATTGCAACGCGGGGATTTAAGAAGCCTACTGCTTCCGTCTGTATTCGAAATATCAAATAATTTCACGCGGCATCATGACATTGTTTTCTGCGCTTGTTGTGGTAATACTACAAGCTACGAGCGCTCTCGCATCGACATGTGTATGATTTCTCGAAATTGCTAGTCAACAGTGATGAAAAGCTGACATATACAACAGTGTAACCAGCTTCAACAACTTGGCGATAGCCTCAGTTTTCCCAAAGATATGATTTACAACGCCACGGTGTCTAGCTTTTGGTCGATACAAGAGTCTGGGCTGCGACCAGCCTGTGTGCTACGACCTGCCACCGTCCTACAAGTTTCCAAGGCGTTGGAAATTCTCAGCGGCAATGTCGAATGCAAGTTTGCCATCAAGGGAGGAGGTCACGCTCCAGCAGCAGGGTTTGCTAACGTGAACCGTGGGGTTTTGATTGACTTGACGACGTTGTCTTCTGTGTCCCTTAACCAGGACTCATCAGTGGCAAGTGTCGGCGCTGGGGCAAAATGGCTCGACGTCTACCAGCACCTCGATGAGTCCGGGGTGCAAGTGGCAGGTGGGAGGAATGGTAACGTTGGCGTTGGTGGACTATTGCTTGGCGGAGGAATATCGCATTTCACTACTCAAGTTGGCTGGGCTTGCGATAACGTGGTCAACTATGAGATTGTACTAGCCAACGGAACAATCATCAACGCAGATAAGACTAACCACCCAGACATGTTCCTCGCGTTAAAAGGTGGAGGGAACAATCTCGGTGTCGTCACACGATTCGATCTTGCAACGTTCCCACAAGGCGATATATCTACAACGACCATCACGTACAACATATCTCAGAGGGTTGAAGTCTTTGAAATCTTCTCCAAGCTAATTGAGTCGCCCAAATACGATCCATTGGCGTCGCTAATTACCAGTCTTCTTTATCGTTCAGCAACCAAAACATGGACACTAAGTTCCTCTGCGGTCTATACTGAGCCAGTGGCCCAACCCGCGTTTTATGCCGATCTCTTTGCAATTCCGCATGAGACTCTGGTTAAAAATATAACGTCCTTGGCAGAGTATTCAAATGAGAAAGATACATTTTCTTTGTAAGTTTTGTTTCTCCCGACTAGAGACAGACTCTTACAGACGCAGTAATTGGCATTTTGCAACGATAACCCTGAAGCCATGTGTCGAAAATATACAAAAGATGTTCGATACTTTGAACGATACAATTTACTCTTTCGAACCAGAAGGTGGCGTGACTTGGAGCATCGCCCTCGAGCCTTTGGTTGCAGCTATGCTACCAAGTTCAGGGGATAGAGATATACTTGGTTTGGAGCGTGCTTATCCTGGTTTTAGTATGTATATATTCCATGAAGGCCATCGTCAAGAATGCTCTAACCATCCGCTAGTTGTCCTGATCTCCGCCCTGTGGCCAAATTCGACTGCCAACTCCGAGGTCGAAGCTAAAGCTCGATCGGTTTTGTCGACATGGGAGGCCGATGCGCAGTCAAGAGGGCTTTTACAAGATTTCCAATATCTCAATTACGCTGCTCCACATCAAAGGCCCCTGCACTCTTATGGTAAAGATAGGCTTGACTTCTTGAAGTTGACTAGCGAGAAATATGATCCTCCAAGGATTTTTCAAAAGAACGTAGGAGGCTTCAAGCTCCAAAACTAAGAGATTACACAATACTTTATATTCCCAGTCAGCGAGAGCAGCCGAGAATTTGGGATTAGGCAGGCGTGCCATTATGGACGATTACACGTCTCTATAATACTAAACAATCTCAGCTTCCATAACCCCGGAATTTCGAGTGTGTGTGTGTTCACTTGAAGTCTCTCCCAAGCCAAATTTCCTTGACTACCTTGAGCCGGGGCTGATCACACAAAGCTGGCTTGCGGGGTGAGCAGTCCATGCATCAACACTATGCGGATCGACAGTATAAAAACAGAGTCTCGCAATAAGTAGCGGCTTCTTAATAAAAACTTCTCCTTGCACTCTGTAATCAATCTTTCCAAGCAGATTTAGTGGTCTACCTCAAGCCTCAATTAGTTGAGAAGACTGTACATTCATTCAGCTCAAGATGGCCAGTCCTTTGTATTAGGTAGTCAGGCACCTTCGCACCAGTTATCAAATGGTTAGCCCAACACTGCGCCTCTTCGGGAATGGCCTGGGCTTTTTAGCACAGGCTCAGTGCCTAATAATAGCCGCCATCTTCAATGCTTGACTCCTCACCCCTCTTTTTCCACACGCACTAGATCTTATCAACTTTATTACCTTTACGAGCTTAATCACTCTTCTCCCTCTTTCCCCTGGATATCTACGCCCTCTCTACTCTATTGAGGTCATACCCAACTCAACGCGTACGAGAATATGGCGCAACTCTCTAATATCCCGACTGAGGTCATCGACAACATCTTGAGGTTCGTCCCAAGAGCCGACCTTCCGAGCCTATGCCTCATCAATAAATCCCTTCATCAGACCGCCCAGCTCTTCCTCTATTCTACCATTAACATCCAATGGACCGATCATCCAAATATCCCGAAATTGAAAAACCCCCCGATCATCTCTCTTCTGCGCACTCTTTTACAAAGACCCGAGTTATTTACCTACATTGATGAGGTTCATTTGGGTGGACGCTACATGTATGACGATCCAGAGCGACCATTGTTGGATACTACAGGCCTTTCACCCGACCTCAACCTATTTATTGACGCTATCAACAAGACTCAAGTGTCTTATACCAGCCTCTGGATCGACAGATTGATAGCAGGCGGCATGGATGCACTTGCTGGTCTTCTCATTACCAACGTTTCCAGATTAAGATGCCTGCATATCGGCCATAACTTTGTTAACGGCGATGATATACTTGGCAAAGTCCTTCTGTCTAAAGTATATGGAGAGCTACCTGCTTTTGAACGACTCAAAGAGGTGTGGTATACTAAGAGAAGAGATTATATCCAGCAGAGGAACGAGATTTTCTCATTCGCAGCATCTCTATTTTATCTGCCGACAGCAACGAGTATTTCCGTCTCGATGTCAAATCCTGCAACCTTTTCGTGGCCAAGAGAGGAGCCTAATCTTGATCACATAACTCATCTGTCGATAGACTGGCTTCTTGAGGAATATTTAATCGGTATCCTAGTGATTACACCAAACCTAAAATCACTCTATTATGAATGGATATATCATGATGATCCTGATGAAGAGCTTGAATATCCACTGATGGACTTCGACTACCTTGTTGACGTCTTATCATTTGTCAAAGACACGCTTGAGGTATTCATGTTCCATATGGAAATTGGAGATGAAGAGCGTGATGGTTCGACTATAGAACTGAAATTCATGGGAACTATGAGAGGTCTTCTCGAGTTCGACAAACTGAGATATCTTTCCATACCATTAGTATGCCTTACAGGCTTCGCGGCAGAGCCTATACCTCTGGAGCAGTCTATTCCTACAAATATGGAGGTTCTTCACCTACGACAAAAATCACTCGATGATCATGGAGTTATAATACATTGGCTGGATCACTTCACAAACAGGGAAGATAAGCTTGAGGCTATTGATCGATTAATTCAGCCGTTGGTAAAAACTCATGCAAACCTTCACTTCGTTACTGCGTGGACGAGGGCTTTGCAGATTAGGACGAAGCGGTGTGCTCCTGGTTGTCATGATTAGTCTCTGGGAGATGGAAAAGTGATCAGTTACTGCTAACTAAAATTAAATACATCCCCTTCATACTATACGCGTGTATATTTTCATTGATATAGTCATTCCAATTAGATTTTGGAAGTATTTCTAAGCCTCAGAAGGATTCCCAAGTGGCTCAGCAATTCTGATATATGATATTTTTAGGACATTGCACCAAATTATTTTCTTTTACCCGCTATCCTCAGCTACCTAGGTACTAATTACTGGATATACTCTGGAAAATATAAAAAGATTTTTAATTCTAGGTATTGAAGATTGAAAGGAATATATTAAAAGCAAGGAAAAAATATATAGAAATCCTTTTGCAATACCATAGGAGTTAATAGTGAAATATACGACTATTAAAAGAATAAAGAACGCTTATACCTGCCAACTTTCCTAAACTCAACTCTCGACCTGCCCTCTCTTCTACTCTTATACTATCTGTATGCTCATCTCATCCTATGCTTTCCCCTCTCTCTCTAGTCTTTCCCGTTCCTTCTGCTGCTGCTGCTGCTGCTGTTGTTGTTGTTGTCTCCGCAGCCCCTCTGCTTTAAATTTCTCCCTTCATGCCTCATAGTCTGCTGTTTTCTTTGTTTCCTCTTTTTTTTTCCGTTCCGTCTGTTTTTCAGCTTTCTTTTGCTTGGCTTGTTTTTGTCATCTTACCCTGTCCTCTTCCTTTCTTTGAATATATTCTTCATCTGCCTCATACCGACCCAGAAACTCGTGCTTCCCTTTGGTCTCTCCCAAGTCATAGTCTTTGTCATCTCCAGCCACAACCTTGGCCCCAGTCACCTTTTCAATGGTGGCACAGCCCCCTTGAGTCCCGTTTGCCTTTCCACCAAAGAGTTAGCTACATATCAGCATTGCGTAGGAGGGTTAATAGAAGGTTTACTTACATCATCGCAAGGTGCCTGGATCTCAATTTCGGATTTCGTCGCTGGGGATCTTTCGTGGTCCTTCAGGCGGGATGCCTCCTTTTGTTCGCTGGTTTGGTTCGGCCTGTGGGCAGCTACCATCTGAGTGTCTGCTCCTGGTTGCTTTCCCCTCTCTTCTTTGTTCATGACATACATGCCCAGGTATTCGCCGCAACGGTTATAGTTCATATGCTTTGAATGTACCCTTTCCTCAGATTCTCCCAAGGAGCCCTTGCCGTCCCAGGCCTCCTCGCATTTGTCGAGCACTTCTTGGGCTGGCTTATTCTTCTTGTCCGTGATCAGATTAGGGCCGCCTTTTTGGGAGCTTGACAAGTTCAATCAGCCTTGAATGTGTCCCACCCAATCGCCATTTGCTATCTCGTGTTCCGCAATGCAGCTAGCAGCCGTCAACACATTGCCGGCCCACTGTGCGAGAGGCTGATGCGATAAACCTAGGCTGTTTCGATCTACTGGGTATCTCCCAGTCGTCCACTCGCGGCGATGAAGTTCCCATCTCCATACACAGTCGTCCCTTCATCCCCTTCATCTCCTTCAATTCCGCCACTCTCCCAAGCAAAACTGAAAGCTCTAGCGACACAAGTATGCCCAAACCTCGCAATGGACTTGAAGGGGACCGTCGCAGAGCGGTTCACGTCGCGCGCGACATTGCCAAACCCCTCTGTACATCAGACACTTGGTGTGTTAGTCGTCAGCTGCTTCTCAAGTTCAACGTTGACGTCTCTTCCCTCGACTATGTCACAAGTAAACCCAAAAGACAACAGTTCATTGAACCCATATCTTCAGCCAAGGCCCAGAGGTATCTTGACGTGACACAGCCTTGGTTTGATGGAGGTGCCTGCGTCGACGTTAAGGTCGAAAACTCGTGGGGCAACAATCGTAGCGAGGCGATTACATTTTACAGCACCATTGCACGCCACGTGAGTGGTGTCGCATCTACCAAATGTGACCAGTGAAGCCTGATAGCCTGTACCCCTTGGGTCCCAACCGGATATGCAACGTCCATCTCCTTCCATTGATGCATCTAAGAGAACTCGCTAACTCACTCTGCTAGCAACAACTATGCAGTCCTGCAGCAGATGGGCGAAAAAGGGTGGTTCGCCAAGAACATCCTTCGATATTGTACAATCGGGCTTTGTTTCTTTTTCCTCGTCTTTCATTTTTAGAGGGCATGCCTGTTTCTCCCATTGGCGTCATGGCGCATATCTAACCAGCCTTTGGCTATTAGATCGTTTGATTTATTTATTTTTTTCTCTTTGACGCTTCAGGTCAAGTTTTCTATGGTAGGGTTAATGCTCCAAGGATGAGTGCCAATGGGTATCTCTACCCCAGTACTTGAGCAAAGCAATACGGAGAGATACACCTAAATACATCTAGAAAGCTATATCCGAGGTAGCCATCAATAACTCTTCATCGAAAACCCCATTTCCCATCATTCCCAGTCAATTTCTCCCTTATGTGTTGCACGGAATTTGGGAAAATTGCATCCGGAGCAGCCGGGAGATTTTCATTCTCACCGACGCAGATTGTTCTACGATAGAATGGCATGAACCAAGGGTCATTGAGCTGATCATGGCGAGATTGTGAGGGAGGATCTTCCGCCCACAATTTGTCAATGAAGAGAGCCCATCCATGCTCTGGATCCTCGACCCTGGGAGCGATTTTGATCCCTGCGATAATATTAGCGTCGTTTCTCTGCTTGGAAACCCAGAGCACTGGCCTGGTATTGTCAACTTCAACCATAGCGAAGCTTCCCAGATTCTCGCGCGGAGAAAATATCCTTCAGCGAGGCTGGGCGTATCGAGCAAATGGCCTCCTCCGTCTCCACTGGATGCACCCTGGAACAAGTTCCTCGGCCAGTCTGAGATAGCATCAGCAGCCCAGGAGACCCATTTGTCGTATCCAAAGCGGTTACGGTCAGGCTCGGTTTTTGGTCGCGGTATCCCTATTGGGTCGATGAAATCGGAATCAACGAGGCCACCATCTGGGTAGATTGTGGCCATCTCAAGTTCTTTGAGAACCCATTTTAAGTACGCGACGGATTGCCTGCGTGTCATTCCCTTTCCATTGTCGGTTCCCATTTTGGTCAGGACGAGGACGAGTTGATTGAGGATCCTGGGGAGGCCAGTCAATACAACCATGTTAGCTACGGAAGAGTTCCGAGAGGTTTTACCTGCTAGAGGGAACATAATGCTTGAAAGATGTGACGTTCGAAGCGTCGCCAAAATCTCGTACCGCTTTCTTTGTCCCTTCGGTCGGGCTTTTCCGGTGTCGAAGGCAGCTCACGATTCGATCGTCATACCAGTTCCCATAGCTGGAAAGGTTATCCCGTCCGAGGTCGGTATCGGTATATAGGATAAGCATATTGAATGAAATGGCAACGCAGCGTATTTCTTGAATTAATCTGGCAGAGCGAAATCTCAAGGAAGAAATCTAGAGTGCCCTCATATATACCGCAAAGCCCGGGGCATTCGCTTTGTTATATAGACTTTGCGATTGTAATCTCTGCGAATATGACCGAACAGATTTCTGCCTATATTCTGCCTAACGGGAAGAAACAACTCTGATACGCTCATCGGGTTCCCCAATCGTTCTAGCGTCATGCGAATTGTGCTTTTTGGATTCAACTCATGCATGAAGGGGGATTACGTGTTGCTGCGCCTCCCTTGGGCTGATTTCTCTGCTTACTATCTTGATATGTAAACACCTAACAGCTGACCTGTAAGTGAGAATTGATACAACCTCTAAGCACAGACCGCATTCGATATATTTCAGATAGTTGGTTATTCCATATATCATATTGTAGACTTGTGGATAGCATGGGATCGGATGAAACTCAGGATTTTAGAATTTACTCTCTACAGCATGGTCCTTGAGCATCCATTTCTGCACTAGTATAGGTGAGAGGTAGGGGCATGATTCCCAGTTCGGGAACATGATGGCAGAAGAACGGTGAAAAACATGCTTAATCCCTAGAGAAGAGGAGCTCTAAAATTGGAACGCAGCAAGTCTTACTGAAGCAGTGTACACTACAACGTGCCTGGAGGTTCTTCTAGACGGGCCTAGGAGCACTAATAAGCAAGTTGCTGTAATCTAATCTGGTGGATTTCTAATACTTTTGTTCACCTCCCCAGGCAGTTGACAGCTGTCCTTGCTGGAAGTGAAGAAAAGGCTGAGGACGGGGCCCGCGATGCTACATGAGGACGTGGCACTTGTTGCCGCGCTTACCTTACCAACGCATTTTATCTCGAGAATCAGCCCCGCCAGATGACTCTTTCCTATACGGATGACTATTTTGTTCCTGCTCAGCATCTTTTCATGGCTACCTGTGACCCCCCTCCACAATACATATACCACACTGCCATGTGCTCTCCAGCGTAATCAAGTGAAGCTGGGATCCCAGAAGAGATGATATGGTATACGGAAACAGAGAGGCTCACCTCGCTAAGCCAGCACAAATTTTCACCCAGACACCGCCTGGACCTGGGCGCCCTTTGCTTCTATGAACCCTATTTAGCAAATGTAGCGTTTTACCATCAATATCGATGGTCCCTTGGACAGCGTAAGACTCGTGGGGCAGCGGGTCTCTAATCGGAATTTTACCCGGATGAGAGTGACAACATTAGCCTGACAAAGATACTCCAAGCTTCATTAAAACACAGCCATATCATAGGTACTCTTGGATAGCAGTGATATCCTAGCAGTTCCGCCCCTAGACCCACGGGCAGACATAACTAGTTATCTCACGTGACACGCAGATGACACATTGAGGGAAACCACGGAAAATATACGAATTGAATGAAATTCGATTGCTTTTGATGATGATTATCAAGGAATAAAATATGTGCCATCTCTTGAAGCTAGCTATACTTATCTATCTCAAGTAGACCCTAGTTGCCTGGGTCCTTCCTGCTTCTTCCTGTTTGAATTGATCAACATATTTTCTTCTATGTCGGCTAATCTCAGGCCATTGGACCAATCGAATTTCTCGCTAGCAACGGATTAGGCATGGTTCAATGCCAAGGTGAGTGCTCTTCGGCCCTTCTTAGCTAAGCGAGTGTCGATGGGTGAAACGGCATTCTTGCCAAGTCCACCTACATATCCTACCCTATACCCTCTAGGCCAAGTGCGCAATTCTGTATTTTCTCAAGCAAATTCATTATGTCTCTCATTTGCTTAGTATCTGATGGATGATGCTGCTTCAATTGCTGCTGGAAATGCCTTTACGATGTACAAAACAGTGATGGATGCCTGCCTTGAAAGCATGTTACAACTCATGCTACGTCCTATCCGAGAGCCTTTGTTTTCAAGTTATAACTATGGAAGCTGAGTTGGCCATAGCGAATTACAAAAGTTCTCGTCGGCGGAGGCTTTACGGTTAGTTTGCTGAATGAAGTCATTATGGTGTCAGAAACCTCAATGAACATGAATCGAGAATGGTGGGACGACTGTCATCTCGCAACATTACCTTGGCACCCCAATTTTAGTGCCTGTTCAGTAGCTAGAAATAGGTAGATTTCGGGCTCAACTGCCGGGCGTCCAATCGGAATAGCAGAGCATGGGAGAAAACCGGGGCCCCATAATCACGAGTTTTTTCGGACTAACCAACACAAGTCAAGCATCTCAAACCCATCAAGGGAGTACTCTCATCAACGCCAGACCCAAGATCGAGCGTCCCCTCCCCGAAATCATCCTCATCCTACTCCACGTCCAACTTCTCCACGTCACACAAGTCCACCCTGATCTCCTCGCCTTCCTCATCGTCCTCCTCGTATGGATTGGGATGGCTGTCCCGATCATCTTCGCGTAGGCTTGTTTCTGAACTGCGCCGGATTGGCAGAGGGCTGAAGCATTGCTGATCACAATTTCTACTACGTATTATGCATACGGCGCCCATTTGGTAGAATGAGGAACGGCATAATGCTGCGGTAACTGACAAGACTCGCAGGCGACACACTTCGCGGTTAGAGCTGTTAAGCTGATGAGAAAGATGAATATCTTCGAGGAAGCGACTAATGTAGACAGACAATCTGTGGGAACGACGCCAGATAACCACCTAGACCTGGAAGGTAAGCTGCACAGCCTTGGAGTCTTGCTTCGGATGAGATATGGGCGGACTAAAGGTATTGGAGACCTTAAAGTTGAAACCTGCCGTTCCCCTGGCTTTCCACGAGCTCAGTCTTAGTCGAACACCAACCATCACGCTTCTCCTTGTCTATCTGCACAAGAGATTAGCCGTGTAATAGCTAAGACACAAAGTCACTCTAAATTATAAGGCGGATTGAAATCATAGTAACTCGTCAAGGTGCTGCTTCACTATCTGATGCCTATCTCGTTACATGATTTCTACGTAGATATTCCTTGGCTTGGGCTTGTCCAAAGAAGCATCGAACGTTGAGAACGAAATAATATCCCACTTATTGATCGGCGTAGCAGTGCGGCACAAAAACGTGAAGGTAAACACGTTGTCATTCCTGGATGATGACATGTAGAGAACACTCTATTAGGAGCAAATTAGTTTTAATGAAGCTCTCGAAAGCGTGGAGTTGGGATGACCTACCGTTCCTGTGAATTGGAGGTCGATAACACCACGATCCTACAAGTTTTATCACACACGTTAGTAAGGAGGCGACTTAATAGCACAGGATCTGGATTCTCTTACCCCTCCGTTCACCGTCACCTCGAATTGATCCCCGACTGAATAGCTGAACTGAAGATCCTCCGCTTTCCCCCCATTTATCGAGAGTGGCTGGGAGTTGACAGCAGCACTGTGGGCCTGATCAACCAACGCCCCAATCTGGCTGGCATACGGAACAAGGCCTTGAGGGTTGCTGTCGTTGGATATGACGATCAGGAAATTATAGTGAGACCACAAAACAGCACCGATGGGCTCGAGGACGTAGGAATAGTTGGCAACATTTGCCCATAGTTGCTTGAGTCCAGCAGGCGCGTGTGCCAAATCACTCGAGAGCTCAATGCCATTATCATCTGTGAATCGCTCGACCCTTTTGGCGTACTGCTTCTTGGCATTATCAATAGTCATGAAACGCGTGATTGTCAAGTTCATCACCTCTTGCGTGGTCTTGTTTGTCAATAGCCATGTGGCAGTGCACTGTTCGGTTGTGAGATCAAAGGTGGGTGTCTCCAGAGTCCAACCCGAGGCAAATATATTGGTGACGCCGTCCAAAATATCCGATTCTTTGGGCACAGGCTGCGCGAGAAGCTTCTTCATGGAGAAGAACTCTGGAGGTGTCTTAAGAGAAGTGACACCTGTCCAATTGTACGGGCTTGTACATGGAGGGGAAGTCACAGTTCCATGTTGAATTGTCGCCGGGCCGTAGAGCGTCGTTGTTGCATCGACAGAATTCTGAAAGTACTCTGAAATGGTTTCTTGTCCTGCATGCGGAGGGCCCGACATGGGACGGCAGGTTGCGTCAAGCACTTTCTCAGAGGACCCATTAGCTTGCGTCACCTTGTCATCTGCAATGGTCATGAAGATGTGCGATCCAAAGCCAGTGCGCTTGGGGTCATTCTGAGGTGTGACGAACGGCGTTCCCAGTGGGCTGTTGCATTCGCCGCGCCCGATCAACAGCGATGTGTTGATGTAACCGAAAGGAGCCATCCTCTTCATGTACAGGAAGCGGGCGTCTTGAAGTCCAAGGGGCAAAATAGTCTGCACCAGTGCCGCCAGATCGTAGCAATTAATGACATGGGTATTGCCATCGCTCAAGTTGTTGCACCACTGGCCAAAAGATAACGCGTTGCCCATGATTCCTCCGTTGAAATATTTCGCCTCTCCCCCGCCGAAAGAGTTGTACCGGATATTGGGTTGGTAGTGAAGCTTCTCAATCACATATGTCTTCCAACCCTGCTCGTCGTCGCTGATATAGCGGCCGATGCTAGGGTCATTGAAAGCCCCGATATCTGGATCCTTGTTCATGCTTTGAAGAGGCAGGAGGAATTTTCGAAAGAATTCAATTGGAAGACCCCGAAAGAGAAAATCGGGTAATCTTGCCGTAGAAACAAAGTAAAGCTCGACAAAGGTAGACCCAAGAGGCATAGCAAATGATGTAGGATAGGTACTGAAGGAGTTCGAAATATCCCATTTGATTTCTCCACGGAGGCCCCAAGGAAGATAGTTCGTGCATCCTGATAATGAGATGGCCACCGAGCCGCGGAGACTGTCTATGGAGACACTGTTCACCTGTGCGCAAACAGATACGTCTCCTGCCGCTCCCCCAAACGGCTGAATCCTACCATACAAGGTGAAGCACTCTAGATCCGTAGGAGGTGCGTCTGGCGGGAGAGTGATGTCGAAGCCAATGTCGAAAACATTGTCGCCTAGCCCAACCACTCGGACCAGCGGATTCTGGGCCGAGTTGTTTTTGAGATCCTGGTAGTCATTGCGCAGGGAGGACCAGAACATTGTCGCATGGCCATCATTGACCTCGTACACAGGAAGGGCAGATCCTGGCACTGAGAGAGAGGAAACGCTGCCTTGCGCCATTGTTATGGAACCAAAAAGATGGTAGAAAGTTATGTAAAGGCTCACAACTGGCTTGTGTTCCTTAGTGAGGGAAACTACGAGACTATTTATCACATCGCTCAGCACGATTCTTAATCAATTGCATTCAGTATTGGCATTGACATACACGAACTGTACCCATTTGCCGTTCTTGGTCGCTGGCATCTATTGCCAATAGCCGACAGGTCACCGGACCGTGCCGCGCTCGCTCTAGACCCGGCCAGACCACAACTCGGGCCGCGCCATTCGGGCGATAGATTCTATCCATGGCTAGGTATATTTGAATGTCCAAGCTAAATCGCCACACCATGCTAGCTCTTGGCCCCAACATGGCACTATTGCGGCACTATGATCAATATACAGCTATCTTCATAGGGCGCTATCAACTTAGCACGTTTGGGTAGATTCACGTGGATGGAGGATAACTTGGTAACCTCGTCAAATAGAACACCAATAATACGTTTTAAACTATAGCAGCATCTAATCCTACTCAAGGTTTATGATCCAACCATCACCTTCCACATCCCCATGGGCATCTTCCCCGCCCCACAGAATGACTCTCTTACCGTCGCCACAATCGTCTACTCCAAAGAAGCTCCTCGCATCGGGATACGCCTTACCTTCGACCAAGGTAGACGGTGGCTCTGTAGGAGTCGGTTCAATCTCAGCCCAGCTGAGCGATCCGGATTCTGTCTGAGGAAGCGCGTCCCGGATAGTATCCTTGATGCCTGACCCGCTCAGGGCCACAGAAGGAACCTGTAGTGACAGAATGTCTTTGTGGGCACTTCCGTGCTCGGATACCGCACCTCCTCTGTTAATGCCGAACAGCTGCAGTAGGTAGCATCGACCCATTATGGTGTTGAAAGGCACGAGAACGGAGCCTGATCGACTTTGTCCGCCAGGAACGGACGAGTCAGCGGTTTGCATCGTAGTCCATCCGACCTGGCTTGGGTCTAAGGACGATGTGTCGATCTGAAGGGCGTGGACAATGCGGTGTGATTCGCTCCCGATACTGTACAGAGTGCTTCCATGCCATGCTGCACCGGAGACTTTGACTGGCAAGGAGGGAAAGCGTGTCCACTTGGCTTCAGCAAAGCTGTACACCCACGTTTCTGCAACGTCCTCGTCCAAACCAATGCCCTCTCCGCCGTGGAGGATAAGGAGATCCTTGTTCTTGTCGAAGAAGATGCTGTGGCCATGTCGAGGGAGTGGACTCTCGTGTGGCTGATTGACTGATTGCGTTCTTGACCAAGTACCCAGCTCTGAGTTCCAGAGCCAAAAGTCGTGGCCGTCGTTGGCGATGGGTCCCTCTTCGTCTCGGCCGCCATGGATGACCACCTCATTTCCCCGGGCGCAGGCAGCATGTGAGAATCTTGGGGCCGGCACTGGTGCCACAGGGCTGACTCCTACAGGCTGGTACAGCTCATGACGAGTCTTGGGCGGCTCGTTGATGGGAAGCAGCACCTCGTGGACTTCTGTAGAGCACAGCTTGCCGCCCGATCCCTTGCCACCAAAGATGAAAGCCGCCTCGTTGATAACTGTAAGAGTATGGTGAGATCGAGCAAGGGCGGGTCTAGAGCTTGACATTAGTATTTTGAGCATTTGACATACAAGACAATGCGGTGGTGAAGGTATTACACTGATGTTTGGTTGGAGGGTTCAATCGCGATCTGGCTGAGCGAGGCCTTGGTGAGCTGCCCTGGGCGAGCGATTGATGCTGCTGCTGCGGCCTCGACGCCCGTCGCAACAAGCTGCTCGATTGCAATAGCTCCTGCTGCGATTTCCGCCATTATGCTGTAGACTTTGTTCTCTTTTGAAGATGAAAAGGTATGAAAGAATATTGGAACAGCTTTAGTATTATTTGTCAAACTTCAGAATGGGCATTAACAATGGTAACGTAGTGGTGACGTACTAGAAGCTGCACCGCGGCGTGACGTCACTCATCAGCACTGAGCTGCACATCTCTTCTACACTTGCACAACCATCTTTGCACTTGGAGGGAGTATGATAGCCACGCGGTATCAAATCAGGTGAGATAAATTATTTAATATTGGATGTATTATTTCTGGCAGTGCAATATGCCGGATAGAAAGGTTGCATGTGTGTGACTATGATACTTTCGTGCCTTTATCCTCGATAGACAATTTTGAAAACCCAACAATATCTGTCAGCACCAAGCACCTCGTCAGTCACGTCAAGCCACAGCTTCCCATCATCCGTAATGCCCGATTCAATCTCAAATTCTCCATCCAGGGTGACACCAAGAACTGAATCCCCCTCGGCAATAGGAACCTTGGCAGAGACTTCCAGGCGGCCCACCGGCGGCCTTTCAAGACTCATGATATAGAAGGCATCATTTGACTGAGTGAAGCGTAGATTGCCCTCTTCTGGTGCAATGTACCAATATGTCGTGTTGAATATGGCCTCGCTATGGGCATGGATCCATGTGCCGGCTTCCCGGAGGTTGCCCGCCATGCTTTCGTGAATCGAGCCATCGGCCCGTGGACCAATGTTGAGCAGAAAGTTGCCATTCTTGCTCACCATGTCCACCAAGTTGTGCACCAAGGTAGTGGCGTTCATGTACTCGTCATCCGCCGTCGCTCGATTGAAGCCATAGCTATAAGGGTCCATTCCCTGGTTACTCTCCCATTTCCTCCTCTGGGCCACGCTGAATGTCGCGTACTCTGGCGTATCAAAGTCGGAAGCCCATGGACTACCGCAGCGGTCATTGATTGTGACTTGGCGGCCCCGTTCCCGTGCCCAGTTGAACCAGCGGGCGGCGAATTGGTCAGTGCCGTTTGATGCTCCGGCGTCGCACCACATAATGTCAGTCTCGTACTTGTACGCGAGAGCCTCCATCTGCGGAACCATCAAGTCTTCGATGAAATCATCTACTGGGATGCGGCCAGTGTACGGCTCCTCAAGGCCCGTATATGGGTTTCGTGCGATGATTCCAGGGTGAGAGGTTGAGGTGACACGGTCAAATTGTGTGAACCCATATTTACCCCAGTCGGGGTTGAACCATTCCGGAAGGGAGAAGTAGGTTCCCCGTCGAAGGTGAGGCTGATGCGTCTTTGCAGCGTCGAATAACTCCCCAAGAAGATCCCGTTTCGGTCCGAAATTGAGAGAAGTGCGGTTGGTTGTTGGAGCGGCGTCGAACAAGCTGAATCCATCGTGGTGCTTCGTGGTGAGCACGAAATATTGCGCACCCGCGTCGGCAATAAGATCAACCCATTCCTTTGGCTTATATTCGGACGCGGTGAAGTTATCAAAAAAGTCATCATAATTGAGGTCGGGCCCAAATGTCTTCAGGCGGTAGGCATTGAAACCAGATCTGTCCGCCGCGGCATGCTCATTGACGCGCGTAGAGTACCACCAGAACCACTCAGAGTAACTTTCGAATGGCGTAGAGTTTCCCCAACTCGGAACGGAGTAGGGACCCCAGTGGATGAAGATGCCAAACTTGGCTCCGTCATACCACTGCGGCACTTCATGAGTAGTGAGACTCTTGGAGTCTGGGGTCCAGTCACGGATTCCGATATCCAAAGAAGGTGTCGTGTGTCTAATGGGCTTGCAATCTGGGCAGCTGACAAGAACGTCTGTTGAGCCAGAATATGTGCCTTCTACAGCAACGTTGACTCTTTTCTGATCCCCAGGGCAAAATCTCTTGACAATCATTGGTTCAGCGGTTTTAACCCCCTTCGCCTCAAGGGTTACCTCAAGGTTTGACACACAGCGATCACCGGCATGGTTCATAACAACCTCTACAATCTGCCTCCTGGTAGCGTCCAGGTTTTGGGTGGGCCGGACAGTTTGTACCTGCACCCCAGAATCGCCCGCTTCCCACAAGGACAAGGCAAAGACGTGCAACCGGCCCGTCGTGGAGTTGGTTGTATGAGGAAGTTGGATACCCGTCAGTTGTTTGCCAGACTCAATGGGGGCATAGCGCTCGTAAATGTGAGAGGCATTGTGGTTGGTGTCGTTGTGGGTGAAGAAATACGGGTAGCTGATTTCTCCTCGGCGAATCGCAAGAAACCACCAAAAAGCGTGGGCACGCACCTCTGCCGTGGACGTCGTGTTGTCTGCATAGAGAAATGTAAGATTTCCCGATACCGTTGTGGACCGCACATCGGACACGAGGAGCACGGATGCTGAAAAGTAATTCTCTGAAGGCGGGACCGAGATTGTTTGTCCAGTGCAGATCACGTTGTCAGAGGCATTGGCGACCGGGTTGTATCCGGGAAAGAGGTAGTTCACTCCGCTGGTCGTAGATGTGAAAATGCCATCAGAGCCTATTGGTTCGGCTGGATAGGACTGTCCCAACGCATCCAGAGAAGCCTCTCCTGGGTGTGAACCGAATGCTTTATTGTTGAAGTAGGGCTCAAGAGGGACTGGGACACTTCCTCCTCTTGATGAGGCCAAGCCCAGACCGAAGAATGGGATGACGGTGAGCGCAGAGGTAATCTTCATATTGTTAGGGCGGCACCATACATGCTCTTGATGTGAAAGAAGACAGAAACTGAACAGAGGTACAGAGACATTTTTAGAGTAAATTGATCCCAGTAGCAGAAGCGAGTTATCGGTTATTTTCAAGAGGCGAGTCCTATCACCCCGCCTTCTATCTCCGATCAATCTCCCTATTACCCGGCGGCTGGGAGGGGGATCAGCATATGATAGCAACTACCTCTACGTTTATGGCCTAGGGCCCTATTTTGGACTAACTCGGCTTTAATAAGAGGAAGGTGTAGATAAGTCTTCAAGTATAGTTCTTTTTTTTTGTGGATGTAGTGGAGTTTCAGGGATGGTGGAAAAAGTCGGAGGTTTTGCCGCCGAAATGATCCTACACCTCCGAGAGCAGTCCAACGTTTCACCACTTTGGGCGTCGAATGCAATTCGTATCCTCGGGAATCTATATGATGCCTAATCTTATATATAAATGAAGCTGTGCTATGCAAATTTCAACGAATTTCAATATCAGAACTGGAAGCAGACTTTTTGGTGTCGCGAGAAAGGTCTTCCACGTTGACAGGTAAGACTTCGACAGGAGCAAGATCTATGTCGGCAGGCGTGCGTGGCGCTGTGCCTGATGAGCTAAGGAGTCCCTCAGTAACTTCTCTGCCAAGAATAGAGGCAGGTGGTGCAACAAAGTTGATATCCAGGCCCAAGGTGGGACTTTTTCTTTTCGCCACAGTATACCAGGCCATTCCACATGAAGCCGCCAGAATGACGAAGACTGTCGCGCCGGCCATGGTGCCCGGTCCTGGGTCTGTAGGGACAGACTTATCGATCTGTTCGATAGACCAAGGATAGCATTCCGACTTGATGATGATGAATATGCCGAGACCGGTGTAGAGGAGAGGGATGACATAGTGGACATATTTCTGGACCAATGCCAGGATATGCTTCTGTCTCATGACCATGAGTGACCCCAAACATAAGAGGCCGAGTAGAATGTAGTACACTACAATGTATACTGCGATTTCTGCTCGCTGAGCCTGTGAGAACAGTGGGATATAAGTCCCAATGTTGTCACCTCCATTCATAAGTGTGACCAAACTAACTTTGAATATGCCCTTTGCCCCAGCCGCTGTAGACACTTCGGTTTCTTCCTCTGTTTGGAGTAGAAACAGACTCAAAAACTTCCAGATGCCAAGAAGGATGGGCAACAGGCCAAGAAACCCTATAGGCTCGGAGGGCAATACGAGCGAGAGGCCGAAGCCGATCATGCTGATGCATACGATGATGGTGAACCCGATGTACTGCCCAATGACAATTTTCCACGGGGTCAAAACTCTGCTTGTTGTCGCTTCGGCAAAGAAGGTGATTAAGGCAAAGAGGCCGTCGATGTTGGTGATGGCGAATGTGGCATAAGCCTCGCCCAAAGTCTTGCCAAATTGCATAGCGACGGAGAAGCGTGAGCGAGCTCGGTTAGTGATTAGAATGTGGATGAGGGATGTGAAGTGAATTCTGTCTTCTTAATTCATTCTAGGCTTGCGATGGTCTCAGGGCACTGATTCAATTCGAAGAATCAGAGGCCTCCGAGTCCAGTCGCTAGTAGCTTAAGTTGGCACTTAGAATTCTCAAGGCCTATGAGAGGGCCGCGTCAGCGTGTCTTGGCCATGGAGCGAACTATTTTTTTTTTGCCTACCTTAGATTGAACGTTTGCCTGACATGTTACTTTGAAGCCCTTCGATACTGATCAGCAGCTGTAATTAAATGCTCTTCTGAAAGATATGAAATGCTTGAGATAGAAGAGCTGGGAGATGTCCCGTCATAAAAACCATATGTGATGAGGAGATCACTCGAAGCTAGGAATACGAGGACAACATTCGGATCGGATTAAAGAAATGAAGTTAGAGAGTTTGAGGCTTGGCGTAAAGGGTGTGATAAATAAGATCAAATATGGACAAAAGTAGGTGAGCCTGATAGTTGTGATTTAACTATGCCTGACTTCGTCTAGGTACAAACGTTTCTTATCTAAATTTATGTAGAACAGCCACGTTGCTTATTCTGATATTCAATAAGCCTTCAAAGTAAGGTGGCTCCATGTAGACATGATTGGGATCAGTCCTCTGTTCGCACTATTGCAACAAGCAAAATTTATCCTTGATAGGTAGAGATAGTGTTGGATTTAGTTGCAAAGCTCAAGATTCAATCTCAAACCACACAATTGGCGGAATGCCCCGTTGTCTTATAGTCTAGACTCTGACGGTAGAGTAGTAATACCTTGCCTTCTGTTGGCATGAAAATCTCATACTTTCTCATTGCCATGCCGGTTAATAAATGCTCTAAAGCCTCTGCTGGGTTGGGCAGGTCTTTGAAGGACGCCCGAAAGAGCGGGTTATTCATAGCGCCCATTACATGATAAGCCATTCCAGCGTTTGAGATATAAAGCTTTATGGGGTTGTGATTCGGGGTATTTACGCTGGCAGGGCGGACGGAATCTATCCTGGGTCGATCAATTTGCAACTCGGACTCAGCAATTTCAGCTTCCCCTTTGATAGGACCGTAGAACGCTGTGAATATGTTTGGGTCGTGTGTTGCCCCGCCGCCTAATATGTAGACGAAAAGAAATGGCTTCGAATGCGCCAGCGGCGGCAAGAGGCCACTCTTTGTGGTTCACATCTTCAGAGCGAGTGGCACAGGGCCGGATTCTGTGTGTCATTCTCAATATTCGCCATCCTCAGAAGGCCCGTTTCATGAAGGACAAAAGTGCTAATATGGGCAAAAAAGCGGCGAAGGCGTGGGAAAACATAACCCGACATTATTAGCTCTCTTACCTAGGTCTAATGAGCTCACTTACAAAAGGTCTAATAGTTACGTTACATGATTGCCATTAGTGCCTTGGATGCTGGATCAATGAGACCAAATAAATGCCTGATGACACCCGGCCATTTCCCAACAGGGCAGAACCTACCGTATCCTGGACGATTGGCTCTCCACTTTCAATTGCCCTCTGTCATTTGTCCTGTGCTTGCTTCAGGGCGAAACACAGCGACCAAAAGATCGGCTGAGACTTTCCGGGGGATGATCCTCCCGCCGCCATCCAATTTCCCATGCATAACAGGAGATGCATATATATGAGTTCATCAGCCAGTTGCTAATTTGTCTCGGAATCCTCGCTCTTCGGCTCTTTTCATTCTGACGATTCAATCCTCGCTCATCTCTTTGGGAGAGAGCATAGGCATTTTGTTGCCAAATCATGTTCATCAGGATAGCGGCTCTCCTGGCCGGCTTCCAGGCTACAGGCGCAGTAGGCGCTCTGTCTGGGGAGGCTCGCGCCATGGTGGAAGACTCAATGGCTTGGATGGACAGGTTCTATGATCCAAGAATCAACCAGCTCTACGATCTCGAATCCAAGGCAGCCATGAACCATGAAACCCTTCCCTCCGCCTGGTATGCCGTCGGCCTCCTCGCCCGCAATGGCAACGAGGGCAAAGACGTCTCTGCAGCGGAGTCCGTCATTCAATACATCATCGCCGATCAGCACGACAACCCAAAAGACCTATGGTATGGCGACTACACTAGGGAGCCTGAAGAGCCCGACGTTGGTTCAAGTGTCTACCCGGCTCAAGCATACCGTTCCTGGGATCCCAACTGGAGAGGCTTTGTTGGCCTGAGCTTCATTACCATCTATGAGGACTTTGGCGATTTGCTATCCCAGTCTGTCAAAGATCTGATGCTAGAGAGCCTGTACAACTGCAGCGTGGGCGACTCTTACCGCGAGGGTGGTGTCAATAACGACAATTTGTACCCGGCATACAGCAACCCAGCCATCATGCGAGCCATTGGCACCGGCTGGACTGGCCGCAAGACTGGGGACGCGAACATGACGCAGGCTGGCGAGGACTATGCCAAAAAGATCATCGATCTGTACGACATACATGACACGCTTTCTGAATTCAATTCGGCCACCTATACCGGCATCTCCCTCTTCGGCCTCACCCTATGGTGCAAGTACGCGCCAGAGGACTCCATTATGGCGAAGCGAGGGCCAGACATGCTCCGAGGCGTCTGGAACACCACCGCTCAGCTCTGGCACGCGGGTATGCGCAATCTTGCTGGCCCCTGGGACCGCTCGTACAGCTTCGACATGACCATCTCTCTTGGCCATCTCTCCCTGTGGCTCGCACCTATGATCGGCAGGAAAGAATCTGGCCTGCACCAGTACCCGGAAATCATGAGCCACGCCCGAGACTGGGGATGGGCACCGCTCGTTGCCGTGCACTCCGAGTTTCAGAGTTCCCTGCTCTCGGATGAGCTCAAGAACTCTCTCAAGACATTTAGTGGAGAGAGGACTTGGAAGGGTCAGGCATACTACCCGCCTTACGACCTGGAATCGAGAAACATTACCACTTGGTTGAGTGAGAAGTTGATGATTGGAGCACAATCGTACCGTACCAAGAGTCAGAACGGGCCGTCCAACAATAATGGCCAGTTTCATCCTGCCGTTGCACAGTGGAAGTATGGCGATGACAAGATTGGGTGGCTCTCGGTATGTTTCGAACAAGTTCTGCCCTATAACATGGAGAAATCAAATTATCAGAAGCTAACATCAGATATTCGATATAGCTCCGCTCTAGTCAAGCCTATGTGAAGACGGAGGTCTCTCCCAACCGTCTGAAGCTCACTTACCCCAATGGTGGCGCTGACTCTGTCTTCGCCTTCTTCGTCTCACCCTCTCTCCGCCAGACCAACGTTAAGAGCTGGGCCGATATTCAAGGCGTGTCTATTTCCATCTCCGGCAATGTGAACACGACTCCCGTCTTGACTTTTGCTGGTCGTTACGGTGGCTCGGCAGGGGCCTACTACGATCACAACTACTGGCGCTTCGAGCACAAGATGCCCTCTGGTTTCACAGGTACACCAGAGCTCATCATTGATTTCGTCCCTGGGGAATAGACCTCCCGCAGGTGTAGTCTTTAGTTCAGCTGAATGCAAGACGGATCTAAGTATATTGACTCCAAATATAAATTTGTGAATAAAACGGACATACATAGAGGTGCCTACCAACGAGCATATAAATGCGTCATGTGGTATTTTGAAAGCCTTTCGTAACGCAGATAGCTTGAAGTAAGTACCTGAGTCATCATACACGGCCCAGAGGAGAGACTTCATCCGACATTCGACACCCAATCCATCCCGTAGTAACGCATTCGTACATCATCTCCTTTCACCAAGCCTTTGGCATGGACAACATAAGTGTTTCCAGGAAAAACATCAATGCAATTATCCTTCCAGTAAACCTTGCGCCCCTCGTTCGTCGTGTACAGCTCGAGACCTTTCACCGGCGCATCAGTAGTGACATCAACCCTATCGTCTAGAACTTTGAGATTGACATGGTACGAGGTTGGAAGATGAGCATATTTCAGTGGTTGCGGCCAGTCTGATGCACGGGAAATGATTTGGTTGTTCGCAAATAGGAGGGCCTGCACAGCCGTCTTATCATCCACCTTTTCATCCTCGACTAACTCCGTAGAGCGATTTGAAAGGAGGATCTGGCGCTGTAAAATCCTCTCTTCGCGGAGCTGACCTGTCTCTGTGTCGAAGAGGCGCACCACGACTTTCACGTCAGCTTCCTGCAGTGTGGTGTTGACGGCCCAGATGTCGAAGATGTATGACTTCTTGGCAAGATCATGGGGAGCACCTGGTATTGGAATTGGCGGTGACTTGCGACGTTTGAGCTCAGGCGTAGAGCGGTGGATGGCGATGACAATTGGTGCCGACTCTCGCTTGGTCGAGTAGAAGGCCAACTTGCGCTCTCCATAGAAGTCGATCATACCCCAGCTGGAGACTGGCCAGCAATCATTCAGCTGTATATCTGGTTAGCTGGCCCCGAACGTTGAAGCAAAAGGAATTTAGACGCCATACCTGCCAGATGAGTTGGCCGCCACAATACTCACGGCCTGGGCCCTTCCACTGTCGTCGACAGCTCCTCACAGCGAATGCGAGACATTCAGCCTGAATCAGCTGCGTAGCATAAGTCCAACTCTCAAGACGCATTGAGTCTACTCTCAAATTTCCCAAAACATAAGCCGCCATCCTGCGCTCGCCGCCCTCGGCCTTGTTGTGCAAATCCATCACCTCGCTCTGGGGATGCCTCTGCGCAGGATCGGTCACGAACCGAGGTACAGAGTTGACTGAGGGAAGGGAAAGCATGCCGAACTCGGAGACGAAGCGCCCCGTGAGTTTGTCCCAGAGCTGGTACGGCTCCTGGCTGCCGTGCCACACATTCCATTGATGAATATCGCCAACCGTGCGGTCATCTGACCTTTTACCGCCCCAAGGGGATCCGGGATGATATGGAACATTGGGTGCGTATTGTTTCATGGCAGCTGGAAGGTAGTTTTCGTAGATAGTTCTAGCGGGAAAGTCTGTGCCGCTCCAGTCGCCAGAGTGGTCATCAGGATCATACTGCAATCCAAGATCTTCAATTACTTGGTAGTCTTCGTTGTTACCTGCATAGATAACGATGGAGCAGTAGTTTCTCAGCCGCTTGAGCTGGTCTGCGGCTTCCTTCTTGATGCTCTCTGCAAATTCTGGGTAACAGGGGTACTGGCCGCAAGCAAACATGAAGTCTTGCCAAACAAGCACACCTCGACGGTCACACTCAGCGTAAAGGGCATCGTGCTCGTATATGCCACCGCCCCAGACTCGCAGCATGTTTTGATTGCCCTGCAGGCAGCTTTCAACTGTCACCGCGTAGTCTTTCGGGGTCAGGGTCGTCAAGAAGGAATGATCAGGGATAAAATTGGTTCCTGAAATGTAAATTGGTTGGTTGTTCACCTCGAAGAAGAAGCTGGTGCCAGGCTCATCAACCAAGATATCTTGTACTAGCCGCACGCGGCGTATCCCTAGATTTATCATGCTTGTGTGCAAAATTTCTTTGTCCTTGCTACAAGCACGTACCGTGACGGTGTAAGAGGCCTGTGGTCCATGACCTACGGGATACCATAGCTCCGGCTGGGTAATGCTAAAGGAAACATTGTTTTGGGAGTTTCCTGTATCCACTGCAGATATACTGTGGAAAGTACGCTGGGTGGGAGAGGTGATGATAACCTCAACATCGCCATTTGTGTCGAAGTTGGCTTGCCAAGAGACGTTCAGTTCAGCTTGCTGTAGATCTTCTGCAACTTCAGCGTCGGCAAAGACATCATACACGATCGAGGCATAACTCTCAAGATGTATCTCGCGATACGGACCGCACGAGAGAAGTAGAGGACCCCAGTCCCAGCCATAGTGATATGCGGCCTTGCGAACATGTAGTCTCGACCCTTCTCCGTTGAACGCGCGATACTTGCCATGCTTCTTTTGAAGAGCGCGACCCTCGAGGAGCGCACTTCTGAAGACAATGCGCAAAGTATTGACGCCCCCCTTCAGCACATCCCTCACATCCACACGGTGACGATGAAACATGTTGGAGGAACCGAGTATTGGACGTTCATTCAGAAAGACGGTGGCGTAGGTATCTAGACCTTGAAAGACGAGATCCTGCCGTGAGTGGCTAGAATTGGGCTCATGAAGAAACTCGCACCGGTACTCCCAGTCAGTCTCACCAACCCATTGCACAAGTCGTTCATTTTGGTCAAGGAACGGATCTGGAATGAGATTTGCAGCAAGCAGATCTACGAAGATCTCCGTCGTTGGTTTAGAATGAGCGCTGGCGTGCCATTCTTCGTCGCTGCCGTGGCGCCGCCAGCTCCATCCTGCAAGTGTCTGCGTGGTAGATGCCATAATGAAATGAATTGGTATCGAGGCTGGTTGCAGCTAGATTGTATTATCTGGGAGCCTCACGGAACATCAAAAACATCACCTAGGATCATGAAAAACCACTCGCAGTTGTTGACTTTTGTATTGGGTAAGTCTAGCCGCTAACATCCCAGCATTTCCTCCGCCTCTGGCACAAAGACTTTGATCCACTCGAACGGACATGGTAGCATGTGGTCAGGTAGCAATGTCGAGCATAATGTAACGTAAGGTAGACCGAACAGGGACATACCCTAGCTCGAAGCCGTTCATCCAAAAGCCAGTGTTGCGGGTGACTTCGGTCATTTCCTGAAGTGAACACCAGCGTGCCAATCGCCGATCACACGAAGGAGGCCCTTTCGCAGTAGGTCAGGGTACAAGCGGTCAAACTATGGAACACGCTGCCCCAGACTTCAGCTTGGATACCGCGGGGAATGTCCCCCACCATCGGAACTCGCCTGCCTCAAACTATCTGGTCGTCTCATGTTCGAAGACGTCCCATGTCCTATCAAACCCCCTCCTTATAAGTAGGTAATTTCTCTTGTACCTCCTTGATCATTCTCCATCCTTTCTATCTATTCCAGCATCTCAAGGTCCTTGAGTTACTATGGCTGCCTTCAAAGACAGACAAGCCTCGGCCGCTGAGAGCGCCGAGGTCGACAGGCCTGCGGTGGCCGTCGATGCCGCTATGAACCAGACGAGCGTTGCTGCTCTTGAAGTTATCAAGAGGCTAGAGCCCGTACAGCCACTCAGCAAACGAATGGTCCAAATGTACATCATCTGTGGCTTCATGTTCCTTGGTTCCACCATCAATGGGTTCGACGGCTCTCTCATGGGCAACATGCTGGCCCTACCCTCCTTCCAGAATCAGTTTGGCGCGTCCATTGTGGGGGTTCAAACTGCCTTCATCTCTAGCATGTACAACATTGGCTCCGTCTGCGCTCTGCCCTTTATTGGTCCCCTGACTGACACATGGGGCCGACGCGTGGGTAATGTCATTGGCTGCCTCTTCATCATCATGGGTACCATATTGCAAGGCACCTCAAAGGCCCTCCCTCAGTACCTAGCTGGGCGATTCTTCCTTGGTTTTGGCGGCTGCGTCGTTAATGTGGCCTGCCCCTCGTTCGTCGTCGAGTTTGCTCATCCAGTGTATCGTGGGGTAATCACCGGGTTGTACAACTGCTGCTACTATCTCGGAGCCATCCTCGCTGCCGCAACCCTGCGTGGTTCAGTCCATTACCAAGATACGAGGGCATGGCTTATCCCAACTTGGGTTCAGTTGGCCTTCCCGGCCATTCTTCTACTGACCTGCTGCCTGTTTCCCGAGTCTCCACGGTGGCTCTTCGTCCATGGCAAACCCGACAAGTGTCGTGAGATTCTGGTTAAGTACCATGGTAATGACGATTCAAACTCTCTATATGTGCAGCTTCAGCTTCGCGAGTTCGAGGAGAAGCTGGAACTGGACGGTGCTGACAAACGGTGGTGGGATTATCGAGTCCTCTTCAACTCACGGGCTGCCATCTACCGTGCCATTCTCTGTGCTGTTGCCGTGTCCACGTTCAGTCAGTGGACCGGCCAGAGCGGCGTGTCGTACTTTCTACCTGCCATGCTGTCGACAACTGGAATCACCGACTCGACGACCGTTCTCAACATCAACCTTGGGATCACACTCGCTAGCGGTGCTGCGGCCTGCTTTGGTGCCAGTCTGATGGATCGCTTCGGCCGCCGCAAAATCCTCATCTCCTGCTGCATTGCCATGGCCCTGCTCTGGGCTGGCATGCTTGGCGGGACCGGCGCCTATTACGAAAATGACAACAAGGCAGCAGCCAAAGCCGCTATTGTCTTCGTATTTCTCATCGCTATCGTCTTCTCGGCCGCCTATACTCCCCTACAGGCGCTGTATCCTGTTGAGTGTCTTTCGTATGAGCAGCGTGCCAAGGGAATGGCTCTCCAGAACATGGCAGGCAATGCCGCTGGCTTGGTCAACCAGTTTGCCTTTCCCATTGCTTTGGGCAATATTACTTGGAAGACCTACTTCATCTATCTGGGCACCTGCACGGCCGAAGCTGTATACTACTACTTCCTTATGGTGGAGACAAAGGGCCACACGCTCGAAGAACTTACCGAGATTTTCAAAGCACCTAATCCACGCCAAGCATCGTTGATGAAGAAGGAGGAAGTAGAAAGGGCTGTGGCGCAAGTCCAGGAGGCTAAGGCTATCTAACACAGATTCACTTGCGATGGGGAAATAGGTCCAACAACCAGACAGGCAACAGAGAAGGAATTATATGCCGTAATAATTTTCTCACAAGAAATATATCAGACCCAAAGTTTCAGGTTTTTTTTTCTTGGTTAAACTACTGTAATGACATTGCCAGAGGGTAACATCTTTAATTAACGTACGATGAGCCCCTACCCCTTATTCTAACTTAACTACTGAGAATAGAATGTCCTTCATTTTAGGCATAGCTCAATTTTCCAAAGTAAATGCTTTGACCTCTTTTTAAACTAGTTAGAAGAAGACAGATTATGCATATTAGTATACGTATAAGCCGACGTAGAAGTAGGTTTGCATGGCAGAACAACAACCATGTTCAGGGCTGACGACTGTGTCCACCAACACCTCGTCCACTGCCCAGCCTGACCCATGACAATCACCCCAGCCGCCGCTCTAATTTCTCTCCCAGGGGCCAGCACATTCACATGCTCCAACTTCGGAATCTTGGTATCAACAGCACCCTGAACAGCGTTGGTTCCACAGGGTACCTAATAAGCATAACGGGCTGCGGGGGAGGCTCCGGGAGAGGCTGCGGACAAATCCGCCTAACCCATTGACATTAGAAACTGGGCAAATATTGACGTAAGTGTCTCAATCGATGTCGCGTATGTCAGGGGCGTGGCCTAGAACACGAGCCCGGGGCATGTCTCGGCCCTAGCCCCGGCTAACATTTCCCGCAATGTCACGCCGTCATGTTCATTGATTCATGGGGTGTAGAAAACGGTAGTCGGAGACTGGGAACGCCTGGCGTCTGGGGAACATCCGGGGTAAGTGTTGGGGTTTGACGATATCACGAACAGCGGATGGAGACTGATACTTGTGATGACTGGCCTCTCCACAGTCCTTATAACAGGAGAAACCCCTCAGATATCGAGGGCAAATGTTGAGCTAAGGTTCATCAAGAGCACATCAGATCTACACAATAAATTCAACTTTGCTGTGACAACATGCTTTTCCAGAAGGTGATTTTGGTCCTCTCATCGGCATGCATCCTCACCTTCGGAAATGCCTCGCCAGTTGCGGTAGGTACATCTCAGTCTTACCGTGCTCAGCCCTTCATTCATCCCGGGGCTCTCCACTCTAGGAAAGACATTGAAAGGGTCAAGGGCCACGTTCGTTCGCAAGAGCAACCATGGCTCAGGGCCTGGCAACATCTCGAATCTGCCAGGCTGGCTCAGGCGACCTGGGTCCCCACCCCCCAAAGCATCCTGGTGAGGGGTAGAAGTACCACGAATGCATCTGTCCCAAGTGAAAACTATGGGTACGCGTACAGAGATGCTCATTCAGCATATCAGCTCACCCTCAGGTGGATTATTGGCGGGAATGAAACCTACGCGGACCGTGCCGTGGTCATCCTAAACTCATGGGCATCTACGTTGGTCGACATTCAGGGCACAGAAGACAAATATCTGGCAACAGGGTTATATGGCTACCAATTTGCCAATGCCGCCGAGCTTCTTCGTACATACCGAGGCTGGGCATACAGTGACCAGAGAGCCTTTGGGGTGATGTTGAATGACATCTTTGCCAAATATAGCAGAGAATTTCTAGATCACCACAACTACAAACCCGACTTTTACTATGCCAACTGGGATCTCTGCAACATCGCATGTCTTATGTCGGTCGGAATATTCAACGAAAACAGAACAATGTTCGATTTCGCTGTCGACTATTGGAAGAATGGTCTACCTGGGGATAGTTCCGTCGTTGTTAACGGCGCTCTGCCCTACTTCTCCATTGCAAACTACACAGAAGAAGGATCAGGCAAGACTTTGATGCAACATCAAGAATCAGGTCGTGATCAAGGTCACTCTCTCCTCTGCATGGCCTTGGTTGGCGTCATCGGTCAGCAAGGGTGGAACCAAGGCTTGGACCTGTTCTCTACATTTGGCCGGCAGATCTTGAACGCGTGAGCCTTCTCCTCAGAGGAAAAAATAAAAGCTAAAGACTAAGTCACTGATTTTTATTTTACCAGGGCGGAATACGTTGCCAAATACAACACGAACCACACAGTTCCTTATACTCCCTATACCAGCTGGGAGGGGCTACTTACGGTGATTTCACCAAAATCACGCTTTGATGCGCGACCCGGCTACGAGCTCCTCCATTCGCATTACGCTGAACTTGAATCAAGGAATGCCTCTTGGTCTAAGGATTATCGGGACTATGTCAACAGGAATATCACTGCGAATGTTGAGGGAGGAGGTGGTGATTACGGTCCGAACTCAGGCGGATATGACTCTTTTGGCCATGGTACTCTGATGTATCGCCTTCAAAAAGAGTAGGATAGAGCACCAGGATTTGAATTCAATGCACTATCCCATCATCATACAAGCACAGTGATGTTCAATGTGTTTTGAAGGACTAAGAAACAATAAGAATAAGGCTATCTTCTATTGGACCCATCCCTTTTACCTCCTTTTCGCTCTATATAGTAATGCCACCGGCTGCCTTACTTGTTGTTATTATTGGGGGCATAATCTAATAGTGACCTAGACTTGCTGCTTTGCTCCACAAGTGCTCTTATCAAGAGGCTACTGGTACTCACTGGTTTGCTTTCAGCTTGGCTGAAGTGCTTAGATTAGATAGAAGATGAAGGAAGGAAGCTGTGTGTGGTGACAGCTAGGTATATGAAAGAGGGTATGATAGATATGGATTTGACAAGTGGCTGGTCCTGACGACAAAGGAGTCATTGGAATGAAGGTTTACAGAATTTCACCTCTTTACAGCTACAGTGTAGCCTTAGCCTAGCGGGGCTTAATTTTTCCTTTCGTATTCATTGTGTTGTGATGTCAGATTTACTATTGTGTCCAATTGTGTGAGTCAAGATACTCGAACTCTCAACTGTATGAACACAGTGCCATTTCATTTTATCACGGAAGATGGTGAAAACTTCATCGTGCCCTTGCTACTCGACAGCTCCAATAAATTCCAAGCCACGAACATGCTCGTTAGCAAAAAGAGGGACAAAGTCTGACACCATGTACCATCTAGGCTTCTCCATGTTTGTGTGAACCACTCTATCGCCGATTTTCAGGTTCTCAAACCTCACATTATCGACTGGGCGATCCTTATCGTAGCCGAGGATCATGGAGGGATTGACGACCTTGCAGTTATCCGTATCAAGACTCACATTTTTAAACCTCACGTTTCTCACAACAACTCCGGGGGCCACTGTCCACATGGCATTTTGCATCACGCGGATATTGACCAGCTGACCCCGGGTGATTCTCTCCACCCTGATATTTTCAAAGGTAAAATCCTCGAGGGTGTTCATGTCGCCAGCGTTGAGGGCGATTACACCCTGATACCATTGCTGGTTTTCCTCATGGTCCAACACATCAATATCACTGACTGTGATGTTGCTCATGATCTCTGGCTTTTCTGGGTTTCCGTGAGTCCCAACATTGACAGCATGCGCCATATCCGGCAAAAGTACGCAGTGGCGGATATCGACGTTGGTTGTGTCTCCGTGCCAATCCCATCGGTGGGAGTAAAAGGCGATGCAGTCGTCAGATGTCCGGAGGAAGCAGTTCTCAATGACAATATCCGATGAACAAAAGAAATCAATTCCGTCCCCATTTCCAGCGGAAGAAAATGCCCGGTAACGGTCAATGTGTACGTTCTTGCATTGTCCAGCTGAGAGAGTGAACCCGTTGGAGTTGAGAGAAGTTACGCCTTGCACATCGATGCTTGTCGCGCCACTCATATGAATGGCGCCTCCATGTTCTCTGTGCACATAGCCCCCCTCGGGTCCCAGAATGAACCCATGCCCTCGCACAGCGCAATTGGAGACATCAACAAAGTTAAGGCGGCACGTAATGAATGCTCCACCGGCAAGATGTATTGTTTTACCAGATGGAACGAAGAGATTTACACCGTCTCCTTCAAGCACTTTATTATATACCGATCCCTGATTTATTCCAGGGCCAAAGTACCAGGTATCAGGTGTATCTGTCGTTGGGGCTTGATGGTCGATTGCATTGGACAGGATGTGAAGGGCTTGCCATTTATTTCCATTCACCTCGATCATAATATCCCGGGGCTTTTCAAGAACGAAAGACAGGCGGTTTGAACCATCGGTGGTGGTTTGGATGTTATATGAACGAGGCCTTATGGCGAATGAAGAGACTTGGCCGGCATTGAACGAAACCTTGAATTCGGTCGGACCGTCGAAGTCTACCGATGCTACCGCTATTGTATGGCGGCGAAATAGATTACTGGCGGCATTAGGTTCCGATACTTGCACAGCATAGATGCCTACGCTGCTCCAGTCCTCAGCTTCGTGCGATTTGGACCGGACCTCCAATGTGAAGTCCTTGTTGGTGGCGATACTAGGAGGAGTCTCATAGACCCTGACTGACGATGATGGTGCCATTTCCGCGGGAAATTTGAATGTGTGGGCCAGGACTCAACTTTGTCAGGGGTGCCTGAACGGTGGCCAAGGAGAGCATGACATGAAAATGTTCCTCTTTATTATAAAATCGCCCTTAGAAAGAGGCTAGAAGTTATAGATATTTACACAAATTTCCCAGCCTACTGAACAAGTGGTCTTCGCGGCACCGGGTTGATTCATTCAGTAAAGCCGTTCAAGATGAGTACGGGATTGGCCCGCCACCGTAATCCTTGCTCTGCAATTGGTGGAAACGCTTGAAAACCTCGACAAGGGAGTGATCTCACCATAGCGGACTCCGGCCCGCGACATGGCCCGGTGCTAGATGAGGGCAGTTCGGATATTCAGTCCTAACTGAGGGGTTACAGCCGCACCAGTCACATGGTCTCGGTTCAACAATCCTAGTTTCTCTAACCAAGCCAATTCGCATTCTCATTACCCCAGAATGTGATGACTAACAAGATCCCCCCAGCCCCTTTTCCGGAGAGTCAGTGTGGGGTTGTGACCTCCTCATGATGGCATACCCTGCATTGGATGTCACCAGGTGGCGTGGATCGTATGTTTGAGGTATTTGCCTCGAAAGGTAGCAAAAGAACGCTCTCACCACCTTCAGATAATCGTTGAGAATATCCGTCTGCAGCAAGGGGGTTACCATGAGCAACAACGACCGTCAAAGACTCCGCCGCGACTCGTTGCAATCAGATGGCCCGCAGCCAAAGAAACGCAGGACCCAGCCACAACGTGCCGGTGATGAGAACGGGCATCAGCTTTGTTCCGATGAAACTTACGATCATGCGAAGGAAGTAACGGATAGCGCAACCAGAGAGGAACCAGCAGGTCCGGCATGTTGCTCTTGTCGGAAGAAGAAGGCCAAGTGCTCCAGGACACAGCCCTGCACCCAGTGCGTGCGCTTAGGTTCGTTTGTCCTCTGCCAATTGACAATGGAGAACTTCGCCTAATACCTTGCCCTTGTGTACCACTGCCAGATATCGCATGCACGTACAACGATGCAAAGCTGAAGCCAGGGATGCGCACAGGCGCAATTGAGAGTCTGACCCAGCGAGTGGGTTAGTTGAAGCCCCTCAACCCTTTCCCCGTTCATAATACTGATGTACTTCAAGCGACACTTGAAAATATGTTTCTGGGGCAGAGCGTGATCTGGCAGCAGATATGGAAGAGTCTGAACCCCGACACGTTGCGTACGGCAGACGAACCCGGTCAATCCCAAGACGGCGTAGTTTCTATGAATGGTCTTGCTGAAGACCTAAAGGGAATGTTGACCGATTTGGCTGATTCAGTGCAAAATGGCCAAGCCCAGGATGATGTCTCCGTTGAGATTCAGCTTCCACGTGCAGAAAATTCGGCGTTGGATGAAGAGCGGCCGGACCAACAACGGCAAGTTCCACGGATATCAGAGACATATCCTTCTGATGACGCTCTTACCCCACTCTCCGACCAGCTCGTTGATTCTCTCATTGAGATTTATTTTGACAAAATCCATCCCTGGATTCCAATGTTACATACTAGCCACTTTCGAGCCATGTTAAAGAATTCTGCTGAGCGACAAAGGCATGCCAATATCCTTCATGCCATCATCTCCTTGTGTATGAGATTCTCCCAGGACCCTCGGCTTGACGCAAGCCCAAATCTACGTTCCAGATATGCAACTCAGAGTAGGCAGCGCGTCATACTTGCTAGCATGGAGTCGTTCTCGGTCGAAAACCTACAAGCTCTCATCATCTGCGCATTTGACATTATTGGTAGTGGCCGAGGTCCTTCTGCGTGGTCTATTGTAGGGAGCATGACGAGAACTGTCGAGCAACTAAGGCTCAGTGTCGAAGAAGATGAGGACGAGAATGGCAAATCATCTACCAACAGTCTAATCCGACGCATGGCCTTCCTTGCACCCAGCTCAAGCTGGACAGAGGCGGAAGGGAGGCGGCGTGTTTTTTGGAATGTCTTTCTAATGGATCGATTCTGCAGTATTGCGACGGGGTGGAATCTTTCCCTCACGACTGCAGATGTGAAAAGGAGACTACCCTGTGAGGGAGCTCTCTGGGCGAAGACTGACAATCTGCCAGTGCCAACTCCATACTTTGGCGTGTCTGATCAATCATATAATTCTTACCCGCTTTCGGCGCGACGCACAGACGAGCAAGAAGAGGCATCATTGGGAGGTTTTGCTTATTGCATTGAAGCCACGGAGAGTCTCAGTCTTGTCACGTCCTTCTTTCTTCAACACGAGTTGAACACCTCTGAGCGAGATGATATTCAGCGGTGGCTCATGCGTTTCAAACAGTTAGACCTCCGACTAGTACAGTGAGTTGCCCAAACTTGAAAGCTATATAAGCACAAAAAGCTGCTAACACTTTGTAAGGTGGAAGGTTCTTCTCCCTGAAAAATGGCGCGAGGCGTGTGTCCTCAACTCCGACGGGAACATGGACCCAAATCTCACCCTCGCACATATTACTCAGAACACGGCTGTAGTGCTCCTTCACCAAGCAGTTGCATACCCAAAACCAAAGTGGCAAAGCATGACCGCCGTCAAGCCCTCTTCCTCAAGTGCCGAGACTTGTCAAGCAGCCGCAAAGGAGGTGTCCATCATCGCCCAAAAGTTTCTCCAGAACTCCTCTATTCCTACTAGTCCTCAGTTTGCTTTCTGCTTATTCGTATGCTGCCGCATGCTCATCACGCATGCCGCTTTCTACAATGCCCCCCTATCCACTGCGTACGACTCACTTGTTACGAGCCTCGAGGAGATATCACGCCGCTGGAGCGGACCTCACTCTTCCAAAGAACCCAACTTAGCTTCTCGCTTTGCCTCCCGCTTGATCCAAGCCCGGAGGGAAGGTGCCCCGCAGGAAGAGGATATCAGAGAGTCAGCGTTTGCGGAGCAAGCAAGACCCTTACAGTTGACCCGTCGAGGCCAAGCTATGACCTTGGGACCCGAGGACAACCCCCTTCTTGAAGGATGCCCAGCTGGTTCTTTGCCCTTTTTCGATAGCAGTGCAAGTAGTCACAACATTCCTTTCAACCAATATAACAATAACGATGGCTCACCTGACAGCATATCATTGGCCTTCCCGCCATTACCATTGGCTTTCCAGGGAGTTGGCGATCAGAATCAAGGGCTATCGCATGCTTCTTTGATGGGCCAGACCGACGACTCTGCGGGGTTTATATTGAACTTGGATAATTTCGACTTGCTTGACCAAAGAGTGAGTATGTTCAGTCATGCCAATTCGAAATCAGATTTTATGTAGGAAGCATCTTCTTTAGCGGAGGCGAGTTGGAAACTTCGAGACTAGGACTCGAACCAATATCCTAGCAGCTGCGTTACAAAGCGAATCAAAAAACTATGAATGTCAAATCTATATACCCCAAGTCTAATTATTATTTGTGCTTAACTTTCCATTACTTCCGTTGGCTTGCTGGCATTGCCGTAGAACTTGCTCCCCAACACCCATCTCCAACAACTTATTCCCAACAAGCAGATAATAATAGTCGGCATACACAAGACCATGATTTGCCCATCTTCTCGGTGCGTGCTCAAAATTGTTTATGGTCGCGCCATTGACGATCGTATCACCTTCATGCAGCTCAGCAGAGACGGCCGAGCTGGCATTCTTAAGCAATCCATGCTCAACGGTTTCGATCGACCTCGAATCCTTCATGAATACAGCACGTTCGTTGAGATGATTCTCACAGGTCCCATCCACAATTCGTAGGGCCGACTCAAGATATGTGGTACCTTGGTTACGCTTTCTCAGGATATCGTGAATGATCAACATCCCGTACGCAGCAATGAGTCCAGCACTGGTGTCTGTAGGCTGCGGGTTTCCCTGCTCATCTATGAGGGGTGCATCAAAGTCCCATGGTGGAATAGAAGTGTCGGGAGGTAATCGTTTGATGAAATAGTCGGCGCAATCGATGGCAGTTTGCAAGAAACTGTCATCTCCAGTCCACTGTGCTGTTTGAGCGAATCCGGCTATAGCCCATGCTTGACCTCTAGCCCAACAGGAATCGTGCGAGTAACCTTGGTTTGTAATTTTCTCCTTGATTCGGCCAGTCTCGGGGTCAAAATTGACCACATGTCTGGTGGAGAAATCGCCTGCAACGTGATGCTGCTGAGACATTCGGGCGTGACCGACAGCAATCTTGTAGAGCCTCTGGGCTTCAATCGGCGAATCATGATTGGCAGCTGCCCAGAAGATAAGATCCAAATTCATCATATTATCCTGAAGCTGTTAGCAAGCAGTTTTTGTAACCTCTTAATCTGTAGAATATCTCACAATAATGACAAGAAAGTCAGTGGTCAGATCGTTGTAATGGTACACTTTGGTCATACATGTATCCCATGACCGCATGGCTCCGACTGTCTCGCTAAACCGATCAGCGAGGGTGCCCGCGGCTCTCATCATGGTATCAAAAGATCGATGATCGTGGTCAAGTTCCCATCGCACCCGCGCCCAAGGATAGATCATGAACCCAAGGTCATGGGTACCAAGAAGCGTGGCATTTGTGTGCAGATTTTCTGTCCACCACTTGCAAGCAAAGCTAATCTCAACCATTAGCTCGCATTCAGATCATATCCAAGGTGTTTAAGGATGTGCATACTCAAGCTGGATGGGGTGAGGTAGTATTTCACTGCCAGGTGGCGTGGTTAAGTGACGATACTTCCTCTGGCGCTCTAAGAGGAGGTGGAGAGATCCCGGGAAGAACCCCGACGTCCAAAACTCCAGCTCCCGGTAAACGTAGTTGCTGTGGCCAGGCTTAGTATACTCAGGGTAGAGATATGGCGGTTGGACCTACTCGAGCATTAGAATATAGCGAAGGAATATTAAGGAACAAGGTAGAGTGCAGGCAAATACATTGTTTAGATCTCTCTGGGCGATCCCCCACACTTTAGCAACGACCGATGGCGAGAAAAGCTCCTTGAGATTCTTGTAGCTGTCTACACTCTTCACAGAGCCTCCATTCATGCTCTGGCCGTTGAGCTGGGACTACGGCCTGTGTTAAAATCTGATCACTGGTGGAGAAGAACCTCTGTTGATCTCAGGTTTGGAAATGGAGTTTGGATTTTACTCACATCTTGGCATGTTTTCTTGAACAGCTTAGATGGGGAGGTTTGATATCCATTGACCTCGCTGATTCCTCGCTTTTTTGGCTCCATGTCTTAAGAGTAGGGCAACTGTAGAAATGAAAAGGGAAGATTTAGAGGCGAATTCAAAGATGTCTCTCCCAGGGCAAGCTTAGTTTTGAATATCTAAAACATTTGTTAGGAACAAACCAAATCAGGCTTTTCTTGGGCCAATCATTGACAAATGATAAACTCCTAAGCAAATTGACATCAAATCCGGAACCCGGCCCGGGAATTAGCACGGACAGATAAGACCAGTGCAGAGGGATTCGTCGTTATTCTCTTCTAAGTAATCAATAGATGGCTAATCGCGTGATGATTCCAGGGAATGGCTGTACGGGGTATCTTCCGGGCCGGTGTCCGGTGTCCTCATGATCGAGGAAGCCTCCACAACACCCCACGTTAACTTCTCTTCCCCTCATCGTCCCCGCAATAACAAGGGCGAACGAGTGGAGGTTTAGATGTCACTCCATGACTGCGCGTCAATTTCAGGAGCTGCGGCATAACTGTCGGCGTTTCGACGCCTTGGACTCATGAACTCTCCCAAATTCATACAGACGGCTTTTCAAGCATACTCATTGAGGCGTACGAGCGTACGAAGGCGTCCAATTTATATATGCATGGAATTATCACCCTTTCGTCCCAACAAAGGCATCGCTTTCTAGGTAAAAGCATCTACCACCATCAAGTCTTCCATCTACCAACCTCACAGACTTCACTATGTCTTCTGATCCGAACGGGCAGAAGGCAATGAGTGTCCCCAATCATCTTGAAGTTTCAGATAAAGAAAAGCAGCATGACGACCTTGTGGATAAGGACACCACTCAGTATGCCACCGAGACGGGAATGACCATTGACAAGGCTACAAACAGGCGCCTTTTCTGGATGATCAATCGGCGCATTCTGGCCATTCAGCTGGTGACATACTTCTGCCAAAGCCTCGACAAGGGAAATCTCAACTTCGCATCAATTATGGGCATCAAAGATGATGCTCACCTTGTGGGGCAACAGGTATGTCCAAACATCTGGAAGCAGATGCAGTGTTGAAGACTAAGATGGTGGATCTTCAGTATCAATGGCTCGGTACAATTCTATACATTGGTATCCTCCTCGGAGAATATCCACAAAACGTCTTGATCCAGAAACTACCCCTAGCAAAGCTCCTCTCAGTCAACATCTTCATCTGGGGTGCTGTCGTGGCTTGTTCCGCTGCGAGCACCAACTTTGGCTCTCTGATGGCAGTCCGATTTTTGCTGGGTTTCTTTGAGAGCTGCGTTCAACCAGCAATGATGGCATTGTAAGCTCGCTAAATATCCACTTCCGAACTTGCGTTGGCTAACGTTGGATAGAACAACCATGTGGTATACCAAGGAAGAGCAGTCTTTATTGAATTCTCTGTGGTATTGCATGTCGGGAGTTCAGCTCATGGTGAGAAAAGCACAGTCATAATTGGAAATCGCGTCCATTACTGATGCATTGGTTATCAGGTCGGCGGGCTTCTCGCTTTTGGCGTCTCTCACTTCACCGATGGGCTCATCAAAAACTGGCAGCTTCTGTTCCTCATCTTAGGAGCAATCACCTGTGTCTGGTCTGTTTGCGTCGGAGTTCTGCTTCCAGATAGTCCGATGTCTGCCAAATGTTTCAGCGAAGCCGACAAAAAGTTGATGGTCGAGCGTGTCCGCCACAACGAGACGGGCATTCAGAACAGAAAGTATAAGAAGTACCAGGTGATTGAAGCATTGACGGACCCTCTTGTGTGGTGCTGTGTCATGCTGATCCTAGTGGCCAATCTTGTCATTGGTGGGCTTGGCGTCTTCTCCAACTTGATCATTCGAGAGTTCGGCTTTTCTCTCCTCCAAACACAATTGCTTAATATTGCTCAAGGCGGTTGGACTATCATCGTCATGATCTCGTCGGCCTATGTCTCCCAGAAATGGGGACAAACCTGCTTCACCATGCTGGTGGGTTAAACTTCAAACTTATTACCCTGTTATCAGTCTACTAACAAACGAAACACTCAGATATGGACCATCCCTCCGGTGGTAGGAACAATCGTGATTCTGATTGTCAAGCCCACGTCATCTAATGCGGGTGGGATGCTCATTGCCTTCTACTGCACACAGTTCTTCCTCGCTCAAGGAAACATGATTATTTCCATGATTACAAGAAACACGGCGGGGCAGACAAAGAAGAGCACCACCATGACCATGCTCTTCATTGGCTGGTCGATTGGAAACCTCATCGCCCCGCAAATCTTCCGAGAGAAGGACGCTCCACGATACCTGAGCGGCTTCATCGTTCACATGGCTGTTTACGGCGTGTATACACTCCTGGTTCTTTTCACTCGGTTTATTATTGTGAGGCGAAACCGCCACAAGAACGAGCAGAATGAAGAGATTTCCCATGAGTTGGCGTTTCAGGACCTGACTGACATCGAGAATCCCAACTTCCGCTATGTATTCTAGTTGCTCACACGGACATTGGCATGTGCAAAGGAGAAATTAGACGTATCGTCTTCTAGGATACTAATTATCATACCTCTGGTTATCATAAGTTCTTCGCTAAATCACTGTTTCAGCCATTAATTCAAACTCTGCGGGAGAGTACACTATATCCTGGTTATACGATCAAGTTGTCGAAACGCGAAAAGTGATGAGGTGTCCAAGGTATACACCACGCTTTTCAGAAACTTAGAGAAAGCTGGTCCAAGGTGTCAGAATACTTAGTTATTGTTGCAAAGGAGAATTCACGCAATTGAGACCAAGCCGTTGAGGGAACCGGTGATACCCGAGTTGCCGTAATCGCAAAAAGCATATTAAAATATCATACTAGAATATCCATGCCTAATTGTTTCTTTCAGACAATTTCCCAAAGTACATATGTGAAACAGGGTCCTAGAGACCATCGCCGTAGCGTTTGAATGAAACTTCCCCTTGGTCATCGCTGAAGGAACATCATTCCTTAGTCTGGTTCAGCTTCTTCCACTCCTCGTTCACCGTCTTGTAGTCACGGGGACCATACGGGCTCCACATCTCAGACCACCAGCCTCCCTTTCGATGCGTCTGCAAGCCAAGGTCGTTCAGCAGCATGTCGAGATAAGGCACAGCATCGAAGATAAAAGCCGGAACTTTGCTGCTGCCCCAGTCTGTCGGATAACGCCACTTCCCGAAACGATTGTACAAGATAGTCTCGTACTTTATCTTGGCCAGAGCCTCCTTGTCTCCAACAGCAGCGCCTGGGTTGTTTGCGAGCTTTCCATTAAAGTATGCGCTGATCCAGAGGCCAGAGAGGTATGACGTGATAGGATTACTGAAATTGCTCACACAACCAGTAAATGCGATATCTCTGGTCTTGAGAAAGCGCTCTGCTGGAGGGACCAAAAAGTGGTAGAGCATATAAGGTGTCTGTGGCTTGCTGGGCGCGTCGGCTTCATCGGTCTGGATACCCTTCTGCTCATGTAATGGAACGTAATTCGGGTTCCAGCTGGGTACATCTTTGAGAATTGGGAAGGTCTTCAGAATCTCATCATCTGCCTTCTGCAGTAATTGCTCGTCGCTAGCAAGATCCACGCCATCGTCATTTTGGAGAGGTAAGTGAGGAATACCCAACTCCTTCTCGATTCCCTCCGGGAGGAACTTTAGGAGAGGCACATGCTTCCATCCTGTATGCGAAAGAAGGCCATCACACTCAAGCTTAGTCCCGTCGGCCAAATGGACTGCACCAGGGCTAAGATGGTCAATCTCGCCCACATGGATAGTGACCTGGTCGGTCTTGATAGCCTCAAAGAAATCCGACTTGTAGTTGAAAATACTGAAACTTGGCCCTGTCATCATAGCATTGGTCCAAGGCTTGAGCTTGGCGGTCTTTGGATCCGCATCATACTTGTTGGCAGTTATGACATCCTGGCCGAGGACTGACCAGAAGCCTCCCGTGATCGTTCGACCAACAGCAGTGCCTTGAAGGAAGTTGCGGGTTCCGACGTAGCCATCGTTCTCACCCCATACGCAAGGACTGAACCATGTGAGGGCCCGAGTATCTGTTTTGTGACAAATTAGAAATCATGGATGTGACTGGGGGATGATGAATCCGGGACTGGTACGCACTGGCAAGCTGCTCGATCCATCTCTTCAATGGTGTCACCCACGAAGATGACATCCAGCAAGGACCATGACCGGATGCTGTCGGTGACTGTTAGTAAGGAGCAATGACGCGCAATCAACATAGATGGAGATTGTGAACTCACAGCGAATGACCCAATTGACCTTGGCGCCGGCCAGGGCATACTGGTAGACAGCATCCCAAGCAAATTTGCTCGCACCAAACACTGTAATTGTGTAATCCTTCTTGACCGTGTCGGCATACAGAGGCCAATCCTTGCCATGGAAGATGGGACCTCCAAAGGTCTCTTGGCCATCAAAGTGAGGGATGAAGGCCTCCGAGGTTTGGCCAGTGGCCACGATCAATCGACGCGTGAAGAGCTTGGCTTCCACCTTGGTCTCCGAATTGAGTGTTGTCAGCTCCCATCCGCCCTCCTCGGTCTCCATATGCTCAGCTACCAGGACCTTGGTGTTGAACCGAATGAGCGGCGTGATGCCGAACTCGGCAGCGTAAGCCTTGTGGTAGGCATTGAGGACAGCACCGGGAATGTGTTCATTCTCCTTGACCCCAAATCTCTCAAAGTCCATAGGGAAGTCCGGATACTCATAGGTACCGACAAGGTTGTTTGCCGTGATACCCGGATACAGACGGTGGTCAGCCCAGGTGCCACCGACAGAGGAATCCCGTTCAAAGACGACCAAGGAGCTCTCCGGGTTCAATTGGTGAAATTGCTTCGCAGCTCCCAGGCCGTACAGACCTACGTTGAGTCGTTAGCCACATTGCCACGCTGATATCAATGACCGCAAAGGGCGCAAAGAAGGGAGCTGTTTGTGACAATAGAGGGTGATTCCCTCTCTGCCACGCTCGTTCAAACTTACCGGTGCCGATAACGACGCAATCGACCTTCTCCATATCGGCTGTTCAGATGTTGACTCCTTGACGAGATGGCAATGTGCGCGCACGCGATCAACAATTGCTCACTCCGTTGTTGTCTTGTCAAGAAACTCGCCTTGGGGCGATATATGGATCCCTATAATAAGGGTAATCATTGAACCGAAATGAAATCTAGAAAAGGATTGACTGCAGGGTTGCATTGTCTAGCTGTCCTTAGCAGCTACCAAGACATGTGTCAGCGCTGGAACGGGGAGGCAGCCAAGGCTGGTGGGTCGTAGCATGAAAGCTACCAAGGCGCGTGTTGTACGAGACTGCGCGCGGCGAATCCTTAACGATAGGCACTTTTGCCAACTTTACAAGGGCAAGTTTGCGTTGTTGGTGGTGTCCCTGCATCGTTGGTGTGGCACAGCAAGGAACAATTCCCCCAGAGAGGGGCATTTACCCCGACAACTTGCATAAGAGCTTATTTTTTTTAAAACAGCGTCGTATTGTTGGCGCACCAGAAGGATCTTTTTCCAAAAAGAGGGTGTGCTCATAATAATTGAGCAAATTATAACCCCCGCCTCTATCGTGCCGAGATGCGGCAAAAGAAAAGCCGAGAACCCCAGACAGGGATACCCTGCCCCTTGTCTACTAAGCTTATTGGTTTATGACAGGGTAGTATTAGAAGATGGTGTGTCTCTATGAAAACGTGAAGCGTTATCTCTGCTCTCATCCTGCTGACATGCAGCCAAGCACACGTGCATGCTCTACTCCGCGCTAGGGTTCAGAAGTATGATCTCGAGAGTTCGCTCAAAGGTCTATCCCTGTTTCCTCGGTTCATGCAAATGGAAGACAAAAAGGAAGCCAAGAAAACGTGAAGACCAGGCTCTCTTTTCCACGGAGAATGGTTGCCAGATCTGGCCGGACAATTTGGCATATTAAGTGACAGACTATCGTTAAGCTTTTAATTTCTATACCTAGTCGCATGTGAAATGGCATTTCTACCCGTCCCCCAGTCCCCTTTACCCGTCCCCTAGTCCCCCTCATGCGGGTCTCGTCCTCAGGTTCCCAGCCTCCATCCTTGCGAGTCTCGTCTTCGCCGTCATCCTTGCGGGTCTAGTCTAAGGCGGCCAAAAGGCAGCTTAGTATATATATCTCGAAATAGAAACGATCACGGTGAGCGTGTATGGCATTGCTTTTAGATCACCGAGTGTCACATCGCCCCGCGTAAGCTCAATTTAGTTCGCCTTGCCCGACGAGCGTTGATCGCAGAGTAGAGGTTTCGTTCTAAAGGAGGCAAGTCGATCCTCGTGGTCTGAAACGCACTGATCCTTCTCAATTGCCGGCCCGCTTGTTATCTGCTTCCTTGTCGATAAAGAGTGCGCTTGGGTGTGATATATCGCGAGCGGCTTTAACCTCCGGACAGTGAAAACGAGGCTGTCTCCGCATTCTCAATTGCTTGCCACTGTCATTCTTTTCATTGAGTCTTTGCGGCCGTTCTCACCATGGATAATCCGGCAATTCCTCCTCCCCCAACGCCTGAGCAAGCCGCGGCCATGGCCGCGGCTGCTGAAAAGCTCAACACTGAAATCTGGACGTTGCTGGCTTTTGGTATCTTGGTGACGATGCTCAGGACGTACGCTAGAGTCAAGGCTGTCGGCTTCAAAGGGCTCCAGCCGGACGACTACCTGGTCTGGGTCGCAGTGGTTCGTTTCACGATTTCCCGCCGCGCGTTTTCGCGACCGCTACAAGCGACTTCTTGGCTAATCCTCAATTTAATTTGATATCAATTACAGACTTTCTATGCTTTTGAGAGTGCTCTTGCGTATTCAGTTGGAGAGTATGCGATGGGTATGGCCAATAATGGTATGACTGACGCCCATCGCGCGGCTCTGCCAGTCGACAGCCAGGAGTATCACCTCAGAGTCGTCGGGTCCGTCATTCAGCTGTCTGGATGGTCGGTGTACTCGGTGTTGCTATGGTCACTCAAGGCTTCATGGCTGGTATTCTACCTACGATTGACGGTAAGGCTCCATCATGCCGAAGAAGAAAGCAATGCAAGTCTAATACACACACCAGGAGGGCCTTGGCCGCAGCTATCGCCTTCGTATCTACATTGGCTTCGGACTCGTCCTCACTACATGGTTGGTGGTCCTGTTGAACTTGTTCCTAAGCTGTCGGCCGTTCCGCCGTTACTGGCAGATCAATCCCAACCCAGGAAGTGAGTACTCACAATTCGATTCTGAAATGTAAAGAAGGTCCAAATCATTGACCGTGGCTCTTAGATGTCTGTCAACCCGCTGTGTCCAACGCCATTATCTGGGTATACTGGACGTGCAACGTTAGTACGGATCTGTATCTGCTCTCCATCCCTCTGCCGCTGCTTTTGTCATCCCGACTGCAGAGATGGAAGAAGATCAGTCTCATGTTCCTGTTCAGTGGCGGTCTATTAATTGTCGTCTTTGCGACACTCCGATGCGTCATCATTGTCACAGACCCGGAGAACGGAGCGCAGTTGGCGGGTTCGTGGGCCGTCCGGGAGACATTTGTGGCCATCGTGACCACGAGCTTGCCACTGGTCTTCACTCTCGTCAAGGGATGGCTGGGACCCCTGGTGACTCGAGTGAGCACGGCGCGCTCGTCGCAGAAGGACTCAAAGCATACACCTAGAGCCATTGCCACATTTGGCGGTGGTAATAGCAGTTGGCGTGGTCGTGGCCCGCCCACTGCGAACCCCATCACCAACTTCACCATGAACGAGAGCGAGGAGCACATTGTCTACGAGATGAAGCACATGCCCGACGGACCCCTGCAGAGACCGGCGGACAACAGCATCCAAAAATCCGTGCAGGTGTCACTCGACCGGGAGGAACGGCGGCAGCAGCATCCTATGCCAAGCAACGACGGCAGTAACATGGCTTCTGATCCCCGATGGGAACAAGCGCAAACCGGGCACAGCGCCTTTATCCAGGGGAGGAACATGAGTATGAGCCCCGGCAATTACAGGCACTAGGATTATAATCCCTGAATGGAGGTAGCATTTGCCGCCTTTACGAGTATCATGGGTAAAATGTATCACTATGGTTTGATAGGTATCGTGAGGGATGGTTAATTAGCGAGAAGTATTAAAATAGTCATGTCCTTATCATAAGCTGGAATTTAAAACGAGGAATATTCTTCTGTTCACACTAAGAAAAGTTCTCAAGCCCTCAGCTCATGCATGGTTCGCCTCGCCTAGCAAAAGCTTCCACGACGATCTAGCTGAAGCGATCCATGTCAAGGCGAGTGAGACTAACCATGGCGCCAACACCAATCAGGCAGTATTCACCCCCTCCCTGTCCCATGAAAGCCGTATTGATGAACATGGCAGTTACTTCTTTAGTGTGGTCAACCCCCTGGTCCCCACGACGGAGACCATCGGCTGGCTGCCATTGTTTCGGGCTCACCGTAGGCAAGGTTCCATTCATCGGTGGCGCCAATTCCTTAGCCAGGGGCACTATCTCGTTCTAGGTTGTGTTGATCGAGATGCGCACGGGCCGATTTGCTATTTTGACTAGAATTATGAAGACGACGCTGACCTCTAACCGCGAGAGTCGCAACCACGTCTCCTGGCATGACATTGTTGCCCAATCAAGAAAGTCCGCCAAGGCACAGTCCCAGATCCTTCAGTGGAGTAAAAGAGCTAAATTGGTAGAGTATCATTCGTCCACCTGGCATTCGCCGTGAGAAGTGCTCGAAAGTTCCTTTTCCCGACTTCGCCGAATCTCTGTCAGACCTCGCAAGTCTAACCAGCCCGTCAGGCCATGCCTGTTCATATTGGCTTTGAGCTACCGAAAGAAAAGAATCCTCCGGTCTGCGTTCCACATCGTTCTTACGTCAACTCACTAGATATACAGGCTCTTGGAGCCATCGCGGCCGCATCAACGGAGATTGGGCCAGCTAGCGGACTCAAGTCTGACTACAACAGGAAGACCCTAATGTAACTAGGAGCTGTCAAAGGATGACCCCTGGACTGGTAATTGGGTTCCCATTGGGTTCCCATTCGTTACCACGAAAGACGCCTTATGCTGCGCCGTGATGTGTCTATTCTTGTCCGCCTACGTGTCAGTGTCAGTAACGTTCTTGGTACTGCGCCCTTATTACTCGATCCGATAACCGGGATCCTGACTGCCATACCAAGTGGTTAGCGTGCCGTCTAAGCGGTTTTTCTCCATCTCTTTTATGTTGACTTCCACAACTGGCTCTAAGCGGGCTGTCTGTTTCAGCACAAAGGTGGAAAGTTCCATCAACGGATTGCCTGTGAAATTGGGAGGCCCTTTATAAGTACACTGGATGGTTCGTGCTTCTTGCATCACATCCAAGCAAATACACCCTCTTTGAGCTGCCAAGGACTTTTCTAGTCACTGCTTCCGAATATGGCCTTCTCTTTGATCCTAGTCGGCGGTCTTGCTGCTGTCTACTTGTTCTACCATGTTACATGCCTGTTGCTGCTTTGGCGTCGTCGGTGGCAGATGGCAAGAAAAGCCGGATGCAAGCCTCCTCGCAAGCTTCCCCAGATCGATCCATTCCTTGGTACGGATGTAGTCCTCCAGAACCTCGGGGCTGCTAAGAAGTATGGCTTCCTCGACCTATTGAAGAAGCGTCACGCGGCCAACGGTCTGACCTTTACCACCAACACCTATTTCCGCACAACGATCAACACATGCGACCCAGACGTGATCCGCAGCGTCCTGGCGCTTCAGTTCCATGACTTTGGAATGGGCCCTCTGCGCCGGAACAGCGCCTCGCCTCTTCTCGGGAAGGGTATCTTTACTACTGATGGTGACATCTGGGCGCACCAGCGTGGACTGATCAGGCCTGCCTTTGCAAAGCTGCAATTCAACGAGTTTCCCTTGCTTGCCATGCACACTGACGAATTTCTCGGGGTGATTAAGAGGCACAATTATGAACTGGATCTTCAACAGTTGTTCTTCCGTTCTGTCAGTATCTTCGACTTATCTCAGCATCGTATCCGTTCCTAACTAACCTCATTATCAGGTCCTCGACTCCAATACTCTGTACTTGTTTGGCGAGTCCATCGGACTCATGCATGACAATGCGACAGATGCCGCCACTACCCTTCACCATGCCTTGGATTATGCCCAGCAGGGCACTATCCTTCGCCTGCGTCTAGGCAATCTCATGTTCGCCCACCGTGATAAGAAGTTCCGCGACTCATGCAAGACTGTCCACTCCTACGCTCAGAAGTTTGTGGATCAAGCCCTTGAATTCCGACGGAAGAATGCCCACCTTCCTGTGGAGAAGTGGGAACATCCCAGGAACCCTAATGGCATCCAAACCTACATCTTCCTGCAGGAGCTGGCTAAGGAGACGGACGATCCGATCCTGCTGAGAGACCAGGTAGTCAACATGATCCTGGCCGCTCGAGACACCACCGCAGGCTTACTGAGCTTCACTGTCTTCATGCTGGCCAGATTCCCTGAGGTTTGGAAGAAGACGAGGGCGGATGTGCTTGAGAACTACTGCGAGCCTCTGACCTACGATGCTCTCAATAGCATGACCTACCTGCGATACGTGATCCAAGAAAGTAAGTCGCATCTTATCACTTGCTTGAAATGAGAGATTCTAACGTGTATTAAAGTCCTCCGTCTTTTCCCTCCCATCTCAACCAACAGCCGAATGGCCAACAAGGACACCGTCATTCCTGTTGGCGGTGGTCCGGATGGCAAGTCCCCGCTGTTTGTAGCGAAGAATCACGTCGTCACCTACAGCACCTTCGTCATGCATCGCCGCAAGGAGTTCTTTGGCGAGGACGCAGATGAGTTCCGCCCAGAGCGGTGGGAGACGCTACGAACAAGTTGGGAATACCTGCCATTCAATGGAGGACCCCGGATATGCCCCGGCCAGAAGTTTGCCCTGGCGGAGGCCACTTACACCATCGCCAGGATGGCCAAGGCATACAAGGAAATTATCAGCCTGGATGATACCGACTGGAGGGAACAGCTGACGCTGTCGCTGACCCTGAACAACGGTGTGCACTGCCGTCTGGTTCCCGATGACCAATGAGTGTAGCCTGGAGGAGAGGATGTATGATTTGATAGCTTCACCTGGAAGACCCATTCTTTTCTTTTTTTATTTCTAAATTCTTTTGTAATTACTGCCCATTAGGGATTAGAATTGTTATACTAGTATGATATCATTGAAAGAAGAATGGAGGAAACAATACCGTGATGCCTAATGTAAGATAGGTTAGCCTGCACTTGCCCACTTGCCGACATAAGATTGCACCTGATGTAAGCACTACGGTTGATGCATGTATGTAAGAAGAAGGAGACAACTCGCCTGCTAATGTAATAGAGGCAGGAAGATGCTTACTGTCCTTCTTAACAAAGAAGTGATTGGCTAGGCTAGTGCCGTGACGAATTACTATTTCTGATTCCTAACGGTAGCTGCCTAAATTTTGCTTCTATCAAGGGGTTGGGACTATTATGCACACGCCCCCTCCAGTAGTCGTGTCGATGCAACGTCGCCGACCTACTTAATACGATGTAAGCGTAGGAGCCGAGACCAGGATGTAAGATCCTGTAAGCGGTCCAGGCCCACCAACCGCACCTCCAGCATGCAGCAGGGATCATTAGAAGGACTTTAGTCAGTTTTATGGACACCTAATGTTTTTATGTTTTCACTAAATGCCGTTGGTTAAGGTGAGTCAGAGTTATGCTCTTTATGAATTATGAGAGAATATCCCCCTTTGACTGAGGATGAACTTGAAAATGCATGTAGATAATATCATATTGAAAATAATGTGCAGGTGATCCATATCATATCATGAATAAATACTTCTAAAGTAGTAAAAATATAGTAAAAGGGGATAAGTGAGATCATAAGTAGACTAGAGCATGGTGAAATATGGGCTGATTTTAGTATAAGGATTGCTTAGGACGGCACTCAGCTAATTGATCCCACCAGTGCCCCCTATTAATACTCTTATACAGAACATTGTGACACGCTTCAGTTGATCATTTTCCACATTGACACATACTCTCGATGCAATAATGGCTTCCACCAAGGCGACTCCCAAACACACCTTCACTCAGCGTGCTGCTGACGGGAACTTGGGCGATAGCGAGATCCTCAACTCGAACAATGAAGCTGGGCCAAGCCCTCCCAAAGATGCAGATGTTGTCGTCACTGGTGGTGGTATACATGGGTTAATCTATGCCATCCACTTGGCAACGCATAAGCCAGGCAAGCTCAAGGTTTCCCTTGTCGAGAAGAACCAGAAGCCCGGGTACAAGATCGGGGAGAGCACTCTTCCCCTGTTCTCCATGTGGCTCAAGATGCACGGCCTAACGGGGGAGTACCTCTTACGCATCTTTGGAGTCAAGGACGGTTTCGGGTTCTACTTCCTCGATCGAGAAAACCAGGGGAACTACACCACCCTCATGAGCTTTGGCACGCCTGCTCCCCACCTGAGCGGCTATCAGCTTGAGCGCCCCATCAGTGAGCTTCTCCTCACGTTGTTTGCCCAACGAAACGGGGTCAATGTGTACCACGGCCGCACTGTCGACTTCAAAGCCTCCAAAGTTCAAGGTGGAATCAAAAACACCAAGATTGAGGTCGCCGAAGGACGCCAAGGTCAACCAGCAGCGAGCATTGACACATCATTGCTTATAGATGCAACTGGTCGCTTCCGCCAGCTTGCGTCCAAGAATGCGTCTCTGCACCGCTTTGAAGGATGGAACTACGATGCCTTCTGGGGCTACTTTACGTACCCGGAGGATGAGAGCAAGATCTCCCTCCGCAATTTCGAGGGCTGCCACACCAACCACTTTTGCTTCCCCGAGGGCTGGTTCTGGGTCATCCGGGTTCTCTCATGGGAAGGCAGCCCAACTGCAAACCTCATGGATATGCTTTCTTATCTGCTCGACTGTGCAGAAAAGGGAGTCCCGGGCGACCAGGTTCCCAGCACAGCTGAGCTAGCCAAGATGTTCGGTCTCACCTACCGCTGGGTCACAAGCATTGGCGTCGCCTGCCGCAACGATGTCAAGTATCCAGAGGATATAGAGACATACGGCTCGACCGAGGCAGAGCGCAAGTTCAATTACTTTGTCCGCAAATACTCCGTCATTTCCGAGTTCATGACCAACTTTGAGCTCATCCAAGACCTTTACGGTCCGCGCACGACCTGGTTTGTCCGCAAGACCCTCACCTACCAGTCTCCTGTGGTTTCCGGCCCTGGCTGGCTCGCTATTGGCGACGCTACTGGCTTTACCAACCCTCTCTTCTCCCCGGGCATCACGGCAAACATGTCGACATCGACGTTTGCCGCCGAGCTCACCCACAAGGCAATCGAAGCAGCCGGGAACGAGAATACCGTAGACCTTGCCGAAGCATCGATCCGCTCGACACTGGCTCCTTATGACGAGTTCGCAAAGGCCCTCGTCCCGGGATTGAACCAGATGAATTGCTTCAACTATGTCTGCTTCCGTGATCCCCGACTGGGCCCACAGGTCTCGTCCATGTGGCAGAACCTGGCCAGCGCGATTGGAGGATTCGGATCCGTTGTGAAGAACTTCACGCTGACGCCCGAGACGTTCCTGCCATACGCCCTCAGATGGCGCTGGGGCTCTGCAGTTGAAGAGTATATCGCCGTTGCCCGTCATGCTATTGATCTCATCAAGCCGATCCCGCTGGAAGAGCCTGTGCCAGATGAAATCGTGCGCAATATTATTGACTTTGCCAACAAGATGAAACCGAAGGCCCAGAAGGTACTGGCGGACAGGGGCGCAAACATCCGATGGGGAGGATTCTTCAGTTGTTACGATCATGATCTCAACTACCTCGAGGACAAGACAAGGGGGGATACTTTTACTCGTAAGTGCTCTCACTGCGGGTCGTGGCTCGTGCTTCGTCCAGATTGGACACTTTGCTATACTTGTGGAGTGGAAAGGACCGCAGAAGAGGCCGCGATCACATGGTATCCTCCTGCACCTGCAGGGATGGCTTAGATGATGGTTTCACTAGTGATGGAGATGATGATGATTATATAATTAAAACAGGCCTACAAAACGAGCATTATGGACTCATTAGTTGTGGTCAATCGCAGCAATTCTCTCATTTCCGCCCACGAAGTGAACATCTATGAGGACTCCACGGATATAACATCAATACCAAATACAACATGGTAGGAAGAAGAAGAATGAATGCAATAGAGCATCTGCCCTCGTCAGCGTAATACTCGATAAAGCTGATTCTAAATAACTAAAGGCTTGATTATATAACAGGGTATAGATAACCAGATATGATAGTATATAGAGAAAGAGGCTTTATTATAGTATAAAAGCTTAGAGAAGTAAGTTCTTCTTTAAGGGTTTACTAAAGGTTTTATTTCTTTTATTAAATAAATTAAGCTTAATTCCTAAGATAGTAAGATAATTATATAGTCTTATTATCTTATCTATTATAACTATTTAAATAGTACTAACTAAAGAATATAATAAATATTTCTTTAGAAGAAAGAATTTTAAAAGAAATAACTTTTTTTAGAAATTTTATAAAAATAAATTTATTCTTTAAATTAAAATTTATATTTTTTTTTTTAGAGGTTTTTACTATATATAAAGAATATCCTAAGATTAGGCTATATATAACTAGCTTTATATAATTTATTTTTAACTAAGTTTTAATCTATATCTAATCTTTAACTCTATTTTTTTTACTTTTTTATTTATATAAACTAAAATAAGATAATAGTATCTTTAAAAACTCTAAAAAGAGCTTACTAAATATATAACTTAGCTATAGACCCTAAGGGGGGATATTTATTATCTATAATTAATTATAATATCTCTCTAAGCTTATTATTACTATTACTAACTATCTCTTCTTATAATAATAATAGATATCTTTAATATTATTATCCCCTATAGCTAGGGCCTAGTTATTATAAGTAACTAGATTCTTATATATATAATAGTTATTATTAATAAGAACTATTAGGATCTCTTTTTAGATATTAATTATTTAAGTCTATAATCTATTATAAGTTTACTTATAGTAATAAAGCTACTCTCTCTTATATAGATCTAGTAGTTATATCTATTAGAACTATTACTCTATCTTCTTATAGCTAGTAATAATATAGAGATAGATCTAATTATTAATATACTTATAGAGGATTATAATAATATTTCTCTAGTACTTAATTATTATTATAATCTAAATTATTATATATAGTTCTAGTAGGTAATATACTAGATTAAGTTAATTTAGATTAAAATAGTTCTTTAAGTTTAATATTTATTTTAATTAATAATATTAGATAGAAAAGAATTAAATTAAATTAAATTAAATTATTAAAAAGTTTATTAAATAGAAAAGTTAAATTAAATAAGATTAATATAATAGTATCTAGAATATAGTAGGTTAATTAATCTAATACTATAGATTATTTAAAGAAAATTATAATAGCTAATTATAAAGTTACTATATACTAATAAAGATTAAATATAGTTTATATAGTATTAAAATTTATATATTTTAAAATATAGTTTTTTTCTAAAAAAAAATTATAAAATTATAAAAAAAAATATATAATTACTAAATACTTAATAAAAACTAAATTTATTAAAAAATAACTTAAAATTAATATAAATATATTTTAATAGATTATTATAAATTAATTTTATATTAAAATTATTAAAAATAATAATTTTAAAAATAAAATTTATAAAAATCTTTATTTATATTAGATTTTTTTTAAGGATTTTACTATATATAAAAGATATTCTAAGATTAAACTATATATAACTAGATTTATATAATTTATTTTTAACTAAGTTTTAATTTATATCTAATTTTTAATTCTATTTTTTTTTTTTAACTTTTTATTATATAGCTAGTTAAGATATAAATAATAATATCTTTAAAAACTCTAAAAAGAGTTTATTAAGTATATAACTTAGCTATAGATCTTAAGAGAAAATACTTATTATTTATAATTAATTATAATATCTCTTTAAACTTATTATTATTAATTACTAATTATCTTTTCTTATAACTATAATAATAGATATCTTTAATATTATTATCTCTAGTAACTAGAGTTAAGTTATTATAAATAACTAAATTCTTATATATATAATAATAGCTATTAATAATAACTCTTAAGATTTTCTTTCTAATATTTAATATTTTTTTTTTATTAGTTTTATTATAAATAAGAATATATTCTAAGATTAAATAATATATAATTTAATATATATTTTTTAAAAATATAATTAGTAATCTATATTTAAATCTTTAATATTATAAGTATTAATTTTAAGAGACTATAGCTACTATAAGTTAATAGGGTTATAAGTATAATAGTAGTTATAACTACTAACTGCTAGTAATTATAACTACTAGCTATTAGTAATTAATCTAGCTATTAGAGATTACTACTAGTAATTATAACTACTAGCTATTAGTAATTATAGCTATTAACTATTAATAATTATAGCTACTAGTTACTAGTAATTATAACTACTAGTTTCTAGTAATTATAGTTACTAGCTATAACTGCTAATAACCCTCTGTTATTACTAGCTAATACTAGCTATAGCTACTATAGATTAGTAGCTATAGACTGCTATAACTATTAAGATTTACTCTATAGACTATAGGGTAGATCAGGTTACCCTATATTAGTTAATTAAATAATCTTAGATTAGTATAGGGTAAGAAGGAATAAAATAATTAACTTAGAGCTTTCTAAAGCTAGAAGTCTACTAAAGCTACTAGCTTAACCTGCTATAACTACCTATTAGGGTAATTATATTAGTAGTTATAACTACTATAATAGCTACTATAGTAACTATATTAGTGAGTGCCAGTGGAATTTTCCAACCAATAACACCATAACCAAAGACCGGGTAGGTCCGCAGCCGTAATATTAATATCAGTCAAAGGAGAGGAATTATAACCAAGCTATATAGTTAAAGCTAATAACTACAATTAATTATATATATATTTAGTATTTAGTTAGGGACTCCTATATTTAATTAATTAAATAAGACTATCCAGATTATTATATAAGCTAAACTAGCTATAGAATAATAAGTTAAAGATTATAATTTTAAAAATAAAGAATAATTTAAAAGTAAAAAATAGTTTTTTATTTTTAGAGCAGTAAATAATTTACTGCTTAAGTAGTATATAGTAAATTACTCTAACTAACTATAGAAATTATATATACTCTTATATCTCCCTAGATATATTATAGTAAACCTTATAGGCTTAAAGCTGCTCTGATAATATATTAACCTAATAGAGAGTATATACTAAACTAGATTAAATTATATAAAAGAAAAAGGATCTTAGTTAATTAAGTTAAAATATTATAGTATCTTTTCTCTAGTTACCCTTCCGCTAGTAATATTTTCCTCTATTATAACTTCTTATCTACCTACTTATCCTTAATACCTTACTTCTCTCTATTATACCCTCTTATCTTAAGCTTTTATTTAATTAGCTTATAATAGGGTAGCTAGTACTAGAGCTCCCTCCTTATATATTTAATTAATTAGTTTAAAAACTTATCCCTAAGTACTAGGATTTATAAGCCTAATAGATATAACTATAATATATATAATACCTATTATATAAGGGATCTTATTATACTTATAAGATTTAGGAAAAAGTATTTTCCAGATATATACTAACTAAATAATAGAACTAATTAAATATCAGGTCTATAGAACTTCCCGGGAGATATTATATTCGCCTAGCCTTAGTATCCCCTCGAGGTATAAAGTTATAAAGGTTACTCTATCCTAGATACTAATAGTAGGTTATTCTCTAGGACTTTAGTAATCCTATCCCTATTAAAGTAGAATTAATTAATTCCTTAGTAGTATATATAGAGGTATCCGATCTATATCTATTATACTATAATAAAGTATATCAGTAGTAGATAAGAGCTTAGTCTTTAGTTAGCAGGGTTCTAGGAGCTTTTTTATCTCCGCTTATAAGGTTAATCTATATAATAGGGTCTTTAACTACCTGTTTTATCCTAGAACCCGGATTATTAAGAGTATATTTATTATTAAAGATAGATATAAGTAAGATAACCCTGGTTATATCTATAGTAGTTATCTTAGAGTAATCTCTATCTCCCTTCTTTTCCTACTTAGTAATCTAGTCTATAGAGATAATTTAAGGTAGATAGACTTTCTAGAGATAATCTGTAAAGAGCTAAACTAAAGGGTAATTAATTAATAGACTAGGTATATCTATATCTATATAGCTAGCTAGAGATCTATCTAGAGGAGATATAATAGGAGCTAGTATCCCCAGGCTAGTTATAGTAACTAATTATAAGTAGCTGTTTCTACTCTCTTAGCTATATAGTTTTCTAATATTATCTCTAAAGAAGAGCTATACTAGTATAAAGTCTAGTATTAAGTTTATAATCCCTAATTTATTTACTATAATACTTATTATAACCCTACTTACTTAATTAAGTAAGCTTCTACTAAGAATATTCTAAGAGATAAACCTTAGTATATATAAGAGTTAGATTATTATCTAGCTTATAATCAGACTCTTATCTACTTTACCCTTATACTTTAAGGAGATATCTCCTAGTATAACCTCTACCCCCTTCTACAATCTAACCTTTATCTATAAGCAGAAGATAGATAAAAGACTATAAGAGTAAGTATTCCCTTATAATAGGATTTAGGAGCAGGTAGTAATAAAGAATAAATAGAGATTTATCTTAAGATTAAAGACTATAAAGCTTACTACTATATACCCAAATTAATAAGACTAATTAGTTAACTAAGTATCTATAAAGTTAAGAATATATTTCTTTTTATTAAATATAAAGGAGGCCTAGTAATATCCTAAGGGATACTTATTATCTCTAAAGCAGAAGAAACCTATAATAAAATATTATTCTCTATATTCCCTTTAGAAGTCCTTAAGAGAAGTAAATCCTCCGTTATACTACCCTCTAATAATC